TCCATCTGAAACAACGTAGATTAATATACCTTTATGTACGTTAGTGATCACATTAACTACTGATACTTGAGTCAAATATAAATCATTATGGCACTTGTAAAATGATGAATAGTCGGTTTTAGATACAATGAACGAAAATGTAATGGAAGATAGAAAAAGAACATTCAATGAAATACTGTAAGGACACTAAATTCGAAGCTATAAATTTGAAATAATATGATAAAATACTAATACTAGATAGAAGTTAATCTTGACTTAGATAATTACATAATTGTGTGAAAATGTATTTAGGTTAAATCCACTATTTAAGGTTAACGATAATGTCAGTAATAACCATTTTAACAGTAATAATAATAATAATAATAATAATAAACTAAAATTTTCACTTTCAGAAAACGAGAAAAAAAATCCCAAGAAATAAATTATTGTTACTATATGAAGTCAATCTAAATTATGAAACTAGTTGATGAATGTTTCATACCTAAATGAAGTGAACTGAAATAAGTTTATTTTCATTATTAATTCTTTGTTCGATATTTTAATTATAAATGAAAAGTTAAAAGCGGATCGTTGTTGAAATATTTTTTTGTAGTAAAATACACATTTCTGGTTGACATTTTCTTAGTATAGTTTTTTCGATTGAATAAGGCTGCTAATCCTATTCCTAACTTTCTTCCTTTACCTGGGCATGGGAGCTGCAGCGATTCGAAAAGGGCTTCAGGTGGACAACTTGGATGTAGCTAAACAACTTAGGCTTCATAAACAGTCTAGCCCTACTATCTCAAACACATCAATAAATACAAGTAAAGGTGCAGCATCTGCAGCAGTGAGCCTCAACATTCAGATGGTAAAAGCAAGAATCCAAAATATAACACAATGGGCACTAACCAAATCACATTTGATGGATGCTAAGGCTCGGAAAGAGGTGTGCGATCTTTCACGTATCTGGGCAGCATCACTGATAAATAAGAGGGATCTGATGATGTGAAGGCACGTATTGGGAAATCAAAAGTGAAGTAACGTAACAAATTACTTATCAGGATCCAGATTCTAATTCTATCTATTTCGCTTCTTGTTATAATGCTACTATGTAACTATTTGAAATCCTATCGATTGACCAAATTCAGATATTCCAATACGACCCCAAATACTGTTCCCAAATATATCAGAACACAACACCGTTAGATGAAGTTGTTTATGGGATCGAGTACAGAAGGAATAAAGGAAAGAGTGAATGGAATAATAAGCTTTACAGATAATGTATATTTATACCGTTAGGTCGAATAGGAAACAACATTAAAGTCTGTGATAGTGATAGTTAGGAGGATCATAATATTGACCAGTAGGAATCGACCAATAGAATTAGACTTCCGAAAATAGTTCTCTTAGGATATTTGATGATTTCGTAACACTTCTGATATGTACTAAATAGCTTGATGTCTCTGATTTGGCCAACCACACGTCCTTTAGTCGACAGCTGAGTTCTTGTTGGTCTACTACTCCCAAACTTCTATCTTTGCTCGGCCTTCAGTTCACTAATAACCAGACTCTAGTGTATTACACTAAGCAGACGTGCTTCATAGACAGGGGTATCTGACCACATCACACCATAAAATCGAAAATAAAAATTATACATGAACAAGCTAAAGTGTCTTTGAATAAGAATGACTGAATAATAGAGTGGTTAAAATTAGTAGCACCAAATAATGCTACCTTAGTGATTGGGTTAAAGGATGGCTTATGATAAACGGGATACGTATGCATCGTAATCTAGTTAATCTGTATTTATAAAATGAAAATATAATTTGAATCACCAGTTCGAACTTTGACAAATATTCACTCCCTTATAACAACTGGTTTTAAACTTTTACAGTTAACTAATCCGGAAAGAGAAATATTTTTGTGCGTACTACAAGTGTCTATCTTGTTTTTACGTGTTATAGTAGAAATATGTACCACATATAATTCATTTTATTGGCGTTCTAAGGATTCATTGGTAAAATAAATGAATTTTTTCATATACTTTAACATGTTATGACTTCATCAATCCGAATATTTTATAACCACAATATTTAATGATCTCTAATCTAAAGAGAATTTATTGACTTGATACAATTTAGGTTTCTTCCAAATGTATTCGTTATCTGTAATTTGTAAGAATACTGTATAAGTGTTTGCTGGAAAAAATACTTTCGAAGACTAAACACTTATATCCTTAATTATATGTTATGTGTGATATCAGTAGTATTTTCTATGCTTCTGAAGTTTTGATTTATTCCATATTTTAAAGTATCATCATTAGACAATCATCAATGGACAATAAGTAATACATCTAGTTTGGTTCTTTTATTTTGTTAACATAATTTACAACAAGGATTCTGTTGGATGAAAAACAGATAATATTTTATGATCAGTTTAAGTCAAAGTGGAAACTAAAAGAATCCTATGGCAATTTCAATTAATAGAGTCAGTTCAAACTCCGCCTGGAGCCCCTCTGGGGCTACTACCAGTCCCAAGCCCGGATAAAAGAGGAGGTTTGGCCAACCCATATCTTAGAAAACTAACTCGCTAAAAAGCACTAAACAGAAAAATCAATTCTATTAATTATGATTGAGGAATTTTTATACCATTTTTCTTTTTATGAATAAAATAGTTAGTGTTTTTCGAAAAGTTGACCGGAAAACAAGAAGCAATTTTAAAAATTCAGAAGCTAGGATATTTAGAAAGCACAAATTAATTCATTGCATATAAACCAAGTTGATAAATGAATACATGGGTTAATCTAAGAACTGACTATGAGGTCGCAGATGATTATTTAAAATATTCAAACTTATCATGTTTTATGACTCCTTGTGTTAGTCATCCAATTTGACTAACTGTATTCGTAGTTTACTGATTTTTCGTATCATTATGATTTTTATTACCGTTCATCACATGTTATCAATATGTTTCCATATTAACTTTTTGTGTAGGCTGGTCCTCTAAATTAAGCACATCAAGTTATTCTACTTACTAATAATTTAAGTAGCCAAGCTAAAATAAGCAAGATAGTAAACCGATGCTTGTACCTGTGAAATAATGAATTTTCTACAGAAATGATAATTTTGTCTGAATCTTGATCCATTGTGCTGAAGTGATTTTGTATGATGACGCTATCAAAGAATAATTAAATATTATCCGTTATCTATTTAGTAGGAAAGGGTATCCGACCGGAACTGTTAACAAACAAATGATCATAATAGAAAAAACGTCAGCAATCACACCTGTCCTAAAGAAGTTATACAGTTCAAAAGCGACACATGTTCATTGCAGCCTAAGTGAATATGGTATTTTGTAACCGTCCGAAAATCATGTCCTCAAGGAGACACAAGTTTGCCACATGTGTTTACCAATCCAACATTTCATGTGGAACCAGACACATCGAGGAACAATCTAAGTAGTCAATCATTATGATTCCGAACATCATACAGTTTGGTCGAGCGAAAAGTAATTAATAAGAACTTAGTGCTCTATTCTTCCGTACTTCATTGACAAAGAAAAAAACCTTCAAGTTATCTACCGTGTTCTATCTAACGTACGACGAAAGTTACTGGGGACCATGTGCACAAATTTATTCAAACCCTCTCATTACCAATGCTACTGGTATCGGCTTTATTCGTCATTTTCGCTAATATTATCATTTGACATGTCGAAGTTCATAGGAAGGATATTATATATTCTATGAACTATTGAACTACATGCTTTTAATTTTCACAAAGAATCACTCTGATTATAGTAATTACGCCAGTCTCTTTGTTTTAAGCAATAACTTAATTTGTTGACATTATTTTCCTAGTCACTCATAAAGTACATTTTTTATGTTCCTGAAAATAACAGTGTGTTTGCAGGCAAATGTAGATTTTTTAAAATCAGTGATGTAAATGATCTGGCTAATAGTGTAGAAGCTTGTACACGGTGGTGGTAGATATGATAGAAAGTACGCAACTTTATGACCATAGATTCTGATTAGTGCTCGCCGACTCTCCTACGCCTAGTTTTGTATTCCGGGTTGAATGATTGTGTCAATCAATATGCATGAAAACCATAAATAAATAAGAAACACTGTAACGACTTATTTGAAGATACTGAAGTTCATTTATCTCTCGCTAGGTTATTAGATGACCTGCATCTGGAAAACCACAAAGAAATCGCCACAGGATTCCGGCAATAAGGCAAACTGTATTAGTCCGACATGGTGATCAGTAGAATTTAAGTAAATAGTTACTGTCAAGTACTGTATGTAGGTTACAAAGAAATAGCAGACATCTAATGTGTGGGATTGGACTTTTGACCAGTGACATATTTCGTCCTATCCAATATAAATTTAGATCGAAAGCTGAGACATGTAGTTTAGGGGTTCACTTTAGGAGATCAGAGATGATTTTTCGCAGCATTGGGATGGTTGATAGTAAGAAGCTACAAGTAGAGAGAGGGAGTTTCGAAAAACTTAAGCTGATTTGTGAGTGACTGATACTACTCAACTGCAAATAATGTGGAACGATTCTTTTTCTCGAAGAACAGGAGTAGTACTGAAGATGAAATTTTAATTATCTCTAGTACCAACTACACAAAGAAGATAAATAACTCGACAAAACTTTTGTGGCTTCAAACAGAAACACCAGCAACAGCAGATATGAACTGCAAATTAGGTGGAAACTATCCTAGCAGTGCAAACAGTGGTTCTGGTAGTGAATCGAACAACACTTTTTAAAACTAAAGATTGAACTGAATTGTTGTCAAGAGAAAAGTTATATTTAACACAACGTCCTCTTATCCCCCCCCACCTTACTTATTTCGACTGGGTCAGTCGGGTAGTACCATTGATCTTAACATAAACTGTTAGTCAGTCATGGAGAAGGTGATTTCGAAAACTCGAAACTAAGTACAATAACTTACGCCTAGTTACCCAGATGAATTAAAAAGAAGTTATTTGCTTTCTAACCATTAAGCGTACTATTATTGTTCATTGGCTTTTTTAACATATTGTCTAAAAAACTTTTTATTAAAATAAAGGAATACTGAAAACTTTATTTAAGTTCATTTAGAGAATGAAGCGCAAAAACGCAGTTATCAATGATATAGAACCTGGCATAGATATGCGTTGGTTCAAGTTGATAAACCTCATTTGCATGAGAGGACAAAAACAAGATAAATAGAAAAACAGACCGAAATAACGTAGGACTAAATAGAATTTAATATTACTATAACATCTATTGCTTGTGGAATGCAAGTTGCGGGAAGCAGCATAAAAAAATATCTAGCTTGTCTTGAACACGTATAAACAATATGAAGTCAAGAAATATAGTCATCTTTTATTTCAGCAACTCGTTTATGCGCTAAGTATAAAAACGCAATACTACACATAGCACTAATAAGAAAGATTACGTCAAACCAACGATGATAGAAATGAAATTGTAAGTCACCAAGTACTTGATTTAACATATTCCTATACTCTGCAGTCATATTCATACGTAAAAGTAGTACAGAAGAAACAAAATAAGTACCCATTATCTGTGCTATGATTAAAACAATTATATTCGATGATTTTGTGCTGGCTATTGCATGAAAAAATTTTGTTAATGTTATTAAGAGTCCACGGATTGATGTTACAACAATTATACCAACAAGCCAAAAAGATATTTGCTGTGACCAAAATTTTACATCAATTTGAAAACCTAGATAATGTATAGTTATATCCATAAAACGTGTTATAGGATCTTGTCCACCGAAGCGATTTAATAAAATATTTACAATGGATATAAATATTTTCCAACAGCAATATCCGCAGAAAAAGTAGCCAAGACAATTGAAGTATCGTCCTTTCCATGTTTTTGAAAATTCTATACGTTCTTGGGCAGTTCGGAGGTAGTGTAGTTCCAAAAACAGTTGACGACTTAAGTCTTCAAGAACAGATATCTATATAATTTGAAAAACAGACATAACTAGAAATGAATACAAAAAATACTTCTTGAGTTAAATTTTTATACCGCATATTTGAGTTAAAAGAAGGGGTAAGATACGAACTTCGCTACTAAGTTTAGCTCGATATAAATACACGTATCGGAAACCAAAAGAAGCAGATAATTAAGGCCCACTTTATTTTAAAAAGTGCTTATCCTATAACAAATATTAAGACAAGAATCTTTTCTTGCTCTTAGTGCAAACTAAATAAAATGAAATTCTTAAAACAACAGTTGAACAAGCGGTTCAAGTATAGAAACAGTGTGTAAACAAAACACTTACTAACCTCATGCTTCAATAACTTCTCGTCAATGCGAGGTGATGAAATGGACATTCCGACTGTCCTTAGCATATTCCAAAAGGTACTGGATTTTTCACCGGTAGCGTGCTGAAATTTACATGAAAACATTTGACGGTAAATCTGGATGCTGTACAACGACTAAGTTCAGAAAAGATCATCAAAAAAAAACACTCAATGAAAGAAACAAACTCGGAGAGATAGTGATAGGAAGAATAGAAAGATGCACTTATGCTTCTGCTAAATGAACGTAGCACGACAGCTTATTATACTAGAAATATTATAAACATTTGGACCTTTTACTGAAAATTATTTTAACGACAGATATTCCTTGACTTGCATGCCCACTTGTTTCTGTCTACCTAGTTAGTTTAGAAAAGTTCCTTATCACAGTGTAAACATTCTGCGATTGAGAAGCATGAAAGCTAAAGGATCTTTTTCAAACTTCTAAGCATTTTTAGAAACGTTTTCTTGATATATACGGTCCACAGAACTGTGTGGTTTGCTTACTATTGCTGGGGTTAACAAACAGGTACTAGGTAAGGATGACAGACAAACTAATGAAATAGTGAATCTGGGGTCAGCTGGAAGCCGCCAGACCAAAACATTGCACAAATTCATGAAGTCACTGAAAACAGGACTGAGCCATCTTGGTAGGTGTAGACTGCCTGGTTGGGTTCCGTGAGATGATAGTAACCGATGGTTAGAGATCTTGGATGACATAGCTCAAAATCGTTTGCAAAGACGCAGGTGCATCAATTCTTTGTCTTCTCTCAAATTTCAACTTTTTCAATTCCTTATGGCCGATTTTTTTCTCGAATGATATCTTTTTGATTAGTTACTACTTATCTAAAAAACTGAGAATATAAATTACTCCGACGAATATCCGGCAATTAATGGCAATGATCTACAGTATTTGGTTGAGTTTTGATTCATTTTTTAGTGATTACTATATAAAAAGATTGCCCATTAGTATGCTTACTCCTTTAGAAAATTAAAATTGGTTTGAACTTAAAAGAAGCACTAACAAGCAGTCAAGAAATGCAGATGACTGAGTACTGGGTTATTAGCGTTAGGATATCTACCATACTGTCTAAAGTTATACTGAAAGTAGGATAGGGATGGAGTTTCGACAATAAATTGTAGAAAAACGAGAAATATATCACAATGGAACGTCCATATTGACTAAAGATAGTGTTTCTATCGCTTTTAAATGTTCTGATATGACTGAGGGTAGAGAGAATATAGGTTTCCGCTTGAATTGCCTTCATATAACTATGCAATTAAAGCTTCGGTCAGAAAAGTGATACTAACTGCATTTGGAAGAGGGGGCATAGACGTTGCTCGCGAAACTGAGAGGATGAAGATCGAGCATCCTTTGTTTCGAACCAATCTTTGGAGTTAGAAAATTTCGAATCAGTGGTGAAGATTGACTCCAGGATCCTACAAAAACGAACAGCATAAGAACTCATTTCGCTGATTAGGTATCATGGTGCTGCACATTATGCTCTACTGCCTGATGGATCATATCTATGGATCGGATGCCTAAAGAGTGACCTCTCAAAGGAATGCATTAGTAGTTTCTTAGCTCTCACAAATATGATAAACGATAGTTTTAACGGAAGTGATATGTTTACTTTGAAACGGAGTAACAAAACGCAGTAACCAACAAAACATGCTGATCTAGGGGATAAGCGTTAAGTTAATAAAGAGGTACTTTCACGCATAAATATCAGGTGTCTCCAGTGTGACAGACATAGCGAACAATTGCAAAACACATGATAAACTAACTTTCATTCGTGCCTCAAGATGAAACTGGGCTAACCTCCGACGTTTCACCAAAATCATATCCACAGTTTGCAACAATCTTCTTTCAGCTGTACGAATTTCTGAGTTCGAGACAGATAGGGCGAAATAGGTCATACAAGAATACGGATAGTTTACAGCACCAAAACCGGATAAAAAAGCTATTATGGTTACTCCAATAACACCTATCCGACCAATACAGTGCTCCAAGAATACTACACCATGCTTTCCACTTAAAATAGGGAAAGACGTACCCACTTTCCAAAAGGTGTATAAATATGCAGTCATTAGTGTAAAAGAGAAACAAAGTCTGACTGAATGTTTAGGAGGAATAAATCGTACGCTCTTACTAATATAAAATGATATATAGAATGGAATAACTATTATAACGTCTAGAAGTGTTGTTAAGAGAATGAACTGCCAATGTATGCGCCTGGATGAAGCTTCCAAAACATCAAGTATCTCAAAAATTACTAGTTCGAAAACTGTACAAGACAAGGAGAAAGTAAGAGAGAAGATCAATACTACTATGGAGTCCTTGACTTCATAATCTCGGAAAAGTTGCCGAAGAAAGAAAACCCATCCTCCTATAAAGAATGCTATTTGCGAAAAAAATAAAGCGCAGGAGTCAAGTAAGAAGCTCATACTGCGCGCATGGCCTTGGCTTCTCAACAAACACAATTATTATGCTGTAGATTGATTCTGATTGATAGAAATTTTATTGATATTCAATATATTATTACAGATTGAAAAAGATTGTACCGTTGCAAAAACCTCAATTGCGCAATTTTCGATTGTGGTCGGAACTATGCTATTTGACCTAAGATGGATAATACAATAAACGAACATGAAAATAGTCCGCCTCAATCCGAGGAAAATAATATACAGTACGATAGATATGGCTTTCGTGGTGGCCAGCAGTATACAAATCCAGAGGAGTAGGTTAAACGTAGCTTTTAGTCTGGCTTATTCGATTTGTTTAATTTGCATGTTCACTTTTTTTGGAATCAATTGCTTAGAACCTCACTACATCACTTGAAAACCATTATTTTAAAACAAATCTTCACTGCACTTTATCTAAGTCGATATAATTTGTGTAGCGATAAGTACACTTGTTCACTCCTTACCTTCACTATAAACTAGGACAAACCATACCATTCAATGGAAACAGTTTCAGTTATCAGTCTTCCTAGTCTTTTTGTGTTCCGATTTCTCCCATATCTCTATAAAGCCGATAGCTATTTTTCCTAATTTGATCATCCTCATCTGAATAACCTTTTTTGTTGTTTAATCCTAACATCACGTTACTTTGTCCTTCTGATTAGCAATGAAAATCAAATCCGAATACCTGTCTTTTTTGCTATATTTAACTAACACAACTTTTAAATTTCAAAATAGATTCAAAGTACAAATAATTCGCTGCCAGATACGTAATCTTGTTAAGTGCAAGCTTAATTTCTCGCCTTCAACTTTTCAAATGGTTGTACATCGTTTTACTTACTACTTCACTGAATATTAATACTTTATCCTGTTTCAAAGATTTGCTTGCGGCTAGATGTTCTACATACTTTGACCTAACTCATTAAGTTACCTGGTAAATTTTATTTAGTTCAAACTTTCTAACGTTAAGATGCACAAATTATGTAGTTTTCAAGTTACTTTCTTTAAAACACACTTGAAGCCCACAAAATATTTCTTGAAGCTTTCTTTAAATTTTGAGTCCTCTGTTCATTATTATTATTTTCTAACTTGGACCAATTCAAATTTAAGTCGTCAGTTAATGTTGTTCCTCATAGGAAATTCGTTTCCGCATAATATCTATATATTTTCAGTCCCAATATAGAATCTAAGATCAACTTTTTCGCTGAATGCTTGTGTATGAGGGTCCATAAACCTTAGTAATTAGAGTGATACGCAAGCCTGAAACTAAATGGCTGAAAGTCGAATACTCACCATCCGAATTTCACACAAATCGTTTGGGGCAGTATTGCTTACCTCCATATTTAAAGTGTGATTAAAAACAGGGTATACCAACTTATGCTTAGTAGGTTATACCTAATTACACTTGTGCGGGGTCCTGCAATGTTGTCTTCGTAACTACCCAGTTATTTCATAATGCAATTATTATATGCCTGTGCTCTGATCTGAGCTACATTTTTTGTGACGGACAAATTAGAGTGAAGCCTACTGTGCTTCTTTTAGGATGTCCGCATACTATATATTCCTCTCAAAATCTGAATGCCATCTTAAATTACATACTAGATGGGATCAATGGTAACTTCACTTGTTAGGAACGTTCCGAGTACTTCCTGAATTAACTCGTATCACAACCTAGCACGTATTAATTCCGTGTTTGTCGAATTTGTCCAACTGAGCAGTAATAAGCTATACTCTTCATGTCTGTCTTCTATAATTTACGAACCGATAGTATATCTCAGTAAATGCTATCGATTATTTTCATTTCTACTACATGGCTTTTTTATGACACGTTATTTTCCCTTAGATGTTTCATATGCACCTGATACTTATGGTTTCTAATATTCGATAGATTTATGCGTATAAAGCGAATATTCTTCAGAACTTTTATTTCACTTTACTCCAAAAAACGACGCTGACAAAATGCAGAGTCTTCTGACTACCCTAAGCAACAATGCAAGCATGTTCGGGATGCGGTTTTCCTCCTCGAAATGCAAAATGTTGCTTCAAGACTGGGTTGCATCGGCACCTGAACTAGTGATAGGGAGTGAAGTAGTCGAACGTGTAGACCGCTTCACTTATCTGGGGAGTCTTATCAGTGCTGATGGCCTGGTGACTGACGAAATCTCAGCTCGGATACAGAAGTCTCGATTGGCTTTTGCCAACCTGTGTCACTGATGGCGTAGGCGAGATATCCGTTTGCTGACTAAAGGACGAGTGTACTGCGCAGTGGTTCGCTCCGTCTTACTTTATGGCTGTGAAACATGGCCAGTGAGAGTAGAAGATATTCGTAGGTTACTGGTATTCGACCATCGGTGTCTTCGAAGCATTGCTCGTATATCGTGGGACACCCGAGTGAGCAACGCTGTTGTTAGGAATCGGGTGCTAGGTAAGAATGGCAGATCAATCGATGAAGTGGTGAAACTTCATCAGTTGAGGTGGTTGGGACATGTGTTGCGTGTGTCCAACCACCGGCTGCCTCGAAGAGCTTTGTTTTGTAGTGTAGGAATAGGTTGGAAGAAAGTTAGGGGCGGCCAAACCAAAACATGGCACAAATCCATGAAGTCATTGACTAGTGGACTGAGCCATGTTGGTAATTGTCGACTACCTGGTTGGTGTCCGCGAGATGATAATAATCGATGGTTAGAGACCTTGAATGACATGGCTCAAAATCGTTCGCAATGGCGCCAGTGCATTTATTCTTTGTGTTCTCTCAAATCCAAATCTTCTGGATTCTTCAGCACCTCATTTAATCATACTTCTTGAATAATATCTTCTAATCCTAACCTCTCTGATTACTTCTAATACCTTTACTACCTCTTCTTTTATTGGATTTGAATTGACAATTACATCTCTGTGCTGATGTGGTATGGCGACATGAACTGATGTACTTACGTACGAAGTTCAATGTTGCATCTGACTGACTCACTTTATTCCGTAAAGAAAATGAATAAACGCAACTACATAGCCTATGGTCTTTAGGACCGGGTAGTAACTCTTCCCTGCCATTCAAAGTCGTTGCAATTACATTTCTAAAAGTTCTAAGATTGTACAAGTGTGGTAAACACTCCGTATATCCTGTGACCGCAAAGTAAGTAGTGCTGTTGTTAGGAAAAGGGTACTAGATAAGGAAGGCAGATAAATTGATGAAATAGTGAATCTGCATCAGTTGAGATGGTTGGGACATGTGCTACGAATGCCCAACCACCGACTGCCTCAATGAGTGACGTTTTGTAACGTGAGGGTCAGCTGAAAGAAAGCTAGAGGCCGCCAGACCAAAACATTGCACAAATTCATGAAGTCACTGACAAGTGGATTGAGCCATCTTGGTAGGTGTAGACTACCTGGTTGGGTTCCGTGAGATGATAGTAACCGATGGTTAGAGACCTTGAATGGCATGGCTCAAAATCGTTTGCAAAGACGCAGGTGCATCCATTCTTTGTTCTCTCCCGAGTTCTTATTTAAACCGATGTGTATATGTACCAAGTTCTACGTTGTAACTGACCGATTGACCTGCCGAATTTTCTCTGGTGAGGTAGTACGGCAGTAAGGTAATATCACTTCCACACGAACGGCAGCTCATAGCTACTTACATAAACGTATAATTTTGAGTCTCATTAAGTAATTGCTAAAGTTCTATGCCGCATAGATACTGTGTCTAGAATTTATGGATTTTACTTTGTACGCTTCACTTCACTAAGTTTTGTTTAAAATTTATGATTGTCAACATGAATAAACTGGACAGGAGAAGGGTTATTGACTGTCCATGCATCTCAGTCAAGTATAAACAGACTTTTATTTGAACTGGAAAACCAACTCATAGTATAACAATACCAAACATTTGCAACTCTAACGGCATATGGTCGTATTTTATAATTTTTTGGAACCTTTGATTAATTGCTTCATTATGATTTCATTCTTACATCCAAGTGTACGTTTTTACTCCAAATATCGACTTTTCATAATTTCCGACAATGAATCCATGTACCCTACCTTGAGTATTTTGTAGCAGCAAGTTTTATTGTTATCTCAGATATTCTGCACTACAGATATTTCCTTTATTTCATAAAATCATTGGCATTTTCAAAGAATTATTTGAAGTGTGTTCTTTTGTTTGGTTTTATATTTTAATTCTTTTTCAATACAAATCTACTTCATTAATCTTCAACTACTTCGTTTCTCAATGACGCTGCTTTTCCTTTATCGTATGCGTTCAGTTTATATATTTTCTAATGAGGTTTGTTTTTCGGCTATTCAGCTGACTTATAATGACTGGATCACTCATCAGTGGACCTTGTATCATGTCAGATAGATCGGTGATAATTGTTGTTGTCAGGAACAGATCTCAACACTTCACATTCCACCTTACTCTACAGATTCTTTTACACATTTAACTTTATAGTCGGTGCTAATATAAGTTGAGTTTAAGAAACAATGTCTTTAATCACAAAATAGTTTGGTCATTTTGTTTCTTCTCAATTATGCTCAAGAGCATTTCAGCTATTTTATGCTTCTTTTTACTATCGAATTTTTAGCGAAGATCGTGTTCCCATTGAGGTTATACGTTCACGGGAATTGAAATGGAGGAAAATGTGTTCTAACTGGAGTTTATGGTATTTCAAATATCATCAAAAGCTACGGGATCGATGCCGCAAAGGTATTCCTGACTCATTTCGTTGTGAAGCATGGCAGCGACTCTGTGCAAGTCCAATGGTACTTGTTCAGCGTCAGCGAATTACATGCGATGAAATTGTCGACACAAAAACAACCTTAACAAGTACAGGAAGCAATCAAGATATTAATCATAGCAGTAAAAATAGACTTTCTAAATATCGTTTTGGCACATTATCAAATCGAACTAATTATAAGAGTTTACAAGCGATTATCACTTCTCCAAGTTTTCATACCAGTCAAAGTAAAGAAGATGATAGGTGAGTTCCAAGTGAATGTAACATTTGTATGTGTTTAATTGTTTTACATAACACATGTATATACTCCAAGTGGTACTTTTATACTACAAATGATGGTGTTCAATTTACAGCTTGCTTATCTACCTTTATATACCTCCCAAACTTTTCAAATTATTTGACAATCACATGGTTCATTCAATCTAAACTTTTCTCTTATTTAGTTACAATATGTTTATGAATAAAATATATAATTATTGAGTAGTGTTGATTAACTAATAAAATCAGTTTTCAACATGGTCTGTGGGAAAATACACTACATAAAATAATTCAGATGTAACTCGAACACAAAGACTTCATGTACGAACAGATCGTTTTTGAATAACTTCTGTATTAATCAACTCTCCGGGACTTCCATTTCTAGCTCATTATTAGTAGTAGTCATCTATAAACGCATTAAATATTTCTAATCCACTAAATTAATGTATTCAAATAACTCGAATCATATGACGTCAATCTGCCTGGTTGAACAAAATCGCAAGTATTCGAACTTTTACAAATGAAGATTTAAGTACTTAAAAAACATATTGAAAACTCAATTACACTGGTGGAACACTCAGCCATTTAACTTGGAATAAATCCAATGTTTTCCTCAGTAGTCTAGTTTCAACTTTTCCAAGGGAAATCAATTAAACTTGGTTCGCTATACTGCGACTACTATATATTGCAGTTAATGCTTGATATTTCCAAATCGGATTATATATTGAATGAATCTGTTGTTTGTATTGCTATCATTTTTAGGATTTTTATGACTTTATTATTACCCAATGTTTAATAGTTTCATTTTCGTGATTTTCAATTTGGCTGTAACACAAATGATTAAACTATCAAATATTTGTTTCATGCCTCGCTATTGGTTGGTATACTCAGATATTTGTGTCTAATGTATTAGTTATTCATATAATAAAATATAAATACATTTATTTTTATTTACACTTAGTGTGACAGTGTCTTGTTTAAATATCCTTACAATTTCATAAAGTATCAATAAACACTAGTGATCGTAATAACACTTGGAATAGCGATAATTTTGATACTGTTTTATTATGATTAAGTTTAATTTATGCCTTAATAATTATGTTGAATTGATAAAATTATAGCATTTAGTCTATTGAATAATTTACAGTTATCAGTCATCATTTTTCACATGTAAGCATTCATGTGCACACCACTACAGTTTAATATTTAGTATAAGGAATATTTTTACTTTGTAGTAGTATATTATTTCAAGTTTCGTAAAACGATCATTTACGATTAAGTTATAGTTGTTTTTTTCTCATGGAAAGTCAGATACTGATACCTTAAGGTCTATATGGTCAATAATTAATACGTATTTTATGGTATGTAACTCCTTGTGCAGTGAAGATATCGACTTCGTGTTATGAAACACGACTAAAAATACTACATAATTGATTACATTATTTCGGGATTGATCATTGTTAGCCTTATTAACGAATCAAACAATAGGCTGACATTGGTAATAATTCTGATTGTAGCACTTGATGTTATGAGTTAGAATCTCCAAGTAAATATCAATTCCTTCATGGTTATAGATCTTGTTAATGAGTGTCAATCAGTACGAAATCTAGGTCTAGGCTTTTCTAACGCTAGCCTCCAACTATCTAATTACACCAAACTTTATGTGTTGAACAACTCAAATAGCGTTTGTTTATTTGTTATGTTAAAAATCGTTTTCAATGTGTCTAAAACCAAGTTCTCAGTTTCATTACAATGGTTGTTAGGACTACGCAGGGTACGTGGTTGCTAGTGCATTTCTAATAAATTCTAACAGACAGTTGTATAAGCAGTGGTCCAGTGAACTATTTGCTAAGATATTGAGATGCATGTCGATTCATATGTAAACTTTATTCTTATTCATTCTGATTGTACTTCATATGGCTTAAATGGAGAGTTGTATAGTGTGATTGCTCTCCAAACATAAAAAATACTATGATATCTTCATTATTGCCTGTTTATTAAGAGATAAGTATAGATTTTACTTATTATACTTAGATTGTCAATCATCTAAGCATATGAAGCAGAGCATTGACTTTAATCTCATAGCTGTTAGGATATTTAGTTGATAACTGTTACTTTTTTTCCAAACAATTGATTGTACTGTGATCAAGCATTGTGTATTTTTATGACCCTGTAAGAAACATGATTAACAAGTTATTTTCTTCTGTATTGGAAACGACGATCGAAGTTATTAAATTAAATATATTCATTGAAAATGATTGAGAAAGTCCAACTCAGTACCAAGCACACCTCTATATACTAGGCTTTAAGTTATAGTTATATGAAATTTAGATATACAACTTAACTGCTCAAACAAATGCAATTTGGATAAGATTGTAATCATATAAAAATCTGTAGAATTGTTCTAATTAATTAAATAATATACTTTTATAAACTGTAACTTATTTACACATAATTTTACTTTACTAAATAATAAATAAATTTCAGGAGAGGGGAGATGCTGTGAATTCATTACACTAATCCCATTACTTACACTTTAAATTAAAGTAGAAACCAGTCATTATTGATACAACTGAAATTAAGATTATAAAAAAATAACTTGTGGTTACTTTAGTCATAATTTGTTAGATTGTCTCAAATCAGTTGTAATTAATGTTCACCTTCAGTACACGACATTTAAAAATGAAATTAACAATAAAAAATATGTTTCTTGAATTCAGCCTACTTTATGTTGTGATATCAATGTTAAATGCAACAATATTCTGTTTGAAATGAAATTTTTGCAAGTTAAATCAACAAACAACTCATGCCTAATTAAACTATGAAATTTAGAAATTTTAGTTTATTTCTTTCAATACTCATTAAAATATTGATAATAATATTCTGTTTATTAATTTAAAAGAAGAGAAAAGAAACACAGAATCATGTGATTATGATTAATGGCTCATTGTGACAATATTTGTTGCTTATAATTAATACAAGTTGTTTGTTTGCTATGTAACTCTTTTCTCTTCGGTTCGTAACCATGATTTGCTTAGCTTATGATTGTTTAAGTGGAAAATAATCCACGTGTTGTATAACTATCATATTATATATATACATATATATATATATATATATATATATATAGAGAGAGAGAGAGAGAGAGAGAGTGAGTGAGGTGTATTATTACATTGCTACGATCATTTCATAAAGAAACGTACGCAAAACTTATTAGAAGATTCTTCATTCACTTTTACTTGGGATACTGACATGTGGTAGTGAAAGGACGTCGTGATTGGTCATTCAGCGCGGACAAACGGGCACAGCTCACTGATTATTAAAATATGTGATTTCTTTCCCTTTCATTGATTTTTACTTCGAACTCACTGAGTGTGACTGCTTGTGATTGTGTTATGAAATAAAATATCGTATATTGGTTATCCTGGTTCTTTATTTTGGTCGTGAATCGTGTATCTGATATAAATATGTTTAGTGTACCGTTCGGGCATGCAATTCAGCGGTCATCTATTCATTCAATCTACGTAATAGACTGTATAAAAAGGGTAGTGAATAAATCCGTTATATTAGATACCAAGCAAGTGAATCTGCATAATACATTTCTTAGTGTTATAATGTATAGTGAGGCCTTTTTGTATTATAGGTAAAGCTGATATATCATACACCATGAAATAATATGATAAAACTCTAAGTTTAAAAGGTGGGAAACTTAAAGATATGTCCAGAAACACCTTTATTTGTCAATTCGTTTCAATCTTTGTTCAGAATGAAAATATCCCAAAGTCCTACTTAAATGTGTTTCCACTTTTGTAGACGTAAAAATTACTCGGTGTTATTAATATGTTTTGTCACAAAGGTCAAATAATTTCCTCTAAAACTAACCTAGTTCATCTAGAACAAATTCATTGTAGATGCAGGTATAGACTGTGGAATATAACAAAGTGTATCATTGCCTTTCTTAGCTCAAGCATTTTCATTTAATCAAATAGCATACTAGCAATAGTTAACTGAAATCCACTTCTGTTTTAAAACTTAGTTTCTCGCTTATGCAAGCTAGTTTTCCCTCAAATCCTAAATTATTTAAGTCTGTTTCACTAGATTCTACTTCTTGAATAATATCTTCTAATCCTAACCTCTCTTACTACTGCTAATACCTTTACTACCTCTACTACTATCGGATTTGAATTGACAATTACATCTCTGTGCTAATGTGGTATGGCAACTTGAACTGATGTACTTACGTACGTTGCTATTGATTGATTGGTTGACACAAGCTAGATCTTGAAGCTTTTAACATGTTCCCAGAAATACGAAAAATGAAGCATATTAGTTCTGTATACCAGTTGGATGTATTTCGGTTAATAACCATACTTATATACTGTATGTAGGTTTCGAAGAAGGTAAGTTGAACTCAGTTAACTCTGTAGTTTTATTAGTTTCAACACGTACTTTGGATTCCAGGTTTTGGAAACCTTTTTTCATATGTTTTAAATTATAACATCTAAGGCGGTGTTGTTCTGAGGGCGGTTACAGCTTATTTAACATTGGAAATTGACCTCACTTAATGAAATCACAACATATTGTAGGCTAATATCTAAGATGGGAATCAAATTAGGCTTCTAGTTGTATATGTAGTTCAATGTTAGCAAATTTCCTGATCAAACTAATTACATAATAACTATCTAGTCTTAATTCATTTTGTTCTCTCTCCGTGCCAAATACGTAGTTCCAATTTTGACAGAGTATGCGTCATTTGCTTTATCTGCTCAATGAACTCATAATAAATTCAAGGTTTAATCTTATACATCATTATAAAACGACTAATACTTGCTTCTTGTATCAGTTCACTCACTTTTAAACTTATTTCATTCCTTTAATGCATTAGTATGCGTTCATTAAAACTTACAAACTTTTAGCTTGACTTGTCTACTCTTTTATTTGTTTGCCATATACCCTACAATTCATTATATTTTCTTACTTTCGTAAATACATAAGAATTAAGTAATGACATCGACTCATTTTTAGATCTAATTAGTGTATTTTTACGCATTTCTGTGTTGTGTGTGTATATATGTATATGTCTACTGTTTTGTGTGTGTGTGTGTTAAGTCTTCACAAATTGTCCTTAAAATAAACTTCAGGTCATTTTTTTTACAATTCCGTTACCCTAGTTTGATTACGTGATTGAGTATATCTATTTTAAAAATCAATTAATTTTTATCCAATGTCATATAAAATCGTCAAATGTAAACTTTGGTCAATTAAAATTTCTCTATTTACTCCTTTTTTTTTCTTAGCTACAACATAAATTCATATTTACTTTGACATTTTCTAAATTATTTTTGCGGTCGATTGATTGTACTCTTTGGCTAACTATTTTTTCCGAATTGCCCTCATTTTGTTGAAATCTATAATTAAATAATCAATTTAAACGTTTCATTGATTATATTGACTGATTTTATGATAGACGACCATGCGATAGAACTCAGTAATCAAATAACAGAGTTTAATTTCCATCGAAAAAGATGCTTTTCCTAATATATATTACATAGTCTTAAATCACTCATTTATCGATCAGTTTTATTTTCTAGTGAACAGTGAAAAATCAATTAAATAGTAGGCTTGTAAACGGCACACAACGCACGACTTCATACTGATCTAGTTAGTTACCGAAACTACAATATTTGGAATAGATGTTTGACTAACAATTCACTTGTGCTTAAGCTATAAGGTTAAGCCTATACATATTTGGGAGCTATATATCAGTTAGCTGATAGATTCCCAATATTTTATCTGTAAAGTTAAATGAAATGTTTTTCGTCAAATTCCTAATTATTTCTCTTTTCTCTATTTTCTATTGAAACAGGCGCAAACTTTTGTTTCGAAAATTGCACGGGTGAGTATAGACACTTTTTGTAGAATGCATTCATGTCCATTGTGTATTGATGTGTATATGGGTATTATGCTGACCTTATTAGTATTAGTGCTTATATGAATTTGATAGGCCTACAATGTAGTATGGTCATAGCTATAAAATATTTCAATGAAAATATCATTGCGATCAATGTAATTTTTTTTAGTTCATTCCAAAGTTTTATTTTATGGGATTTGTGATTCTGTTCGTTTTTTTCCTTAAGCTTTTTTTTTACTGTTTATGAATTATAACTTAAACATCTTTTAGTCTAATATTTTAATGTTTCGTTAATATGTTTATATATATATATATATATATATATATATATATATATATATATATATATATATATATATATATATATATACAGTTGTTACTTATCCGTGTTTACAACTTTTTTTTCCATGTAATCAGTTAGACTTGTATGGATATATGTATGCATATTGTAATTTCTTCTTTTAAAAAAAAGTAACCAGGCATTTTCGTCTTTAAGACAAAATCTCTCTATTTGCCTTCTTTTCTTTGCTATTTAAAAAAAAAAGTTTATAAGTTCTACGTGCAAAACTCAGATTAGAATACTTGTAATCAATAAATGAAAACTAGTCAGTTGGCTAAATTGCAAAACTTTTCTTAATTTCCACTATTATTATTATTATTATTATTATTATTATTATTATTATTATTATTATTATGACTATTATTACTACTTAAACACAGTTGCTAGTACGAAGGGGCACTTAAATATTTATACTCCACACAAATCAGTTAATTTGTGTATGAGCTGGGAAATAGCTCGGGTACCTGGACTAAAGCAAATGGCTTTCCTAGGAGGCCACACTACCTGAGCCTTTTACGTACAGGTCTAATCCGAAGGGGAGTGTAGCAACGTTATGAGATCTAGTCCCATTATAACTGGCGACCAAGAATATATTCCCTCGGATAAGTGGGGTCCCTGCAAGCCATTGATTTGGATCTAGGGTTTACCAATTCCCCTAGGTGGATCCTCCGTACCCACGAATCTGTTTTAAGCTCCTGTGATTCGGCTTTTGCCCACTCAATTTCGTAGAAATCATCACCGCCACGAGAAGGCAGTGATTAGGACTTACCTGACACTGACTATACATGTGCGAGAAGGAGATCGAACTGTTTTCAATGTCAACTGTACCAGGGTTTAGGCTGTAGGTCAAATATACCTTGTGACGTCAGTAGTCGAACTATAGAAAGCGAATGAAGCGTGAAACGGAGAATTGAGTCAGTCAGTTAGCCACAACGTAGAACTTCGTATGTACGTACATCAGTTCAACTTGCCATAACACATTAGCACGCAGCGAAGCAATTGTCGATCCAAATCCAATAGTAGTAGTGGTAGTAGAAGTATTAGCGGCGATGGAGAAGATTAGCGTTCGAAGATACTATTCAAGAATTATAATCCGGCGAAATAAATTCAAAAAGTAAAAAGGTCATGCGGAATTCAGAAGATTAAATTTTGAGAGAACACAAAGAATTAATGCATCTGCGCCATTTTAAACGAGTTTGAACCATGCCACTCAAGATCTCTAATCATCGGTCACTATCATCTCGCGGAACTCAACCAGGTAGTCTACACCTACCAACATGGCTCAATCCACTTGTCAGCAACTTCATGAATTTGTGCAATGTTTTGGTCTGATTCCCCTAGCTTTCTTCCCGCTAACCCTCACATCACAAAACATCGCTCGTCTAGGCAATCAGTGGTCGGGTATACGCAACGCATGTCCCAACCATATCAACTGACAAAGATTCACCGCTTCATCAACTGATTTGCCATCCATACCTAGTACTCGTTTCCTAACAACTGCATTGCTTACTCGATTGTCTCATGACATACGAGCAATGCTTCAGAGACACCTACGATCGAAAACCAGTAACCTTCAAATTTCCTTTACTCTTACTAGTCATGTTTCACAGACCTAAAGTAGGACAGGGCAAACTGATACGCAATAGACTCTACGTTTGGTGGTTAGCAGACAGATATCTCGCCTACGCCATAAGGGAAAATTGTGGATTTGTTGATTTATAGTATTTTGTATATTATATAAATAATATAGTCAATAATTATATCAATCCCCTAATAAATATTAATAAACCGCCCACATACATCGGTGCATAAGTCAAAATAGTTTATGATAAGATACAGAGATACTGATGGCCGTATGTACCTTAACAGTGTTCAACCACTCTTTCATTATGTAGATAATTAATAATTTATTCAGTCTACTATCGATCGATTCAGTAGGATAAGAGTTAAAATTGTTCCTTTTTTTAAATGCATTACTTGGGTTTGTTATGTGAAATTGGCTTTTGAATTTTGCTTTATAACTCGTTTGCATATAACGAGACAACATTGAATCGGACTGTTAGTTAGTTCTTCCATATATCATATAATTTTGTCTAACTTAAAATTTTAGATCTACTTTTTTGGTGAAATAAAAGTATTTGTCTCCAGCTTGTCTATTCATATATATATATATATATATATATATATATATATATATATATATATGATAGAAAATTTCTAGCAAACTATTTATCATAATTCTGTTTATCTCATTGACACACTTCTTTTCAACCGTCTTTGTATATATATATATGCATATAGTCAATTTACAATTTTTCTGGAGTGTTGTCAATATGACCATACTTTGTCTGTCGGTAGAAATAGTAGTCGACCGATCGATTAGTCTGGCAAAGAATGACTCATTTTTGAAAAAATCAAAAACAGAAAGTCGTTCTTGTATTCCGTTTCCTTTCTATATTTTTACTGAATTTTATTTTTGATTAAATATACCTGGTCTTTGTCCCTGTCTTTTCATTCTCCTTCCCTCCCCCACTCACTCTCTTGCCTATATGGTTACTTCTTTTGCCATCACAAAGGTTTGGTTGTCTGATATCAGACATTCATTGTCTTGTTGTTGTTGTTGTTAGTTTCGGTTCCTCATGTATGATCTACGTGTATTCATTCTACCTGTTCTATAGTGGTGCATAATGAAGTGGGACAGTAAGTGAGGAATGAAAATCCCTTTACGGAGGGAAAAGAGAGTTAATATAGTAGCAGTAGTAGCAAATACAGTAATAATAATATTAATAGAAATAATCATTATTAATGATTCATTCATTCATTGATAATCTTATCAATTGATTCAATAACCAATAGAATATTAATTGTTTTGTTTAAACGATTAGAAAATAAGATATTATTCAGACAAAGCTGTATTCTTTTTATTAAGGATTTTTATTTTTCCTGTTGTTTTCATATTCAAGATTATAATCGATAAATCTCTGTTGTCACATAAATGTTCTAAGTGAATCGACTCCACATAACTTGTGCTTTCTTTTATTTTAACTTACTATTGAAGGACTCATTATAGTTTTGTGCTAGTGTGTTACTATTGTACCTACAATTGGAATAAATTATTTGGCGTATATTCGAACCTGTGTAATCGGGCCGTATATCATGGAAGCAGTTCTATCCTCTAGTTTGATTATTGATTTATTCGCTTAGAGAAATCTCTAGGTCCAATTACTTGTTTTACCAATGAAAATCTATTGAGACCTTAACTGTTATTAGTTTTCCGACTCTTTCCAAATGATTGTCCTATCCGAAAATGAATTTAGCAAGCAGAATTGTTCTCTATTCTGCTCTAGTCGTTCGTGACTCACACTCGACCGCCCTGTAACACAAATAAGAAGTTAGAATATTTACACAACTCAATTATATAAGTTATTCAAAAATAAAACAATGAAGAGGTGATTAATTAATAATAAATTTGTAAAAGTATGACATAATAGTTTACGGATCAAACCAAAGCCTACAAATACACAAGTGCAATAATTTATGCTTCTAATAACTATACAAACAATTATTCCCAATTAGATAGTTAGGAAAGTCTAATCTTACTCAAATTCTCTTCAATCTGACCTACCTGTTGTATGGTTTTACGATATTATTGAAGACTCTTAGCTCCGGGGGAGGATTTTTGAGATGTTGGGATTTATAAGGTGGGTGGTTATACTGTGAAGTTTTCACTGGTTTCGAAAAGGATTATCGATTTAATCTTGATAGGTAATTAGTGCTTTGCAACTTATGTCGTTCTAATTAAAATCGTGAATCGACCAACGCTAGACAGCGGCACTGGAAAGCCGTTTCACCCTAGTATGAGACTCATCAGTAGTGGGCATTCACGACACTCGTGCGCGAACACTTAACCGCTTGATCACTGAGCCGGCATCCAACGGTGTTAATGTCTAACTTCAATCAATTTATGATATTGCGCGACCTCATCCATTGTGTTTGGTGGGTATCTGCCTCAGACCCAACACTGTTGAACTCCACTGGTTATGGTTTCTCATCAGAACTCCGACGATTTACTCACGAAGCTAGCGTAGTCACTGGTGAGCACATGATAATTGTCATTATAGGGTTGTGAAGATTGTTGGGTCTCAGTGAAATCATAAATCGATCAATCCTAGACCACTGTTATAAGCCTGGATGAAGTCGCGCAATATCGTGGAGTGATTGAAACTAAACATTAACATCGCTGGATACACCAGTTCAGGTCTAGAGGTTAAGCGTTCGCGCGCGTTTCGGTTCCCGCATGCGGACGTTGTAAATGCGCAATGCTGATGAGTCCCAAACGGCCGTCCGATTATTCCAAGTTTCTAATGGTGGTCTAACATTGATGGATTTATGATTTACATGAAACTTACCAATTTCCAACACCCTTCACTCACAATTATGTCTTTCTTTCAGAAAATCAATACAGTATTCTGCCTAGGTGAATTCTGTATTTTACATCTTCAGTTTCTAAGAGATTTATATTGCATATTTATAATATTCTTTGTTTTCTGTCTTTCAGGACCGACAGTGCTCGATTAAGTCAAGGGTCCAGTTTTCATTCCTTACACATTAGTAGGGTTAAGGATGTTATTCCTACTTCACGTGAAAACTCTCACTATCCTTTGGCGATGCCTCCTTCCTTACAAAATCACGACAGTCCGAATACTCATAGAATATCACCATGGAAACGAAGTGTTTTCAGTAGTGAATCTATCCGATCAATATCCGGTACAACTCATAGCAGTCTTCATAATATACCTTCTAGTGCATTAAACAATATCAACTCTACTAGGTTTGATCAATCAGCATTACCTCATTCAGGCTATTCAACAATTGCATCTGTTCATGGTAAATCATGTTCACCAGAATCAAATATTGATACTACTGATATGATCAATTCAAATCATGTTATAACTACTAGAAATTCCGGTGGATATGCTAGTTTAAGTACAACATCTTGTACAGATAGTTCTAGTACAAATCATTATCAAAATGAAATTCAAATTCATGAAGCATCATCTACCGATTCATGTACTTCCATTTTAATATCATCATCTGTTGCATCGTCATCGTCACCAATTTTACATCGAATTACACGAAATATTGAAGCATTTTCTAATCAATTAGATGGTGACATTCTAAATGAATACACTAATGATGATGCTAGAGCTACACTTGTCCCATCGATTGATTTAGATCCAGAGAAATTATATACAAATTATTGCTTACAAGAAGGAACAGCAGCTAATTGTGATCAAATACGTCGTGATATTGATCGTCAGTTTCCTTTTCATGAATTATTCAGTAAGAAAGGAGGTCATGGGTAAGTTTCACCCAGTCATTAACAATCCTCTTTCTATATACTTTCAATAAGCCAATAAATAAAGCTAAGCGAATTGTATGAACACATGTTTATGCATTAGACTTGATGAATTGCACCTATTTCTTTCAAGCGATACAGTAATGTTTGACTCCTTATATCCCATTCATGAGAAAGTTGCTTAGGCCGATTTATGATTTACAATTTACCATAAAAATAAAATTCAACTAGTTCCAATTTAATTTTCATGCAAAATTTTGTTTATTCTCATTTTCATTCATTGATCAATCTTAATTAACGCCTTTTTTAAACGCGTATATTATTAACTGATAATTCCTAAATTTAGCTTCAATGACTCTAAACTTGTCTATCCTAACAATTTTCATTCTCTTCTGTCTTTCACTGCAAATTCTTATTCTTTTTTTTTACACATGTTATTAATTCAACGTACATTATTGGTACTATTATTTATTATTATTATTATTATTATTATTATTATTATTATTATTATTATTATTATTAGTGTTAAATACTATTAGTTCCATTAGAAATAAGCATTATCAGACAGTGAAGCGTAAGGTGGTAGGTAATTTTGCTAAGAACATTACAAATACAAAGCTATCATACTGGTAAATATTTACAACTATTTAAGTGTACGTATTGCATACATATATATTTACTAGTACTATTAGTATTTTTACTGCACAATTAATTTTTTGTTGTCGGTAAAATACACCTAATTAGTCATGAAGCATTATGCCATGTGACACGGTTTATGTGTAACTGTTGTAGACCGGATAGGTGTTAATACGATAACCACCAACGGATTTGACTAAACAACACAAATAAACAATAACTACAACTATTCGGTGCATTTTAATCTAGAATTAGTAGAAGATATCACTTGATTCATCTATTCTGCATTTTCTCCCGAATTCTAATCTTCTGAATTCTTCATAACCTTTTTTAAATTAATTCCACTGAGATATACTTCTCAAATCATATCTTTGAATCTTAATATTTTTGATTACCGCTAATACTTCTACTATTTCTACTACTATGGGATTTGAATTAACAATTCCATCTTTCTGTGCTAATGTGAACTTGAACTGATGTACGCTACTTACGAAGTTCTACGTTGTAGCTGACTATAACTGAATAATTTATTTCAATCATTTATCATTGAGAAACTAAAGATCAGGATTTTTACTTACATCATGGACTAGTGCTAGATGGGAGAATCATTGAAAAGAAGGCAACATTAGGTGATTGTTGCATTCTAGTTTCAGACTGAGATCTCATAGGAAGTACTCTATTTTTTGACCATTGAGTTAGAGTACATTGGTCTCCATTTTTGATTTCGGTCACTTCACGGTATACTGTGATTAATTGATCGTAACTCGGTGTCATCGATGATGGTTGTTTTACTCTTGATATATTTGAACTTCACCACTCAAAACTCCGTACTGGCGCTTCAGTGATCTATCTCATTTATAGTTATCACGAGAAGTAATTTCAGATCTTCATTGATTCCTAAGATGTTATTGATTTATCATGAAAGAAAAACTCTTCACGTGGAATGAATATCACATTACAATTCACTTCATTAAAAAATCTAAACTGTGATTTCTTTTCTTCTGTTCCGACCGAAGCTGCTACCTTGGCGTGGTGGTCGGGCTTGCCTAACGTGATGACCCAACCGAGCTATATTGGCTGGAACATATGTTCCTAAAGGTTCTACCATACCCGGCAGGCGATACTATACCTACACCAGCGAGACCTCGGGAAGCAGCCCCAGGGCTACCGGATACACGAAGAGTAAATCGGGCTGCTTCTTTGTTTTGACAAGGTGAAATCAAATCAATAATTTTACCAGGATCCTGTATTCGCATACATTGATTGAGCGAGATTCTAAAGTCCTAGCTAAGGAAGCCTGTTACCCTATATGACAATGTCTGTGCAATAAATGCTCCAACTTGTAATTTAGAATGAGGTTTTAGGAGACCAGGAATGACGTTTCGTGAACTCGCATTGTTTGCATTAGCTGTGTAGTGTGATAAAGGAATGTGAGAAGAGTTAGTCGTGAATTCCTCATAATCTCTATCTTTCTCCTTCTAAATTTATCTTACTGAATTATACTTCTTGAATCATATCTTCGCTCCCTAATCTTCTCCATTACTGCTAATACTTCTACTATCACTATCACTCTTGGATTTGAACTGACAGTTGCTCCTCTGTTCTGATGTGGTATGGCAACCTGAACTGATGTACTTACGTACGAAGTTCTGCGTTGTATCTGTCTGTCTGTCTTTCTTCTTTTGTTCATTTTAACACATTTTTACTACGACTGCTGTTTTTCTTCGTTTTACCACATATTTCCCATCAAAAATGTTAGTACACCTTTAAAGACTCAACAAATCATTTCAAGTTGACATTTGAATCAATACTTCTATTGTCTTGATAACAATTTATTTTTATTGCTAATTATTATTAGTAATAAATTGTTAACCGTATTTATACAAAGTAATTTATCTATTTAATATTTCACATTGGTTTTTTCGAAACAATCTAAGCGAAATAAAAGAAGAAGGTTGTTTCACCTGTCCCATATGAATTAAATAAATTGTCTACCACGAAATTATTCTTCATTTATGCATTTATTTATTTCATTCCGGGGCTGTGAAGATTGTTAAGTTACACATTTGAAATCATAAATCGATCAAAGTTAGACCACCATTAGAAACCTGAAAGCACTAGACGGCCGTTAGACATTAACACCGTTAGAGGCCGGCTCAGTGGTCCAGTGGTTAGGTGTTTGTGCGCAAGACCAAAGGTCTTGGGTTCGAATCCTGCGAGGTGCAGGAGTCGTGGATGCGTACTGCTGATGAGTCCCATACCAGGACGAAACGGCCGTCCAGTGCTTCCAGGTTTCTAATAGTGGTCTAACCTTGATCGATTCATGATTTCAAATTTATGTATTTATCTATCCTGTCGTCTGTAATTTTGCGTACACTTCGATTTCCTTTTTTAAAAAATAACTACTCAGCATTGTTGAAAACTTAACGGGTTTCTTTTTTTTCATGGTAAAATAAAGGACCTACCAAATTTGTTTGTTTCTTATTCAGTGGATGTTTTTTTCTTTTAAGAGAGACAAGCAAAAACCAACCAAAAAAGAGTTATGGTTTATTATTTTTGTGTTATAACACAGAATTGCATGGTAAAATAATCTATGAATTATTTTGTGTTAACAAAATGTAAATGATTGTATATAAATGTTTCATGTTCGATTTATTGCAAAGCTAGCAACCACTATTAATTCACATGCATTGTCCATAGAATGAAAACCACATGAGAATTATCATATTGATTATATTTTGTGATAGTTTAAACATATGTGAAATGATCGCGCAATATGTTGTTGTGAAATCAGATTTTTTTTACATTATGATTTAATTAATTTATTGTAAATTTTTCATTCAATCTCACAGGCATAAGTATAATATTTATGTCGCCTGTTAATTCAACCATGTCAGATCATTTAAATGTGTTTTTGATTTTGTGCATAGAGTATGTTCAGTTCAGTGTATTGTGTTTCTGAACATAAGTATTCGCTGAATCTGTTAGCGTTTCATATTAATTATTACAAAACTAGTGATTTAGTCAAGATCTTACAACAATTATGTAGCATTTATTGTGTTTATAATGAATAACACAATTTAAAAATAACTCATATACAGATAATTATAAACAATATTTTCTAAGAATGAGTAATTGCCTAATGTTCAAACGGTGTTTTAATCGACTGGTTATACAATATCAAATGAAATGATAGCAAAAACCTCCATTGAATTGATCATTATGTCAAGAAAATTATTTAAGTTCTGTAGGTTTATTGAAGAAAGCCAACTAGAAAATTATGTACTGTACAACAGTATACTATTTCTTATTATTATTATTTCATTCTTTTCTTTTAGTCAAGAAAGTTTGTACACTTTACTAAAAGCTTATACAATCAGACATCCAGAGAAAGGTTATTGTCAAGGTCAAGCTCCATTAGCAGCTGTTCTACTTATGTTTATGCCTGAAGTTGATGCTTTTTGGACTTTCAATGAAATTTGTGAACGTTATCTAGAATCTTATTATGATGATGGACTTGTAAGTAATTTTGTTTGTTTGCAGTTGCATTTATTTTTATTTGTTGTTGAGTGTACTGAAGTGGTTTGTTTACATTAAAAGATAATAATAATAATAATAATAATAATAATAATAATAATTAAAGAAAATGCTTGTATTTCTCTATTGTTTTCACATCAGTTGAATGTTAAAGTACAATCTTTTTGATTTTTTTTCAAATGAATGATGTTATATTAATACAGTTTAACGCTAAAATCAACACCATGAAAAGTAAGGCTGATGATGGAGCTAATTGCATTCAACCTTCGGAATACTGGATACTGGCTTAGTGGTCTAGAGATTAGGTGTTAGACAGAAGGTCTTAAGATCTATCTCTGCTCGTGGATACACACTACTGAGGTCAGTCAGTCAGATGCAACGTAGAACTTTGTACATAAGTACATCAGTTCATGTTGCCATACCACATCAGCACAGAGAAGTAATCGTCAATTCAAATCCAATAAAAGAAGAGGTAGTAAAGGTATTAGAAGTAATCAGAGAGGTTAGGATTAGAAGATATTATTCAAGAAGTATGATTCAGTGAGAAAAGTTTAGGAAGTAAAAACTAGAGGTGTTGAAGAATCCAGAAGATTAGGATTTGAGAGAACACAGAGAATAAATGCACCGGCGCCATTGCGAACGATTTTGAGCCATGTCATTTAAGGTCTCTAACCATCGATTATTATCATCTCGCGGACCCCAACCAGGTAGTCGACAATTACCGTCATGGCTCAGTCCACTAGTCAATGACTTTATGGATTTGTGCCATATTTTGGTCTGGCCGCCCCTAACTTTCTTCCAACCTACTGCTACACTACAAAACAAAGTTCGTCGAGGCAGTCGGTGGTTAGGCATACGCAACACATGTCCCAACCACCTCAACTGATAAAGTTTCACCACTTCATCTATTGATCTGCCATCCTTACCTAGTACTCGTTTCCTAACGACAGCATTGCTTACTCGGTTGTCCCACGATATACGAGCAATGCTTCGAAGACACCTATGGTCGAAAACCAGTAACCTACGTATAGGTTCTACTCTCACTGGCCATGTTTCACAGCCATAAAGTAAGACGGAGCAAACTACTGAGCAGTACACTCGTCCTTTAGTCAGCAAACGGATATCACGCCTACGCCATCAGTGACGCAGGTTGGCAAAAGCCGATCTACACTACTGAGGAGCCCTATACTAGGACGAAGCCACTGTGTAGTGAATGCTTCCATAGTTTATATCATGAAACAAAGTCTCAAACTCAAACCGCTGGCTCTTGAGCACAAAAAATGTGACTTGGATCTACATACACAAATCTAATCTTGGTAATCTTAGTTATTTAAAATGCGAATAATGATATTAGTGTGTTTACTATTTTATTCTATCTTTCTTTCTTTGTTTCTCACTTAGGAACGGGTACAAATCGACGGAGATGTCCTGTATGCTCTTCTAAAATCAATACATCCTCCAATATACAAATTTCTAGTAAGTTGTTTTGATTGAATTTCTTGTAATAACTATCTTTTTCTTATCCATGGAATTTTTAAGAAATTAATTACTCATTCCTAGGTTTTTTTTTACTTGTAGTGAACATAATTGTCTACTGGTTTTTGGTAAATTCCTAATTTGCGTTAAATCCCATATGCAAAGATTACTGATCATGTGTGCTCTTCAGATTGAGGAGTTTCAACTTAAGACAAATCAATTTGATTCGGCTCTTTAGTTTTTATGATTTTTTATTTTAGTTGAGATCATTTTGTGACAAACACATCTTTCTTTTAATTATATTTTTATGTATACATGATTGGTTGTTTTTCTGAAAGAACACAAAAGTTTTTGTTGTGATTGTTATTATTACTGACCTCATTTATCAATCAAAGTAGAATGTGACCTAGTTATTTGTTAAATTAAAAACAAACAAAAACGTAGTTTACGCATGATAAAAGGAAGAAATTAAAAACAAACATTTTAAAATAAAACAAAAGATTTGCGCGTCAATATATTCAGTTGAATAAATTAAATGTCAATTGTATATTGAATCAAACTTTTCATAGTAGTTTGTTTGAACTTGAAAACATTTGTGACAATACTACCTGTCGCACCTCTTATTTTCACTGTTTAAATCATACTTGAAAGTTCTTGTCTGTTATGCTCTATAATCTCAGTACCGATATAAAATGCCCGATTGGCTTTTGCCAACCTGCGTTACTTATGGCATAGGCGAGATGTCCGTTTGCTGACTAAAGGACGAGTGTACTATGCAGCAGTTCGCTCCATCTTACTGTATGGCTGCGAAACATGGTCAGTAAGAATAGAACATATTCGTAGGTTGCTGGTTTTTGATCATAGGTGTCGTTGAATCATTGTTCGTGTATCCTAGGACAACTGAGTAATCAATGCTGTCGTTAGGAAACGGGTGCTAGGTAGGGGTTACAGATCAATAGATGAAGTATTGAAACTTCATCAGTTGAGATAGTTGAGACATATTTTACGAATGCCTAACCACCGACTGCCTCGTCGAGCTATGTTTTGCCATTCAGGAAAAGGTTGGAAGAAAGCTAGGGGCGGTCAGACCAAAACATGGCACAAATCCATAAAGTCACTGACAAGTGGACTGAGTCATGTCGGTAGGTGTAGACTACCTGGTCGGGGTCCGCGAGATGATAGTAATGGATGGTTAGAAACCCTGAATTCCATGGCTGAAAACCGTTTACAATGGTTCAGGTGCATACATTCTTTGTGTTCTCTCAAATCCTAACCTTCTAAATTCCTCATCACCTTTATCTTTTTCTTGTAAGTTTATTTCACTGGATTATACTTCGTTGAATGATATCCTCAAACCCTAATCTCTCCGATTACTGCTGATACTACTATGGGATCTAAAGTGACGATTGCATCTCTGTGCTAATGTGATATGCCAACTTGAACTTGATGTACGTACGTACGTACGTACAAAGTTCTACGTTGCTGTTGATTGATTGAATGATACTCTACAATCATGTAGATAGATAAATTTTTTTTTGTTAAATTCAGTTTTTGTGAGCATACATTCTATCTGTGAGTACAGTTCATTAGATGTTATTTGACTGTTTCTTCTTGTATTTTCTACCTACAATAGTGAATCGAATACAAGTTACGAAAAAAAGACTACTCATTAAATATTGCTTTGTCAAACACTACTTCTATTACTATCTATACTACTTACTACCAAGTTATCATTTCATTTTTTTTGGTGTTGTACAATACATAGTTGTTTTTTTAACTGAAGAAATTTGACCTAATCTAAAATGTTCATTGTGAAAAATATTTTATTATTCGCATAATTTATTTTTGGTAGTATATTTTTTTGATTATCCAATCATATATTATGTGGAGGTTTATCGATCTTTGCCTTACTACAGTATCTCATATTTAAAGTGATCAATTGAATTTTGTTAGATTACATTAAATGGTATAAACTAATGTTACATACATAACAATAGAGTAATAATAATAATAGTATTATTGATAACAGCTTTATTCACTACTGTCTATTAGATTCTTTACATAAGATAAACTTTCTTTGTAACAAATTCCTATCGTGCATTCATTTAACTTGTGAATATTTTAAAAAAAGTTATGTAAGACTTTATTATTAGTTTTGCTCCTTTGGCATTTTTCCTTTTGCATAGTTTCCTAATGTGTATGAATCTCAATTTAGCCTCATCTGGTTTCATTAAAAGTTAAAGAATAATGAAAATTTACTGATGATTTCGTTAGCACTAATCAACTTCTTTACAAGTTGTAAGCGTTTATTAAAAAAATGTGTCAGTTTAGATTAAGTAGTAGTTATCGTTACACAATTACTCAATTAAAACAAATGAATACTCGAAAGTTTATTGGAATATTTGTATATTTGGAAAATAGTGTAACAGGTCTCGGCTATCATCACATAAACAAGCTAGATCAACTTGGTCACACTCGAATCCTCCGTACACCTCTTATCTCCACGACTGACCCTTCTCACATTCCTTTATCACCTCGAACAGTGTGAAACAAATTTATGCAATGACAACACCAGTCATTGTAAAGTCATTTAGATTTAATCTTTATTGTAAGATTTTCATTTACATTTAAAGTTTTATGTATAATGCTAAGCTTCAAGTGCAACTTGATGAAAAAGTCACTTATTGAACAAGGGAAAATTTTCCAATCACACTGAATTCATCTCCTAATCTACTTACTCTGGTTTGCACCACTGGAATACTGTAACTAGCCCAAACACTTACAATGCGCCTCCAAGTCAAATACATAAATATATGAATACCACTAATGAGTTAATAATAATATCCACAGTATTTATACAATTTATTTTCAAATTAATTTTTGTAGAAAAAATATTCAGTGGAACCAAATCTTGTTGTTTTGGAATGGTTCATGTGTGCTTATACACGAACTTTACCTTGGGCAGCTGTATTAAGAATATGGGATATGTTCTTTTGTGATGGTATGTTAATTATTTATGTGTATAATTACTACTTTTTCATATATGTGTATAGAAATTTTATTTATAATTGGTTGTAACTTTCACTATGATTTTTGTCAGATTATTCAAATGACGCATGTACAATCATGAGATATTCTTTTTGATAAACTTTTACGGTTGTGATGATACGTACATGTGGTGTTTATGTAGTTCACCTGATAAGCATAGGGTTATATTTTTGAGCTATGAGTTATATTGATAAAACTATACTATAGCGATGAGCTTCAGGTGAAATCAATCGGACTCGGGATAGCGTTTAAAAAAATTATTGTGATAAATTCAAAGCACAGTAAAGAATTTCATATACATCGTGTTAGAAAAAATACATAGACTTTGGCTGTGATTAGTTTTCAGTATGTCAATTCGTTTAGAATAACTTTTGTGCAATCGTGTGGTGTTAGCTAAATTAACAGAAACATGTGCCCCATGTATGCAGTTTGTATGTGATCGTTTGTGATGTGATTCAAAGACAGTCAGGGATGGCTGTGTAAAGTGTGTGAAGTATTCTCAAACGTTCACCGAATGTTCCAACCCCCTTCTGTTTGTAAAGGTAATTTTTAAACTCTCTAATCCCTGATTGTAAATGGACTCCTAATCTTTAACTCTTGTCTTTCTTTGGCGCCATAAATCCATCAGATTACTTTTCGTATCATAACCTACTTTGTAATCAAACCTTGTATTCTGATTGGCTTTGTTTGTTTGTGGAGTACTGAAAACAAAGTCAGCTGGGTTTTCAAATCTATTAATCAATAATGGAATAGTGAACAGTTCACAAATCGAACCTACTGCTCTACCAAATATGCACTAATAAAGAGAAATAAGTACTAAAAACTGTAAAATGAATTTTGGATGTCTAAGTTGTGAGAGTAGATGGATCTGTACTCTTTAAGCAATTATCGACTATCTGTAAAATTAACTCAGATATTCACAATTAATTCTTATCACAGTTTTTGCAAAATATACACTGAGTGATTGCCGGCTGAATAAAATACGAATCCTAGCAGAATTCGAACTCAAGTCTTGTGGGTTCCTGTTGTTAGTCGAATAACTGATTTTTTTAACTGACTAGTTTAAATGAAAGTGCTATTAGTACACTATTATTTTAGTATTTTACATGTTTTGTGGGCAAGTTCTGACCATACTCAATATTATTATTGTTTGTAAACATTTTTTTCGTTGTTGATATTCCAGACAAAGTTTGAACAATTTTTGTTGGGACATAGGCGTTTTACATATCCAAGCGCTAATTGTAGACAATATGGGAGTGTACCGCATCAAAATGTCTTCAATATCATCAATAGTCGAATTCTTTAGCTTAAGGGATAACACCCAAACTCAGATATTTAAAGTGATAAATTGTAGGTTTAAATCTGACTGTGATTATTAATATTGTACTATATGGGTATATGCAAGCGGATCATAGATCCCATTTCTAGCTATTTCTGAAAATATTAAGAATTATGCTTGTGTTGGGGACGTTAGATCCCCAGAACTCGCTTGATAAATGCCTTATTTTGGATTTCACGTTTGCGAGCATGGGCTGATCAGTAGATCTTGAGATTTCATTTCCCATCAGGAAAAATCCTTGGCTGTGATTAGCTGCTCTGTATTTTAGTGTTCTATTTTCGTGACTGTCCCAAGGACGTTTCTATGATGTATAAGTAAACAAGATTTGTGTGCTTGATTGCATTGGGCTTTCTGGGTGTTTGGAGAATATACTTTCTACGCTTATCAAGACTTCTCTTTTACCGTTTTCGGATCAAGGTAGCCTACCTGGAAGCAGTTTTACTTTTCTAACTTCTTTGATACATTTTTATTTAGTCTGAATTTTTATTTAATAATAATCGGTCATATTTTGTGTGATGAAGCATTTTTTGGATAATATTTTCGTTTTTCAATTTGTGTTCAATAAAGAAACTGTTTTTTTTCTTAGATTGCCCAGTTTTAAGACAATAATAATTTCTTTTAATCATATGTGTACAACAGGTATATTGCAGTAAATATAAATTTAAAAGTAGTAGATTATCGATTACTGCTTCTGTTACTTGTCACATCTTGTTCTTGGTGTTTTTTTTACAGTTAAATAGGATATCACTATGGAATAAAGCAGTTTTTTTCTTAGAAAGATTAACATTTCCTCATAACGGTTTTTCTCATTTTCAAATTTATTCCACTAAATTATACTTCTTGAATCGTGTCTTCGAACTCTAATCTTTTCTATTACCACTAATACTTTTACTACCTCTACTACTATGGGATTTTAATTGACAATTCCATCTCTTTCTCTCTCTCTATGCTAATGTGGTATGGCAACTTAAACTGATGTACGTACGTACGAAGTTCTGCTTTGTAACTGACTGACTGACTGAAAGATTTTAATGTTAAAATTGTATAGATTCCATACTCATTATTTGCAAGTTCTCGATTCGCAATGTTGAGAAAGTTGTCCAAATCACAGGTGAAACAGTTAGTTGTTCAGTGTTTCTTAATTCCTAACATTCGTTAGTTGGTAATAAAATTAACACTTTTAAAAGAGAAAGAAAAACTCTGTAAAGATTTCCTCATTTATTGGTGAAAAAATAATTGTACTTTAAAACTGAAAAGTATCATTTTCGCAATTGTCAAGCTAACTAGTTTCTCGTTTAAAATAAAACATCAGTCGTAATAGACATTCATCGTGTTTTTTGTTGTTCTAAAATTATTAACGTCTTTTAAATGCGAAAAATACGTGTATTGAATTAATGATTGAGTGTATAACTAACTATGCTGAATCTTAGTACTAAATGTATTCCTGACTCATGACAACTCAAAAATCGATAAATTCGTAAAATATAAACAACTCATAGTCAACCTTTTTTTTAAAACACAATGTGATGAATTTCATTTGGTGTTTTGCAAAAAAACAACATTGTACAATTGGTTTCCCTAAGATGCATACTCTTCAGAGTTTTTTATAGCTTGAAAATACCTTAGATTGCGCAATTACTGACTGCTTCAGTGTTTCCCCATCATACTGATACTCACTCAATCAATGTTCTTTTAATGGTGAGAATAGTATATGTCGATAATCCAGCGTGAATATCGTTGCCCCTTGCTTATTTATGTCATTTTATAAGAAGATTGGGCCTAGATGACTGCATGATTCATCTTAAAATTATGTCCAGTAGTTGAAACTAATTTTAACTTTTTTTTTGGAAGTATTGATGTTATGTAGCACACTGGCGGTAGTACGGTTGTGTTGGTTATAACTGTCTGTCTCACTAAAACTTCACTCTGCAACATTTATTTCAACATGAATAGCATTGTGACTAAGTAACACCATGGTAACGTATAAAACATGAACAATAATGGCTGTTTTAATTAATTGATCAGAGTTAACATATCTTTCGTGTGCCTTCTATCTCATTTTTGGCTGCTGTTTTTCCAAAGATGAGTCACTTTGCTTAATATGTCATACAGTACAAGTCGTCTTTAACTATATCCTCCTCACTCATCTCCATCATATCAAGGCAAAATAATACATTTAATGTGAACAAAGTACTCTGTACAATCTTTCAGTTTATCTATCCTCCCCCTTGCCTACAGAAATTTATGAATATTATTTTATTGTTTATTCACGTCCATCTTAAATCATATCTGATGTTAGTGTTTCTTTTGAAATTATTTTACATAAGTAGATGATGATTCATACCTAAAACACACAGTCGATGTCATATTATGCTCTTTGTTCTATTGTTTCTTGAAAAACAACTGCAAAAAAGCTTTTTGCATTTTTCAAAAATTTAAACTATAGGAAAAACCGGTTTAGGCATTTACAATCCATGACACAAAGATTCTGACGACTCCCAAATGCCCTGGTAACAGCCACGAGTGCAGAGAAGTCTCTTTTGAAATGGTCTCACATAACCATGCGGATATATAGCTACTGCCAAGAAAGTTCTATTCACATAATCTCGTGGTGGGGGCGTTGTTACGAAATCAAGTGGACGAAAAGAGGGTGTCTGGCACTTTGATCGGGTTGGTGGGTATGAAGGATCCATCTAGGGGGGTTTAAAAGTCCTAATCCCATCCCATGATGCACATGGGCCGTTGTATCCTGGTGAAACGAATGACATATAAACATTATTGATCTCTGGCTACTATAGGACTGCAACTTCTGACGTTGCTCCACTACCTTGTGGACTAGACCTCTTGGTCAAAGCCTCGAGAAGTGACCCCCTAAGTAAACTATCTGGTTCGGTATGGACACCCAGTCAATATCCTAGTCCGCTCACAAATCCAATAATTTTTGTGGCGCATATATGTAGTTTGGTGCCCCTTTGTATCAATGTTCATGCTGAGATTTATAATGACAAACCTTTCTAGACTTTCCGGTTAAGGTATCTTCTATGCAGCTTCTCAAGAGTATTTCACTATTCTGTTAGTTCCGCTGTTGGTTGTCAGTTCGATTTTATCTTTGATACAAAAGTGTCTTTTATTAATAATCACCAACTTCACACTGTTCAAAAAAATTTCACTATTAATTTTAATAGAAAGTGACATTTGTATATTGATTAGAACAGATTTTGATCTAACCTTGTGATCATTAACCTATAAATAAAAAGTAGAACCAGATATCAATGCACAAATTGTTTGACAGAATGGAAGTTAAAATTTTAAGAACAAATAAAGGCAAAGCTAGAATAATCCATTTTTATTTAAAACGATCGCTATATATTTTAGCCCGTTACTGTTAGCCAATCCAAAGGCAGCTAGCTATTTTAAACAAGTATTGTACGGAGAAAAGTTATTACTGTGAATTATACATAATTTATGAATCGATTGAAGTTTTTTTGCTGTCAGTAAACAGAAAAAAAACCAGCAGATTAATGGGTGTATATGGATATAGAACATCCACCTTCTTGAACCTTTAAAAGGATGAATACAAAAGGATTTTTTAGCTATTTCGATATTCTTGATGAATACAGTTTATTTGAATGTTACAATACAATCTATATAGTTGGACTTGCACATTTAATACGTTAAACATTAACTGTTGTTACTCTGTGATATTAATGTTCTCAACAGTACAGAAAAGTATTTCTACTATTACTACTCATTCTGCGTGATATTCTATAAAAGTCAGTCACTTTTAAATTTCACGCAGAAAAGTAAAAAAAATTAGTTTTATCGATTCTTATTTACTCGTCTTCACGACAATTTTGCCTAAGAAATTAGAAAGGAATACGTCTGTCCCTATATACATTTCATTTTTGTCATGCTAACAACCAATATTTGATATATTATCTCCCCCCTAGCAAACTCTCCCTTTAATTATCGTACATTCTTTCATGCATATCATAAAATGTGTATGAGGCGTTTGTATAGATGATAGATGTGTGTGTTAAGTAGACATGAGTATAAATAAAATTCTGTCTTTCACTACTTCAAGCATAAAACCACACTTCATCAGTAGTAGGTTAGCTTCCAAATATGGTCTGTTCTTTCTTCCTTTTTTTCGAATGAGTAGACATCCATCTGTATTGATCATCTTCCTATACATATTTCATTATTCATTTTTTATTATTTCTTAATATAACCTTTTATACAGTTTGCAAGTATTTCAGATATATATATTCAATATTTCAATTCATTAGTTTTAATCTAAAAGGCCAGCTAAAATTTACTGACAATTTAGAAATGTACTCCCCAATCGCATTGTAATAGGTGATTGTTTTTTCCAACCTGTTTATCAGCTACAGATTTATATAGTTAGTTGGCTTTCATTTACGCCAGCTAAATGATATTATCCGTTGCCTCAAACTTTGAAGTAAAATAGAGTGAGGCTGTTCAAACCCGCAGCTTATTGAGTAAAATTTGAACTCCGTAACTATTGCTGTACTATCGTGACAATATTACTTTATTTCAAATTGTAAAGAGCGTGAAAAATTTACTAAAACTATTGTTTTTCCAACAGATATTCTTTGTTTCGCATAATAAGGCATTTTCAAATCTGTTTGGGACGTTAGGTTCTCAGAACTCACTTGATAAAGGTCCTAATATCGGGTTTCTTGTGTTTTCGCGCATCAGCTGCTCAGTTGACCTTGAGGTCACATTTCCCACTCATTGGTACGCCTTTTTTTTCTTGCTCTCCTAAGGACGTTTCTGACATGCATAAATAAGCTCGATTTGTGTGCTTTTCAACCTCGTATTTTCTGGGTGCTTTAAGAATACACTTTCTACACTTGATATAGTTACCCGAACTGGGGACAACGGATTCGATTAGCCTATTGTATCACTGCATCATTTGTTTTCGCTCACGTTACCGAGTAAAGTGAACTCGTAATAGTTTCAAGCATTTCAAAATCATTGCATGGAATCTTACAGTTCATGCATAATCTCCCCATATACATAATCGACAAGTTGTATTTTCATATTTTTTCCTTATCGTATGTTTATTGGCTGCTGTTCAACAATTTGAACCGAAACTAATCAATTAGTAAACAACTGTAAAACAGAGAGGGGGTTAATGAATTCTTATAATCTTTTTTATCCAACACATCTAATCTTTCTTTTTTTTTTCTAGTTTAAAACAGCTTGTTAAAATATTTTCTTGATAAGATATACTAATTAGTTATTTTTATTTTCTAAAAAAAATCATTTTTTTCTATTAGGTAAAATTATATTATTTAAAGTGGCTGTTGTTTTATTGAATCGTTTATTTGGGCATCCTTCTCATCGTAAATCATGTCAAGGACTTGATGATATTCTTATTAGATTACGTGAAGTATCAACTGTTATTGACAAATTGGATAATTTCATACGTGAAGTAAGTAAACATGAATAATGTTTGTTTAATAATAATAATAATAATAATAATAATAATAATAATAATAATAAGAGCGTGTAACTTCACAGGTTCCCAGTTTCTATTTTCTTTACCTTAAATCGTATTCTAAAGTACATTCTGTTATCTTTAATGTAAAGCATCTTACCACTGTTTGCGTTCCAAGCGTACTAGGTAAGGATGGCAAATCAGTTGATGGAGTAGTTAATCTTCATCATCACTGACAACCTCCACAAACAATGTTATCTGATGTAGGGGTACGTTAGGGGGAAGCTACAGGCGGCTAAACCAAAACATGTCACAAATCCATGAAGTCAGCGATAACTGGACTGAGCCATATCGGTAATTGTAGATTACCAAGTTGAGGTCCTCGAGACAATAGTGACCGGTGGTTAAAGACTTTGAATGACATGGCTCAAAATCGATTGCATAGGCGCAGGTGCATTCATTCTTTGTTTTCTCTCGAATTCTAATCTTCTTAATTCCTCAACACGTTTATCTTACTGCTTTTAAGTTTATTTCACTGGGCTATACTTCTCGAATCATATCTTGAGTCCTTGATCTTTTCGATTAAGCGCTAATATTAATACTATCTCTACTACCATGGGATTTGAATTGACAATTACCAACTCTCTGTGCTAATGTGGTATGGCAACTTGAACTGATTGATGTATGTGTATGTATGAAGTTGTACGTTGTAACTTGCTGATTGACGACTGACTATTTGCCTTCATGTTTATTAATATTGAATAATTGTATTCTAGCGAATTAGGTGATTACTGTACACCACACGTTTTTCGCACTATATACAGCAAAACAAAACTAATGGAACACAATCACAAATACGAATGTATACGATTGATTGATATTTTATATCATGCTTTATATAATTGAACTATTTATTCTATTATCATTATCCACGACAAAAATCGAAATACTCTCTGTCGGATAAAAATACTGCATTTCTGCTAATTAGTACAGGTTCACAATTTTCTTGGTTTATTAGTTTCATTGTGTATCTACGCTGATTATCAGATAGCGTGTTGAAATTCTCTTAGTTTCGTTTGTGTTTTTTTCAAATTGATCGTTGTTAAACATGAAAAAAATAATGACTTCTGTTTTATTTCTCTACCAAACTCTGAATTTTTTTCCGTTCATCAAGTATTTCATTGTGTTGACAAAAAATAAAAAGCGGTAGAACTGTTAGCTTGCTACATTATCATATTCAGTTCAATACTGTCCTTTTTTCATTATGGCCAGTGAACGAAGGTAGACAGACAGTTTACTAATTAGAGCTATAAATTCCTTCCTATCTTTGATTCCATTGTGGTCTCTACTCTGAGTACGTGTGTTTGTCTCGCCTAAAATCTGGCTCTTATTTATTGATCTTGAATCATGTATATAACGTGATCCAGTCTCTATATCTTCTAATGTATTGAATTTATAATCTTATCCATCCTATTTATTCTATTCTGCAAATTTTATATTTCTCTGTTACAATAATTTATTTAACTGTTTTATAATTATTCATCTGATTAAATTGTATTGACAATTTTGTTGTTTAAATTTCCAGCTACTTTTTCTTTATGCTCCGCTGTACTTTTCTTTCTTGATTTAAAGTTTTGTGAATTGAGCATTGAGTTAATAAGTCCATTGTGTTTTCGTAACAGCTCTTATAACATCTGCCTTTTTTTCAATTATTAAATTAATGTCAAGTGTGTGTATATATAGATGTGTGTGCGCATCAGTAGATTCCCATACACGGACGTAGCGGCTACTTAATGCTTCTTGATTATCACTGGTCATTTAACTAAAACCAGTTTATAATGTAAACTATCGAAATACATGTGTTTATTTGATGAATATTACAGTAACTAAATGTAAGAATGATTAGGTGTTTAAATGCACTGAAAGTACATGAAGTTATTTATTAATAAATAATTACTATTTTGATAGAAAATTACAATAGTTTTGTGTGCATAACTTATGCTATATTTTTTGAAGATAAATTTCGATCGCGAACTGATATTAGTTCGCTCGTTGGATAACCGTTTAAAAGATAGTTTTCACATCAATTTTTTTGTGTAGTGTATGCCGGACTCATATTTTACAAACAGGGGAATGGACTCAAAACTTTCCTGTCTTCTGATTAAGTACCAACTGTAATTAAATGGACCAAATAGATTTTGTCTAATATACATTGATGGTTAAATATCGATAAAAGGTTCTTTATTTAGATCATATTTTGTCAGCATTCAATACTAAAATTGATAAAAATTTGAAAACATTTAAAGTAGTAGTGTATGTATGTACTTAATTAGTGGTTTATTTGCCCGACCGTAGCTGCTACCTTGACGTGGTGGTCGGGCTTGCCTATCGTGATGACCCAACCGAGCTATACTGGCTGGAACATATGTTCCTGAAGGTCCTACTATGCCAGGCTGGTCGATTGGAGAACGATGAGACTAAAAGCAGCTACCCAAGGTCTGAGGGCGAAGTCGTACTGCTGACTGCAGATGGGTGTGACAGCAGTAAGGTGTTTCCCTCGGATAACCAGCATCGGCAGCGATGCTGTCTTCTCACAAAGAAGGAAGGGTTAGAAAAGGTCAACCCTAAAAATGTCGCACCCCACCCTACCTCACGGATTTCAGTCTCCGGCGGTAAGGGTGCCCTCTAAGGGCTTTTAAGGACGGAGCTAATCCTCAAAAAACCTTTCATAAAAAGGTTGTGCGTGACCGGCCTCAAGCAATTGTCCCTTGGACTCTGCGGTCACGAACCCAAGTCTCTTAGACCAACGCTAATATACCTTCCTTTTCAGGTCCCTCAAGAAACATCCTTGCACGGTGTGGGCAGCCGGGAAGTGACAACCGCCCTCATACCCGTAACAGCACACGAGACCAAATAGGTTTATTTGCTCTTGCCAAATTATATATCACAGTGTAGATCCATTCTTATATAGCAACATTCCTACATTTAAAAGTTAAGGAAATATTTCCAGATTGTCGATTTATTGTGTTGAGAAGATATCAACGAAACAATTAGTCAGATATTGTTTTACGTTTCAGTTATGTTTTATCTGATTTAGTTCACTGTTTAAGATAGTTGCAGAAAAGTTGAAGGATAACTTTTGAGCTTTATGGAGGTCTTCGCCATTCGTAAATTAACCCCCCCTTATGTGTATAGAAACAATTTGTTATAACCTTAAATTTCCCCTGGTAATCTTTAAGCCATTTTGATGACCTAGGTTAATGTGACAATTTCCTACCCCCTTTCTTATATTACGTTAATTTTCTCTCTTCTTCACCTTATGTCTGTTTGAACTTCTATTTATTTTCATATAAAATGCTTTGACAAGTATGCGTGTGAATAGATTGTTCAAAATGTATAGTGCAAATACATCACATTTTTCAGTAAAGTTAGAGAAAGTATAGATAAGCCTATTTAATTTGAACAGTACTATTGTAAGTTATCAAGTAAAACACTGGTTTATTCATTTTCTTTTTAAAAAATAACGACTATCTATGATTGTCAGAATAGTTCAATTTAATAATTCTTTCTTCATTTTAATTAGAATGTTGCTTTATATATTTCTTCTTTTCATCAAGGTTGTTCGTGTCCCTATCACTGCGAAAGAATTAAGTCAACAAATTGTTCGACAATCTCAAAAATGGGCTGCTAAAAAACAATCTTAAGCATTTAAATTTTCATTAGTTGGATTGAATCATCAGTCAATTTGTCAAATAAATTGGATGGAAAAAATTTTCAAAGACAACAGTCTACTCTGTTGACCTGTTTACTTCTAAATCAAGGCACAATATGATAGTACTAAGTAGTGAAGGCAACAAAAATGATTATATTATATATATATATACGTATATATATATATATATTCTATCTATCTAATGCTTTCCTCTCTATACCATATGTATATAAATACACTTCTCGTTCATTGTTCAACACTGAATTACTCTTATTTTCATTTGTTCTTCTCGTGTAAAAAAGAAAAAAAAATATGTATGTCAACAAATCTCCTTTGGTTTTTTTGCTAGAAATATCTACTAAAAAATACAACTGTCATATAATTTCTGGTGCAATGTTACTGTTGTTACTCCATGGGAGCTGCTGCTGCTTTGACCGATGAAAAATTGTCAACACCGTATTAATCGCAAAATAATCATATCCCAGGCTTTGCGTCAATAAACCGATAGACTCTCTTTTTGTATGTATTACATCCATTGTTTTATTTCTAAAAAAAAAACTTTTTAATTCCTATTCTTGTCGTTATTGTTCCATTTCTTTTATCTGCACTATATACTACTTTTACATATGGTAATTGTTTTTCTGTACAACCCTTTTATAATTAATACTCTCCAATGTGAAGAACGGACGAGATAGTATCTATCATCATCTATCCATCAAAACAGAAGCTCTTTTTCGAATATACATATATAGCTTCATTTTGTCAACTTTTGCGCATCTTAATCGTCGAATTGAATCACAGTACACTGAAACAATGACCTAACTGTCTCTGATATATATATGTACCACTGATATAATTTACATCTTTGCTGTGCATTTATCTATCTTACACATACTACTACATTTCGGATTTATTCTTGTCACCTATTTACAAAAAAAAATAGAAACTTTTAATCATTCATCACAAAGAAAAGTCCCAAATAGAATTAATTAAACAATAACATTGTACATAGAAATTTTAATTTTGAAAATTATTTTCGTCCTACTTGTCAAAAAGTTATCTTGATTATGTTTTTAATTTGCCATGAATAATGTGATACAAGGTCTTTTGCTTGTATTGTTGTTTTTTTTTTGCTCTTTCTGTCTTTTTGCAATACATGTCCCGGCTTATAAAAAAAATAAAATATAACACCTTATTAAGCAATATGACATGCAAGATGCTTTGTACGAATATTTATTATTATTAGACTTTTATTATAAAATATGTTAAAATGATATTCACTAGTAGTGTAGTAGATTATTTATTTGAATAATATTAATTAAAGAAAATCTAATTTAGATCGGGGGACCTGTCTATCTTATAAAATAGAAGGATTTCTTTTTCGTGCAATTTACACTGAGATCTAATTGACATATTTTGTTTTTCGTGCGAAATAAGTAAACGTTCAAAGGTGAATTTCATCATCCTGAAAAATTGCTACTCTTCAAAATTTGAGTAAATCGAACTGTTAGTTACATTCATAACTAACCAATCAAATCGTGGTTTAAGCGCTCACCACGTGATCTGGTCTGATGTATCTGTAAACTATCCTGTTGCACGTGACCTACCAATTGAAGGACATTATTATTCTATTATATTAATGTGACTCAATTTTATTCATTTCGATTAGACACGCAATATTGGTCGGTATGTTTGTTCGTTTCACTTAATTAGTGTACTAATCTAATTGTTTTTGTGTTTAGAAACATAAAATTTAAAGCCAAGTTGTCCTTGTTCTGACTATAGCGTTCACACAGACTAGCCAGTATCGCGTTTATGGTTCTAGTAGTATATCTGTAGGATAAATTAAATCCTACACGAACAAACATCGTATCAATGCGAAGAGTATTTTCTTTTTGGGTTCTCGTTAATAGTTTGACGATAAAACTATCGTTCATTGAGATGTTTGATGAGAGCATTTTGATGAATTGAAGATAATTTTCGTCAGAAACTGATATCAGTTCGAGAACTAAAGATCGATCACTGGGCAACTATTTTGTAGTATTCAACAGTACTCATTCGTGACCCAACAGGAAAGTTAAATCAGTGTATTCAGGTCTCTCAAGGAGTGTAATACATTTATAATATTGAATCAGAAACCAATAGTTTACACTGAACGAACTGACATCGAATTTCTCACTAAAATAGTCTTTCAAGCATGCTTTTCATCTCACGGTTTCTTGGGGGTAGCAATGAAAAAAAGACCCACAAGTAATTATCAAAAGGTTGGGATATGTTACTTGAAATTATTTACGCATTAACTTTAGGTAAATTGATGAGTTTTACGTGGGGGGTTGCTAGATCCCCAGAAATAGCTTGACAAGTCTTAATTCTTTTTTTTTAAATTCTTATTTTCGCGCCAAAATCGCCCCTTATTACCGTCAGTTTGTATTTACAACTTGCAAGAACCCTAAACTTTGTAGGTTAGTTTTCTCTTTTAGTGCGCTATTTCATAATCTTTCCAATGACTATTGTTGTACTGCATATATTACGCATAGTAATAATGAACACGTCTAGATAATTTACAAGTGAGCATTTAAGAAAAGACATCAATTTCTCATACTTGGAATCCATCTAGCGTATAATAAGTTATAATTAGAAAGGTTTAAGAGATAAGTATGTACAGATTATGTTTAAATCTCACAGACTGACCTAAATGAATCTAAATTTAAAGTAACCACTACTAATTGTAGTAGGTCTAAGCGTTCTCTAATCTTGTTATTCATCAGTTGTAATTATAAATAATCTTTTTCAATTCTGATGAATGCAAATAATAGTGAAGTGGGTTACCTTCAGAGAGAGAATTTTCAGTCCTGAGTTTGCAAATAAAATTTTCTTACCGTGTGATCATACTCAAGCCATGCAACTCGCCCACGCTACTGCACAAATGAAGATTTCTTTCTTTTGTTAATTCAATGCTAGAGTTCAAATTAAATATATTTTTATAAAGTTAAATGATCCTGCATAAATAGCAGTGGTTTGAGAATGCAGTTAGCATTTGTAATTTTGTGGTTGAATTTCCAATGATCTAGTCCCTACCTATCATCCGATAACACTTTTTTAATAAATGGAAATTTTGTTTATAAAGTCTTGTTGAAGATTATTAGTAGATAGCTTATAATCTTTGTTAATCACTCTCCATAAGGAAGGATTTTTTTTTGACCAATTCGGTCTCGCGTGCTGTTACTGCGCAGCAGTTTGCTCCGTCTTACGATATGGATGCGAAACATGGCCGGTAAGAGTAGAGGACAATCGTAGATTGTTAGTATTGGATTATAGATGTCTTCGAAGGATTGCTCGTATATCCTGGGACAGCCGAGTAAGCAATGCTATAGTTAGGAAACGAGTACTAGGTAAGGATGGCAGGTCAGTAGATGAAGTGTTGAAACTTCATCAGCTGAAATGGTTGAAACATGTTTTACATATACCTAACCACTGACTGCCTCGACGAGATATGTTTTGTGGTGTATGAGTAGATTGGAAAAAAGCTAGGGGAGGCCAAACCGAAACATGGCAGAAATCCATAAAGTCACTGATAAGTGGACTGAGTCATGTTAGTAGATGTAGGCTACCTGGTTGGGGTCCGCGAGACGATAGTAATCAATGGTTAGGGACCTTGAACGACATGGCTCAAAACCGTTTGCAATGGCGCAAGTGCATCCATTCGTTGAGCTCTCTCAAATCCTAATCTTCTGGATTCGTTAGCACCTCTACCTTTGTCTTTCTAACCTTATCTCAGTGAATTATACTTCTTGAATCATATCTTCGCTCCCTAATCATCTCGATTACCAGTAATACTTCTACTATCTCCATCAATATGGGATTTGAACTGACAGTTGCGTCTCTGTGCTAATGCGATATGGCAACCTGAACTCATGTACGAAGTTCTAAGTTGTAACTGACTGACTCTTCATTAGGAGTAGAGAAAAAAGAACGAAAAACGATTGAAAGAAAACAGCAAATAAATATACACTAATTAATTGTTTACACTATACATACATTAATATCTTTCAAAAGAAAAATATTAAACAATCTTTTTGTTCGAAATTAAAATAACAATTAAATCAAGATTAGAAGTTAATAGTATTCACAAAACTTAATAAATAAATATGTGATTTTACATATTTTTTTTACAATGATCAGCATCAAATGGAGCAGGTTGTATAGGATCTGGTAATAAACGATTTGTAGCCTCATCTAAATCACAATCTAATAGTGAGTCATTTGGTCGACTTGATTTACATAATGGACCTAATAATAAAATATGTGGATTTTCTAAATGACGTGAATCTAAATCATCGGTGCGTACTTTCAATGGAATAGTTGTGCGTATTTGTTTTACTTCCTGATGAAAATATTCATGAAATTGTTTCATATCTAATTCCGCTGATTCTAATTTTCCATTTAGATCGTTTAAGCTATAAGAAAGGGAAAAAAACAAAGAGGGGGAAAAAATGGTACTATTACTCAGCCAGTTCAGCGACAATAAACTCATCTAAAACAATTATCCTTTTTACAAAATTCTGATAGAACAGTGAGGAGAAGTAATTGATCTGAAAAATGTGATGTATTTTCATTAAACATTTCGTACAATCTGGTCACACACATACTTGTCAAGGCATGTGTGACTAGATTGTTAGGAATGTATATTGCGAATTGTTAGGATATTCATCAAATATCCTACGAGAATTATTTTTGTAAGTCTAATTCTATTGGTCGATTCTTACTGACTAGAATTATGGTCGTCTTAGCCATCAATGTCACGTACTTCAATGTTGTTTCCCATTGTTCGTCTTGACTATCAATGTCACAGGCTTCAAAGCTGTTTCCTATTCGACTCAACTGTATAAATACGCATTATCTGTAACGTTTTATAACCCTAGTCCAGGATCCTTATCCTCTTCTGGACTCGGACCTCGTACTTTCTAGATGCTTGTACGATACATTTCCTACATCGTATCAAGTCTTCTTCTTTTACTCAATGGGGATTAGGACAGTCGGATTAGAGTAGGATGTCGTGTCGCTGGATCCTCGATCCTTGCTCTCGTTTACTGACCAAGGTAAACTCATAATAGTTCAAGCATATCATATGACGTGTTTACGTGCATGCGTAACACAAATACATCACATTTTTCAGACCAATTACGTCTTCTCACTGTTCTATCACAATAAAGGCATTTCTTAGAGTCTTTTTTCACTTGGTCATATTTTTTTTTCTAGTCAACATTTTCCGATTTCTACTTACCAATCATGACATTGATGACATTTTCAAGTGTCTTCCATGCATTGGCTTCATTTTTATACACACGCTGAATTTTTCCGGCAGTATTTATTCAGTTAGATTTTGAATAATAATCAATCGATATTACACAGGTGTTTATGAATATCAATCACATAGCGCGTACACACGCAAACGTGTACACGTTTGAATGACATCTTGTACATATTTAGTGTAATAGCTACCACTATTATTATTATTATTATTATTATTATTATGATCGATAAATATTACTATTTATGCATTAGAAAATACATTGCAATGATTAGTACATATCTGTTCGATTTGTAAATTAAATGTTTATGATGCATCATTAATAGTTACTATTTATGAGTAGAAACATTTGCTTTTCTATTTTTTTTGGATTAGTGAAATATAATACTGATATTACTTGGTAAAAGAAAATAATAATAATAATGATTGGTAACATCGTACACACAAGTGAGTTGTTAAAAAAAATAAGTAATAAATCAACCACAAGATGACATAGTGTTCTACTGGTTTAAAAGTTGAAGTTAAACATTGCTAATAAAATAAAAACGATGTTTATTTCAACTAAGAAATGAAGTAATCAACAACAAAAAAATAACTATTTCTAAATGCAAGTTGGATAATGTAATCCTAGTAATTATATGATTTCTACATAACACACCGCCTACAACACAAAAAGTCAATAATACATACATTATATACATCTTAACCTTAACGATTAGTTAAAATATTCAGAAACTTATTAGTCAGTAAGTAGGCAACTGAAACTTTACAACTACTCTGTGAAGAATCAAAGTATTTTCTCGTATGAAATAATGTCAATACATAGTTCTATAAGCAAAGTGTATTTATCCAAGTGCAATCTGTAAAAGTCATCTTTACAGTGTGAAATGAAACGGTTAAGTAAATTGAAAATGTATTGATTATTTATATATTTTAGACAACAAACTCTGATAAAAATATTTACGCCTACCAAGAATCTTTTCTGACAATATTTATATATTTGTAACGGCATGACCTATTTGTATGCATATTTACTGTTGATTCTCTTGTCAGTCAAATGCAATGTAGAACCGGGTACATGTGTACATCGTTTCAAGTTACCAGACCCCGTTAGGATCGCAAGATGAATTCAGCCAATCACAATAATTAAGTAATCATATCGCTATTGTACGTATGTATATTAATTGTATACCATTAATGAGTGATTCGGTTGAGTGAAATGGTTTAAAATCAGACACATTTGTATAGTTGAATTCATTATTTATCTTTCTCCGAGTCTGGGGCTTAGTTCCTGTTGAGATTGGATGACTAAGGGAGTCTAGAAAACTCTAAAAAAGGATTGTCTGAAACGCGTATGTCCTTACTTTTAGATGTGTAATTACTTACACTTGGATCAAGTGATTTTTACATTCTCTGAATCGTTCGCTAGCTTTTATCTGACTCATTAACTGTTATCCTTTTGTATCTTGAATACTTCGGTACATATTTTAATTTCTTGTTTATAATAGCGTTATGGTCCTGTTATTTGTGCATTTCACATCATATAGATATTGGAGTCAAACGAACAGGGGTTATATCGGTGTTTTATTCTTATCTTCTGATAGGTGCTGGGCAAATGAAATTCTGCGTAGCGAATTATCAATTGTATAGCAGATCACTAAGTTGAGTACACCAGCATAGACACTAACAAGGTTGAGGCAATCAAAATAGATCCATGACCATTGTAGTATTTTTCGTATTTTTAATTTTTTTTTATTTGATTTTTTTGTTTGAAACTATTTCTTATACATAATTTCTCATTGCAGACAATATTATTTATCTCTGATCTTCATGTGAATATTCTCGCTCGTTGTGCTGATGTGAGGCATGCTAATACATAAAGCGATACATTTTTGTATTCATGTTTTATTTGCGTTTCACAAGTTACTCAGTTTGTTCGATTGATGATAAATAATATACTTTTTTTATTCTTGTAACATTTATTAGGATGTTCCTATATTTCAATTCCATTTTTATATTTGATTTAGTAGCTAGAATATTAGTTACTTGAAATAGAATCTTTAACGTTTTATGATCTTGTCCTATGTCGTTTGTAAATTACCGACAAAAAAGTATTCTTGGATAGTGCTTTTTTTTCTTCTAGTTCTGTTATAAATAACTCTGAAGTTAGATATTAATGCTTGGTAAATAACAAGTTAGCAATTATTTTATCCTAATATCTAGTTTACGTAGATTTGGATGTATTTTACACTGGGCCTAAAATAAAAATGAATATGAACCTGTCATAGTTTTTAGTTTTCCTCTGATTAAGTATATTTCATTACATCAAGAAGGTTATAGGTGAAAGCATCCTGATTGAGGTTGAAAACAGTAACCATTATCTGTCTTATGAGTATAGAGATGGTGATATGGGTTGAAAGCAATTAACCCGAAGGATATACGTAATCATTGGTTCTAGTGAACTATGATTTCAGTGTTCTGTATACTACTATTGTTGACATTATCACCAATGATTTGTTTTTTTGTCTTTTTATTTTGTGTTATTGATAAATTACCGTTTTAATCTCGACTTTGTTGACTTCACAAGTGACAGTATCGGTTGAATTTATTACATAAGCTGGAATAATTAACATTTTCAATAACGGGAACGTAACTACTGTATAGTTAATAGTAAGCTAAAGAACATAATTTTTAAATCCTACCATGAGTGATTAACATCTCATTAATTTAGTACTAATTTATTGACAATAGAAACTGTATTTAATTCTTTTAAAAATTATTGAAGAAATATGTGATTTCTAATAAGACCAAGTCATTCATCCAATAAATTTTACATATCCAGTTTGACTACTAACAAGTAGTACGACTGTTTATTCCTATTTTCTAAATTAGCAAGTTCATGTGATGTTGATTAGAGATAAGATGTACTTCTTTTAATTGATTTACTAGACTTACTTTAAATTAGATGAAATTTTTACAATACAGAGCGTCGAACGCTATTTATAAAATATATGTATACTACTAATTATTCAAGAAGAGAGATCCAAATTTCGTTATTTACTCTATACTATATGTTGCTATGAGGGGCGGTGTGAGATTACTTGGCTTTGCAAATCAAAGTTAATACGACAGAGTTCAGACATACAACTTACTGGTTTAAATGTAAGTGCTTTAAAACTAGGTCAACACACCATTTTTTTATGTGTTAAGATTATTTACCGAGATAATTAGCTCCAAACGACACAATAGAAATTATTACTTTATACATCTACGCTAGCAGCGAAATGAACATACTAATTATAACATAAAAAGCTACTGTTTTAGAATCGACGTATATATATATATATATATATATATATATATATATATATATATATATATATATTTACCTATCTTCCAAATCTGAAAGACGAATCCCATTATCGATTAGTAATTTTTCATCTTCTGATAATGGTTCACCAGAACGTCTGATTAATGCTAAACCTCTTCGCATACATCGACCGAAATCTTCTTCAGATAAACTTAATGATTCATGAGTTAGATTTCTTAAGAAGTGAACAGCACATGACTATAATAGTATAAAAAAAGAGGAAAGTACAAGAAAACAATGTTATTTTTATTAAAGCCTATTAGTATAATTCTATTTTTTCATAATTCATCACAGTACAAATGCTAACGTATCCTATTTAGATGGTTACGCTTGGAAAAATTGGATGGAATCATGCCTAGGTAGGTACAATTACAACCAATAATTGAGTGGTTTAATAAATCTTTCAGTTTAGCTTCTCATCAGATAAACACCAGCTGTAATTTTTTGTTTAAGATTTTGTTTTTAGCTACGTCACACATAAAAGTTGTAACACACTTTGGTAATAACCAACATTAGAATTTCATACTATCTAGACAGAAGTGATTATGTTCGAAAACCTAGAGTTAAGTATAAGGTATAGTTTTTTGATGAAAGCTACTAGTTTATTGGCTGGTATATTAGTTCTACCTTGAAATCATGAGTGAATCGTTGTTAGACTACAATTAGAAACCTGGAATCACTGAACGGCCATTTCGTCCTAGTATGGGACTCATCAGCAGTGCACATTCACAACCTCCACTACTCGCAGGTCTCAAACCCAGGACCTTCAGTCTTGTGCATGAACGTTTAGAGATCACTAGTTTGATTATAAATAAATTGGATAAAAATTAAATTTAACTTGCTTCACATTAAACACAGCGGTAATATGAATTGAAAATAAAAATTGTTTATAAATAAAATTACAATGAAGCACTTACTAAATTTGTAAAGAAATAACCAGCTTCACCACTATTCAATCTATTTTGATTAGCAAATCTCATAATAAATTGTAAATTAGAATAAATTAATGGTGGATTTGAAGTAAGCACAATCCAAATTAATGTTGGTAAAAAATCATCAGCATTTGCTGTATCTTCTTCAACTATAATTTGATTATTTAAAGAATTACTCATTACATTATCGTTTTGTACATGAGTTGAATTTTCATTTTGACTAGGTATACAATCAGATGTTGAGTTTTGATTATCATTACTATTATTAGTATTAGTAGTATTAGACAAATATTGTTGTGTTATAGCAGCTTGATTTCGATAGTGAACTTTTAATGCGTCGAACACACTACGACAGCATTGGACTATTTGATTTAATTTATCTTCAGATGCAAGTAATGTATTCACTTTGATAAGAGCTAAATTAAAATAAATGAAACATCAGAACAGATACATGGTCACAAAAAAATGAAGTAAAACATAGTATAAATCTATGAAGTCGTTGGCTATTGAACTGACTCATGCGGCTAGTTGTAGACTACCTGATAGAGATCGGCACAATCATCACAAATAATGGATACGTTGAGTGATATAGTTCAGAATTATTCACACTGGTGTTTCACCTTAGATCATGGTGCTTCAGAATTACTTTGTGCCTTTTATTTTGCAAACTGTACCTTCTCTATGCCTAATCCTTTATGCTAAAACTTATTTTATTATTGCTTATTCTACTACTCTGGGCTGTTTTTGAATAATTTTATTTAGTTGTGTTAATATACATTGCAGTAGCTTGAACTGATGCACATATATGCCAGGTTTTACGTTGTTTATGACCGAATCGCTGGTCAAAAATTAACTGCCAAACATGCTCCTTAATATCCAAACGTTTTTAAGTAGTATCTATAGTGATTATGGTTACTGTGATAAAAGGTGGATAATAAAATACCTAACGAAAGACAATCCCATCGACCATAGAGTCATTACTTTTAATCTTGTAACCAGTGATTTTATTTTACTTGTCTATCTTAGACCATTCACATTACTCAGTCCAAAACTAGTATTGTGTATGTATGAATTGTTGTTATTCAAACTATACATAATATGTCATATTTCGTCCAAAAGTTCATCATAGCTTAGGCTAGCGATAGACTGTTTACTAATATATGAAGATAATTAGAACTGTATTACTTATTTTGGCAAGGTAGAATAGACATTAAATAAGCAGTTCGATCGACAGTATCTATTCATTAAAATGGATGTCCAAATTTAAAACACCACTGATACATTTGCTGACTGTGATTCAGAAATAAACTAGTTCCTTAACGTATGTAGTAAAATCAATTTTTAAGAAGTTAGCGAGTTATTATCATAATTAACGTTTGGGAAATAAATGATTAACAGGCTTTGGTCAAACTCTCAGACTAACTGTTGTCTACAGGTTGTATTTACATAGTGTAAGACATAAGACAAATGATGTGAGTAATTAACAGGCTTCTATGTATGCGTGTATATATGAGCGATCGGTTTCCTAGCCCATTCATCAAAGATATACTCCAAAATTAAATACTGATGCTTAGATTACGAACCCAAGTAACACAAAATTTGTTAAGATACAATCAAACATGACTATTTCAGTTAAACAGTAGATCATGCTAAGTAATGCAGTCCGATTCAAACTTACTGAAACAAATCTTGAATAACTGTTCTGTTAAAAGGTCATTTGTGCTACGTACTTGAATTCTATTAATAATCTAACGAGAAGTCACGTGCAAGCCATATTGATTTGTTAAATACTTACTAAAAGTGAAGGGTCTATAATTATCGATTTAAAAACTGCGTATGTTTAAAAGTGGGAGAAAAAAAGGGAAATTACAATGAACCTGAAAAAAGGATTTGATTTTTTTTAATTTGGAGGACCTCCATACTGAATTTATTAGATATCACTTTATGGGTTCTAATTATCACCAATCAAAAAATAAGATTCATCGTGGATTAATAGCATATAACCATATAGTTCAACTAGGAGAGTTTAATTATCTGTTTGTTATTACATGGTTAAGATATGTAAAGTGTCAAACCAAATTCTTGATGTAATCTAAGAGGTATTGTCGACGAGATATAAATGGTCCATATCAGTCAGTCATTCAACAACAACAGAGAACTTCGTACGTACGTAAATCAGTTCAAGTTGCCATACCACATTAGCACAGAGATGCAATTGTCACTTCAAATCCCATAGTAGTAGGTGTAATAAAAGTATTCGTAGTAATCGTAAAAATTAGGGTTCGAAGATATTATTCAATGAGGTATAATCCAGTGAAATAAACTTAAAAGAAAGAGATAAAGTGACGAGGAACTCTGAAGGTTGAGATTTAAAAGAACACAAAGATTGAATGCACCTGCGCCATCGCAAACGATTTTGAGCTATGCCATTCACGGTCTCTAACTACTGGTTACTATCATCTAGCGGGCCCCGACCAGGTAGTTGACACTTACCAACATGACTCAGTCCACTTGTCAATGACTTCATGGATTTGTGCCATGTTTTGGTCTGGTCGCCCTTAGCTTTCTTACAACCTATTGCTACATCACAAAATGGTTCATATTATGATCTACAGTATCCCAGATCTGAACGTAAGTGCTTTGAGTCACTGCATTTCACCTACAGACTTTTATAAAGATCACTAAGATTTTGAGATGGTGGAGAAGATTTGTAGCTCAAATGGATGATTGCGGTGGTGGTGTTTGGTTCTCTGAGCTGGATGTTTTGGTTGTGGAGCTTTCATTGTTCTTCGGAACAACATCATCATCATGAACTTCTATCTGAAGTCTGTGCTGAGAACCAAACACCACCACCACATCACTAAGATTATCACTTTTCTACTATTTGTGAGTCTGAAACGATTTAAGACCTAATCAAGTATATAAATCAACACTGTTCTATCCCAAAATTCCAAAATTGAACGCCATTTTTCTAGATCTGATGATTAAATCTAACATAAGTTCGGGAAGTAACTATTCATTGTTTAATTTTTAAGTAGGTTACATAGATACTATAGGTATATTTAATGCTAGATTTTGTCATAAATTGAAATCTCAAAAAATTTGGTAGAAAATAACTGAACATTTCGTGCAACTTTCTTTGTAGAGTAAAGCTCATAGATTTTATATTTTAGTGAAAGGCATGTTCTTTTCTACTGAATGGTTGAGAACTATTATCGAATTACTTAATTCCATTAAAAAAGTTGGAGTGTAAACAGTCTACATTTATCCACTTCAAAATGTTTGTTTAAGCTAACGATGAATGTTTACTGAGTGTCAACAGTAAGTACTATCTATTCCAAATTATATTTAAGTTTCCGCATAGGATATTCCGTTTTATACTTGTCAGTGTACCGGATACTGTTTACATTACAGGTACAAAGTAAGTATACGGATTTATAAAGTAACTGTAAATAATGCTCGTTTTAAATTCTCTATAAATTTTGTTGATCCTAAGAAGAAACTGAGTGTAACAGTTGAACACATGGCTTTATTCAGAATTCACAAGGATAAATTATGCAAGCATTCTTACCAAATGTAGCAAGGTCTAAATGAGCAAGTTCTTCCGATGAATTAGGATTAATTGGTGAATCAAGCAGATAAGGAGTTATCCAATGCAATGATCTAATTTTTTCCTGTAATTTTACATCTATATTCTCATCGTCTGTTGCAGGTGAAGCAAAAGCCCAAAAATAAATCCAAGTTGTAACGAAACGTTCAACAGAATTTAAAATAGATTCTTTGGTTTTTAGTGGCAGATTCTGAAATTGAATAAAACTGCTCTTGAATAGAAGGAATGAAACAATGCATAAAAAGTTATCTGAAATATAGGATCAAAATCTTTATCAAAATGTACCATTACAAATTAAATGAACAAATGAGGATCCTACAATCGACAAAATAATTATTACTTCTAGAAGTATATACTGTATCTAGAAAACGATTAAAAATAATATACATGGTAGTTTTACTACACATAAACGTCTTCTATTCGACGAGAATCAACGGTGTTCAGTTTGAAAAATAGTGACATAGTGATGATAATAAAACACTTCTATCCTTCCTCAGAATATTGCCTTTTTATCCATTAATCACCCAACACTATCATATTGGTAATGATAGTTTTTATCTAGTCAGTGCTTAAAACAAAGCAGATCTTTTTCAACATGAAAAATGAAATATAGATGAATTCTATTTTTTCTTACATAGTGTTCACCTCAAAAACCATGACCTTGGTGAAACCTAGACAATGTATTCTCTTACCAAATTGAACAGTGCACAAAACAATGACATTCATTTAAGTGAATTTGGGTTTTTTAACCTTTACAATTAAATCACACAGCGTAGAACAAAGCTACAGAAAAGCACTCCATTGAGTTACACACCTCTACAAAAAATATTTGTTTACTACCCATACAATTTTATTTAAAGACATAGCTGAAGATGGAGACATGACCAATGAGTCCACAACCTAGAAGAAACCAGGCCTGAAACTTGTAAGCTTCTAATGTGTCCCAATTTACATTATATAACAGCAACTAGTATTTTAGACACAACTGGTGGCGGACTTGGTCGTAGGCTATTTTTAAAGATGGGTAACAAAATAAAAACAATTTAGAACGATAATCTACTTTGTTTACAATAAATGAAACCCATATAAAAACTCTCGGTAGAAATTTTTATTGATAAAGTGAGTTGAAGTAGACTGCTTGAACTGGAAGTTTTAAGACGCGATCATTAGTACATTTGAGAAGGCTAAGTCTCGATCGCTCTGCTTAAAAAAACCTCTACAGTGATGACACATTTTCTGAAGTTATCTAAGGAAGTATTTTTAGTAATAATAGAAACTCTTCGTAGCATTTGTAATGCAACTCAATAACCAAGAAGAGATTTATGGACACAGTTATTAGCCGAATGTTTTGTAGAGTTGGATGCCACTACCCTGCTTTTCAGGTAAAATAAGTGGGGAGCAGTTGAAATCTGGAACGGAACGGTTGAAACTACAGTGTTTCATCCACAAAATCATTGTTCTTTAAAAAGGATATCATTTGTCAAGCACAGATTGGGGTACATTGACTAAGGGCTAGTTATATTACCGGGATGCTCAAACGAGATTAGGTGAATCAATATTAAGATCTAAAGTCCAGCAGTCGAATCTTTTAAATACTAAAACCCTTACTTGAAGAACCCAGCATTAACCATTATACTGAGATCAAAATCATAAAGTATATTATGCATCAGTATATATGGAAAACTAACGTACTGAATACATAGGATTGTGTGAAATACGGTTTGAAAGGTTGTGATAAAAGTCTTGCACAATCATTGAGGCTTGATTAATGTTTGAACCTCGAATCGGCTCTAACTGTTCCATAAGCTTTGAAATCTTAGTAAATTTTGTTACTAAATATGAATAACTACATGGCGGGAAATATCGGCATTTGCAGAGGCTCGAAGGGTGTTTAGAAATGTTTTAAACTCTTTTTCGGCTTGTAAACACTCCTCTGGGTTCACTGGATTTTGGTCCCGGTTATCATCTAAGATATTTCAATAAATGACCATTTGTTACCTCGAGGAACCTTAAATATATTTATGAAAGAAGTTGTATTCTTCCCAGCACTATGTTTGCGTCTCACCTCCGTATCTGAATTTTGAGTTGAAATCGAGGAAGTTGAGGGGTCCTGACTGGAAATCGATTGCTTTTGGTGAGCGTTGCGATAACACACGGAACAATATCCATCCCACGAAGGATTCCCATAAAAGCCACACTTATTTTTACACGATAAACTTGACACTTGAAGACGAGACGGGGGGTAGTTTGTGTTCATTGTAAAAACGTCTCCCAGTCGGTTGAATATGGCTTCTCAAACTTTCAAAACAAAACCAGAAAACACTATATGTAAATATTCAGACTATACTATAGCATGCAAAGACCAACAAGATCTGCTTAAGTATAAAGATATTAGGACTAAGATTTCACTGATATAAATATTTGAAGTGTTTACAAATATCAATTTCCGACTACTTGATCTATACCAATAAATTTGATTTTGGGCCAAGTCACCAAACACATTTAACCTTAAGGTACGATAAACAAGCTGACTCCAAGCAGCAAATTTGTACTTGTTAACAAGGCTAAACCTTACTGCTGATAAATTCGTGAGCTGGTGTGTCATTTTAGTTACTCAGCCTCGAGCAGCGAGAAAAAAATAAACCAGAAAGTGGTATTACTGAGACTGAGTTTTTGAGTTGGTCTCAAAATTTTAGATCAACTCGCAAACTCTTAGTAAAAATGGTAAATTGTGAGGATGAGTAGTGTTTTATTCAGTTGATAATCAATGAAGCACTCCGAAAAACACCTTAAGTAAATCGTGTAATCGGAGTAGCAGACTTCATACTTATGCGAATTAACTGTGGAAAGTCATACAATTAATGATAATGATTAGATAGGATTACATAGAGGCATGGAAAGGAAAGGAATGAAACAAATGGTGGTCATGTGAATTCACCGATTACAAATCTATGCGAAAACGAGAGCTTGGTTATTAAGAATTCTTAAGAATATATTTGATAGACCTGCAATATTTACTATCGGTACAATTAAGGTTATTTTTATGATTGGACGTACTGTGATGCACCATGCAAAGAAGCAGCTAATACACTTGAATGCAGACGTAATAAAAGTTTTTCGGTTATTGTAGGAACAAGTGGAACATTGCAATCATATATCGGTGAATTTCATGACAGAAAAATCGAAGTGATAATGAATATTACACGCACACGGATATTTTGACAACCAACAAAGAAAAAGGACTACTTTGTTTACACATCACGTTGAGGAATTACTCAGTAAATTATATAAAATGAGAAGATAACCATTATTTCACCACTTCTGCAATGGACACAACAGCACAGTTAATAACTTTGCGACCTGACACACAGTTCCTAAACCACGAGTGAAATACATACCGATCGCTGAATACCATTCACCTTTTACTAATAGGTTATTACATAGTCGAATGATTAATGCTACTTCTATAATATTGAGGCTTAAAAACAACACAAATCATCAAAATAGTCAAGACTATCATAGGTTTAAATGACAAAATTCTCGCCCTTGACTATATGTCTAAATTTGGCCCGAACATTAACTATGATGGTATGATTGGTGCTAGTGAATAATTCCCTAGATTCCCAAGTAGAATATGTTCCCCAGGTAGTTTCTAGTTAGCGACAATTATTATTATTATTTTAGTTTAGGATACTTTGAAACTACTTCACTGTTAGTAAACATATCTTCAGAAAATTCACTGCCAGTTAGACCATAAGACTAGTGATACTAGTCCCGATCTACCAACCGTAGGAAAATTATGGGGGATTCTGATCACATTTTTCTGTAATTCCTTTAACGTCAACTATAAGAGCTTCCACAGAACCGATCAAATCCTCCCCAAAGTTAGGAGATTGGGACCGGATAACACACGGATACACTTCTTAGAATCAAAAATACTGCCCATATTCTGATGCTTATTTAACAAGACATTCGGGATCAACAGAACATTTAGAGCTATCTTATTGATCTTAAGTGAGGAGTAAAGAACATTCCGTCATTCCTACCGGTTAGTCTAGCAGTTTTGGTCAGTCAGTCAGTCAGATGCAACCTAGAACTTCGTACGTAAGTACATCAGTTCATGTTGCCATACCACATTAGCACAGAGATATACCCGTAACAGCAGTTTTGGTGAGGTAGCAATTTGATATATTTTATACACGCATGCTCATGAAGAGTTTTATAAGCATCCTTACAACAATCAAATGAATGAAGTAAGCAAACCAAATAATACAAATGAATATTGGGAGGAATCTACATTTATTCATGTAACGAAGAACACCAAAACACGCGCTGTTGTTCGACAATCGTTATTCGATATCCAATATCCTCTTCACGAGCCAGTATAAACCAGTTGATTTCTTTGCGCTCGATTCTTGTCCTTTCGGTACGGTTCCAATTATTTAGAGGTATCCAATTGGTGGGAGTCTAGCCTCTCGACCGTCTAATTCTAGTCAGTTGGCAGATGGTTGTTTGTCCCGTGATTTGAATCAAAACGTTTGTTTCAGGAAAGTAGGGTTTCTGGATACCAGCAGCTATCACATTACGAACCCGGAGATCAGTTAGTTGCAGTGTGAACAATAACACTCAGAAAAGTCTCATGCTAATAAGATTTCAGGACTAATTAAACAAATGAATAATTTAGTTTATTAATTGGTAGTGAAGATTGTGCGAGAGGACCGAAATGTAAGCGAGAGAAAGGAAACAGAAATAATAGGCCAGATAGATCAAGTTAGTGATCCAGGAAAGTGGCAAAAATAACAACTAGCAGGTCTCGAGACATGGATCACGCACAGCTGGTCTAAGAGAGAGATGATAATCTCCATGTGATTACATGTTAATCAAGTCTCTTCTTAAAGCTGAAGGTGACTCCACTTTCATGAAGAGAACGCGATTGGTTGAATTTAAACATTCATTATTATAACCAATCATACCAGTGATTTTTTACTGAAACTCTTTGTTGATTAGTACTCTGTACATGCAAAATCTCCGTTTGTGTTTCTGCCGTTTTAGCCCACTGTCCCCTCTTTTCTGGCACGATTTCGGTATCATTCCAATACCAATGAATCGCCAGTATATGTATTCTTTTATATGGACTAACTTATCTTCTCTGTGACGGACACATAACTCCTCTCTAGTGGTGATCATAGTCAATCTTGACTGGAAACTCTACACAGCTCTCCACTGAAGTGACTGCGATCATTCGACTTGAAGTTTATTCCAAGTTTCTAATATTCCTAATGAGAAAAAAATGCTCACTGACCTGAGTATTCACGGAGATGGTATGTAGAGTTGCCAATTAAGGATAATCATTTAGCTATTCATTTGGGAAGTCAGTTTGGAAAAGCCTGTTTAGACATCTAGGAGTGACTACCACGTAAGCTGGGAGGTCACATCATTACAGTCTAACTAGAGGAGATGATCACTATTCAATTATAATGCCTACACTGACGTTCTTATCTAAAGAGCAAGACTTTCAATGACGCAACTCATCGTTATCATTATCCTTATAGCACTCCGTGTTAACTTTTTAGTGGTTATTGTAGAAACGTTTTTGAATGTTTTGTTTTTTGAAAAGTCCCTCCATGTTTATATATTTGTGTTATGATATGACTGACTCTTTCTGTTGACATTTTGGTACTCTATTTGATTCCATTTTGAGATTTTATCATTGTATATTGTTATTATTTCTATATTTTGTACTTATATTGAAGTTTTTATGTTTTCTTCTGAACTGTACACATGTTGTTTAAATTTGATCTTTAATATGGCTACAGCCATATTTGGATTTGATACCGTTGCGGTTGGATCTAGGATCACTCATTCCTTTGGAACCTGATACCCATCAGGGTAATTGGGACTTGGAAGGTGTATCAAAAGTCAGGTATTTTTTGTATTTCCATTTTTTTATATAAATAGACCACTTTCTCCTAGAGTAATTGTATTTTGATATTGGACTAGGAGAGGGGTGCGTTCGACTTACACCTACTGGAAACAAATTGAACTGCTACGGTAGAAAATTCATCTGCATTTATTGCATACGTTTCCTGATCACTAATAATCTTAAGTGTATCGTTTTAACACTGATTGGTATAAAAACTTAGCTAGCTCTGTTTGTATAAATGTCTAGTCAATTACGAATATGGTCAGCAATCGTTAGTCCTCAACAGTCGTAAGTAGCGTGTTGTTGCTCATGTTTAATACGTCTGTTAAAATACCAACTACTCACTCGCACAGCCGCAAGGCTACATAGAAGCACTTATGGTAAGTAAAACCCAAATAGTTATGTATTTGAATTTTGTCTTCCTACATCACTTCATTTTTGCGTCATTTTCCGCTACAAACATTCCTTTAAAATCTTTTCTTACTAAACTAATGACCGTTGAGTTCTATGATCAGCCATAAAATTCGAATAATCGAAAATCATGGTGAATGTGATCTACAATCACATCGACAATCAAGGTGGATCCGATGCAGATGTGAGGGCACGGATTGGCAAAGCAAGGGCTGCATTTCTACAGTTGAAAAATATCTGGAACTCCAAACAAATATCAATTAACACCAAAATAAGGATTTTCAATACAAATGTCAAGACAGTTCTAATGTATGGAGCGGAAACTTGCAGAACTACCAAAGCCATCATCCAGAGGATACAAGTGTTTATTAACAGCTGTCTACGTAAAATACTTCGTATTCGTTGGCCAGACACCATCAGCAACAACGAACTGTGGGAGAGAACAAACCAGATTCCAGTGGAGGAGGAAATCAGGAAGAAGCGGTGGAAGTGGATAGGACACACATTGCGGAAAGCTTCTAACTGCGTCACGAGACAAGCCCTCACATGGAACCCTCAAGGCAAAAGGAAAAGAGGAAGGCCAAAGAATACATTACGCCGAGAAATAGAGAAAGATATGAGAGGAATGAACAAACATTGGACAGAACTGGAGAAAGAAGCCCAGGACAGAGTTGGTTGGAGAAAACTGGTGGGCTGCCTATGCTCCATTTGGGGTAACAGGCGAAAGAAGAAGAAAGAAGAAGAAGTGATCTACAAGTTTCCTGCACACCGAAGGCTCGTTAAGATTTTGCAGACGGTCATTACGACGTATGGGACTTGAAATATTTTGAACCTAAGTCCGATCAGTTTACTGCACCATGCAAATCCAAGTCAATCATAATTCTTGTTTTGTCCGTGTTATCTTTGACTTTATTGTAATTTAATGACCAGGAATTACAAAGTTTCATCATATAAAGTTACCCAACAGAATTTTATGATTTTCTTGGGTGTCTTTCCACAGATAACGTTTCATCTCACACATTTAGTAGTCATGTATTCTATCACTTCCATTACGTCATAGCTTAAATGATCGATACCTATGCTTTTAAAAACAGTGCACGATAAAAGGACTCACCTAAACTATCTTAACCTAGGTCTTAACTATAATCCTAGTGTAGTGAAGGAGAACACAGGTGGGGCAACCGAATTGTATTTAAAGAAAATTACAGAGTTACTCAGTAAAATCGGAAAACCATATCGTAAATCGTGAATTTGCAAAATATCAGTTCATCATATCGAACTGGACTGTTCCTGTTGCAAAACATCAATCCATTGTCACTATTCATGCGTTTCACACTAATTCCATTGTGTTCTAATTCCTCCTATCTTGATCTTCCCCATCTTCTGCTGCCAGACATTACGTTGACACTCACGTCATATACTACTTATAAGTAGATCGCACCACACTAGTGGTGTTTCCACACTCATTGTTACTAAGGCTAGATGCTACAACGTTATCATCAGCCTTTTTGAAAACAGTTACGGTATCTGCACCTAAATCTAGCTGCAATGCTGATTAGTGTTTCTGATGTTTGATATTCTGTGTCTGTTGATTTTTAACTCATGATTTAACTTTTCTACCATTTGTATGCCGTGTCAATTTTGTTAATGGCTCATTTATGATAAATGCAACAAATATTCTAACAGCTGCTGGGATTTTCCACCAGCTCCACTGCAGTATTAATCTTTATATATATATTGTAGTTCGTTAGTTAGTTAGTCCACAGAAACGAACTATCTGGTGATCTCAGATTGGCACAATATGTGGGCGCCATGTATTGAGAGGAAGGATAGCAGGGGCGCATCTCACGCTGTATACTTCAAACTTGTGACAAAATTACTTCCGATGGACCATGAAATTTGTATCGTAACGTGATACATCGGAACAAGGTAGTGCATGCAAGTAGTACAAAGTGGATAAATGTATGTACACAATATTTTGGTTGCTTGAATCCTTGTACGCAAATTAGCTGTAAACGTATCAAATGATAATGGAGGAAGTGGTAAAAAAAATTATTTGCCTTATACCAGCTTGTAAAAAAGTTACGAGAAATATTGTGATATTTACTATAGGTCTGTTAGACAAGGTTACTTTGGCGGATGGCGGAATTATCTTGAGGTCCACTAGAGACGAAGGGGATTCAGCTGAGTTTTAAGAGGACCGGGCATCTATTGAAGAACCAGCAGTGAAAAATAGCTTAAAACTAAGCCAGCAGAAATGTAACACTATGAACATTTTGGCCCACATGACGCAAATGACTTACGCTCTCACTGAAAGTCAGCTCCTTAATTTATCCTTAGAGCGCGATCTCGGCTTAAAAACCACTGAAAGCCTCCACACAAGTTCGAACAATATACGGGACGCAGCCAATGCAAATACTCACTTTATGCGAAGAAAAATTGGTGCTTTCACTCATGAAATATTTTTTAATGTTGTTTAAGATATATACGACCGCACCTTGAGCTTCAAAACGTTGTCACATAACATCTCCTTAGGGCAGAAATAAATCTCTTGGATCGAGTGCAGAGACAAGCAACAAAACAGGTGAAAGATTTGAAGAACTAAACCTACGAAGATAGATTCCAGCACGTGGGATTATTCTGTCCTAGTTACAGTATAATTTGAGGTGACCTGATAATGGTATACAACATATTGGCACTCCAAATCATTCCAGCCTGAGCACCATCATCAAGATCATCTTGGCAACCACCCTAAGTTGGGTGTAAAAAAGGGAAATTTCAGGATCTAGTACCCTAACCAAATCAATGATCAGCGATAGAATCTCCTCGGTTTAGACAGGTTGGGGAATTTATCAAATGTAACATGAAATAGATGTTCATGCGAAAAAAACCACATGATTCGGTACACATCTTCTTAAGAATTAAAAGCCTCGGATTTAATATTTGACGAAGTATAGATTAACTGTAGCCTACATGTATCGAACAGCAACTCATAGAATTGTAGGGAACCGATAACGAGTACGGCTATGGGTACATCAGCGGGGATGAACGTCCACAAATACTGTTGTCGATTCTTCAGGTTGATCGTTAGCTGTCGTACATCGTAAGTAAGAATGACAGAGCCATTCGCAACGCGTGGTAGAAGTATCGCTGCTTGAAACTTGCTGCTACCAGACGGTACGACAAGAACTTGGGCACCTGTGTCCACTAGGTACCTAGCGTTAGTGCGAAAATCGTGTACGTAAAATAAACGAACGACCTGAAGTGATGGGACGTAGAAAGGCCAAAATGCATTGACCTGCACCTTGAAGTCTATTATATTATAGCTATCCACCATTTTGAAGCGTTGTTGCAAGTCTAATTTTTGTTAAAGGATATTATTAATATTATCGCAACATGAAAAAATGGGGACGGATGAATAATTGATTCACAGTAATTGACATCTTCGGACGAAACTTCAACTAACTAAGTGTATCGTGTCGATTCGTGATTAAATGTGATCACCAATAGAGAGGAGTTATGTGTCCGTCACAGAGAAGATAGGTTAATCCATATAAAAGAATACGTTTACTGGCGATTCATTGGTATTGGAATGATACCGAAATCGTGCCAGAAAAGAGGGGACAGTGGGCCAAAACGGCAGAAACACAAACGGAGATTTTGCATGTACAGAGTACTAATCAACAAAGAGTTTCAGTAAAAAATCACTGGTATGATTGGTTATAATAATGAATGTTTAAATTCAACCAATCGCGTTCTCTTCATGAAAGTGGAGTCACCTTCAGCTTTAAGAAGAGACTTGATTAACATGTAATCACATGGAGATTATCATCTCTCTCTTAGACCAGCTGTGCGTGATCCATGTCTCGAGACCTGCTAGTTGTTATTTTTGCCACTTTCCTGGATCACTAACTTGATCTATCTGGCCTATTATTTCTGTTTCCTTTCTCTCGCTTACATTTCGGTCCTCTCGCACAATCTTCACTACCAATTAATAAACTAAATTATTCATTTGTTTAATTAGTCCTGAAATCTTATTAGCACGAGACTTTTCTGAGTGTTATTGTCGACACTGCAACTAACTGATCTCCGGCTTCGTAATGTGATAGCTGCTGGTATCCAGAAACCCTACTTTCCTGAAACAAACGTTTTGATTCAAATCACGGGACAAACAACTATCTGCCAACTGACTAGAATTAGACGGTCGAGAGGCTAGACTCCCACCAATTGGATACCTCTAAATAATTGGAACCGTACCGAAAGGACAAGAATCGAGCGCAAAGAAATCAACTGGTTTATACTGGCTCGTGAAGAGGATATTGGATATAGGATAACGATTGTCGGACAACAGCGCGTGTTTTGGTGTTCTTCGTTACATGAATAAATGTAGATTCCTCCCAATATTCATTTGTATTATTTGGTTTGCTTACTTCATTCATTTGATTGTTGTAAGGATGCTTATAAAACTCTTCCTGAGCATGCGTGTTTAAAATATATCAAATTGCTACCTCACCAAAACTGCTGTTACGGGTATATCTCTGTGCTAATGTGGTATGGCAACATGAACTGATGTACTTACGTACGAAGTTCTACGTTGCATCTGACTGACTGACTGACCAAAACTGCTAGACTAACCGGTGGGAATGACGGAATGTTCTTTACTCCTCACTTAAGATCAATGAGATAGCTCTAAATGTTCTGTTGATCCCGAATGTCTTGTTAAATAAGCATCAGAATATGGGCAGTATTTTTGATTCTAAGAAGTGTATCCGTGTGTTATCCGGTCCCAATCTCCTAACTTTGGGGAAAATTTGATCGGTTTTGTGGAAGCTCTTACAGTTGACGTTAAAGGAATTTCAGAAAAATGTGATCAGAATCCCCCATAATTTTCCCACGGTTGGTAGATCGGGACTAGTATCACTAGTCTTATGGTTTAACTGGCAGTGAACTTTCTGAAGATATGCTTACTAACAGTGAAGTAGTTTCAAAGTATCCTAAACTGAAATAATAATAATAATTGTCGCTAACTAGAAACTACCTGGGGAACATATTCTACTTGGGAATCTAGGGAATTATTCACTAGCACCAATCATACCATCATAGTTAATGTTCGGGCCAAATTTAGACATATAGTCAAGGGCGAGAATTTTGTCATTTAAACCTATGATAGTCTTGACTATTTTGATGATTTGTGTTGTTTTTAAGCCTCAATATTATAGAAGTAGCATTAATCATTCGACTATGTAATAACCTATTAGTAAAAGGTGAATGGTATTCAGCGATCGGTATGTATTTCACTCGTGGTTTAGGAACTGTGTGTCAGGTCGCAAAGTTATTAACTTTGCTGTTGTTTCAACTGCATAAATATCAATTATTATACTTGGTAATAACCTATTCGTAAAACTCGATTGATGCTTTTTTCATTCGTTTTTATTCATCTATTGGTCGTGTATAATAACCAGTTGCTGAATTAGAGTTGTTAGGTGACTGGATGCAGATTTTAATTCTTCACCTGAATATGAAATCGAATAAAAACATTTTGTACTTAAAATCCTTTGTTCACAATGTATATCTGTATTTTTGTTGAAAAATATTGTAGTCGATGCTTACAATCGCTCAAAAGTTTCCTAGAAGAATAATAGATCGGCATACTCTAATACAAGCCTTTTTCTATCGTCTGAATATATTTTTTATCTTTATGTTCGTCTCCTCTGTGTCTCATAGAAGTATTTGGAACTATCAGTATAACTTACAATTGTTTGAATAATTTAGTCAATTGTTCTTTTTCTGTTAATTATTTTACAAATTTCTGTGTTCAGACGTACTTGTTTCTCAGGTTACTGAGTAGTAAATATTTGACTCGCGTTTGTAATAGGACGCTAACCCGGTGGTGTGTGTAGTTTTTTCATCATTCTTTCCACGCGGTTGGATTTGATTTTTAAACTCTGTGGACATATTAGGCAGATTTTATTTGGCTACTGAATTCTATTTAGTGGACTACTAAGACGTTTTTTTACGTTTATTTGTTTACTGACCATCTGTCACCTTTCATACTTTTCATATTTAAGTCGTAATACTTGTCGGTTGGAAAACTAACGTGTTTGGTCATTCCTTCAAATGATCAAAGTACCTGGCTTTGTTATATCCCAGTTACTGGGACGAGGGACGTATGGACACGTATACATGGCTAGAAAGCTCGTAAGTAAAAATTCCGTATATAATCTTCATATTATTTTTTAAGGGTTCAAGTAAGCCAGTAGCGATTAAATGCATTATGAAATCGAAACTAAGCAAACAAGCCCGGGACAATTTGGTCAGTGAAATTTCTATATTGAAAGCTCTTGAACATCCTCATATTGTTTGTATGCTTGATTTTACAGTAAGACTGTACTAATTAGTGATTTTTGGATTAGTGGGATGGATCCTTTGTGTATATTATAATGGAATTTTGTGGTGGAGGAGATCTTGGGAGATTTTTGAGGTTGAAAAGAAAACTAGATGAACTGCTTGTGCAACACTTTTTACAACAATTAGGTAAGCAAGTGTCCACCCTAGCATTTACGTTACCGAAATCTATAGCATTAGCTCTTCAGTACCTAAAGAGCAAAAATATTGTCCATATGGATTTAAAACCTCAGAATATTTTACTCACATCAACTAACAATCCAAGCTTGAAGCTTGCTGGTAAGTCTATTTGATTTTTGATACATTTTTTGTAACACAAAATTCCTTTCGTTAAAACCGAATTGTAAAATGAAATCATGAAGTCATTCTGAGAGTAGTTGTCATCATATTCTGACTCCAGACAAAGCAATCGGATGACTTAATCGCTTTCACCAATTTCCTAGTAGATCTGGTTTGGTTTTCAACAGTGTTAAAATAAATAATGTTATTAAATTATCTGTTTAAAAGTAATACCGGTCTTGTTGTATACTATTCTACGCTAACTTAATCATAGATTTATATGGCTTGGCTTGTTAACATGATATTCTGTTTAGTTGTAAGCTGTATTCCACTTGAAATATAATTCAGAAATATGTGGTCTTATGGATTGTGGGAAAACAATTATCAAATCGTCCTCCAGCTAATTAATTATCATTTACAATGAAATAATAGTTCGTTGAAATTTTCCTTATCACCAAACGGTCTCAACTCTAGGAAATGACTGTCAGCACATTCATCGCACAAATTTGTTGGTATTAATAATAATAATGATAATGCAACCCAGTGAACAAATACTTGCCATTGTACTTTGGAGATAACTGGCAGCGTGATACTGATCAGATTTTTCTATCTTGGTAATCTAATTGAGTTATTTCGGCTGGAACACGTGTTCGTTTAGATGCTACTATCATTCAGGTCGATTAGAGTGGTATGGTTAAAAGCTGCAAATTTAGGTTGTTGGGCGGAGTTGTACTATCAACTATGCCCGGATGTAGAGAAAACAATGTTTCTCCCAGACAATCACTCTCTTCAAAGTCACTACCTAACAACAAGAGAATAGACAAGGTCTGGCCCAAAAATAACACACCTGATCTTGCTCGCAGAATTTATGTTCTCATTGGTAATTTTTAAAAAGTACAAAAGTTTATTTTGTTTAGCCACAAGACTATCGAATTTATGTCGTTTATATTTTGTTTTAGCCAATTAATTAGTTTGTTTCAGGTCCTTATAAGCTTTTGATCGTGTTGATTATAAAGGGAGACGTTTCATAACTGTTTCTCCATCTTTTGTCTCTGTGCATCGTTTATTGATCTATTTATTCTCTTGTTGATAACATTTCAGACTTTGGATTCGCCCAATGTATTGAAGAGACAGCTAAAAAGAATGAAGTTCGTGGCACATTATTGTATATGGCACCTGAAATATTCCGTGAGGGTGTTTACCATCCTTCCTGTGATCTGTGGTCCATCGGTATTATTTTATATGGTGGGTTGAATGATACTTGTAAATTATTTTGAAAGTATGGAGTCATTAAAACTGTAGGTTCTCACTATAGCATGGTCAATTTTAGCTACTAGGCTAGGTTTTTTTCATAAGTTTCGTGGTTGTACATCACGGTTTGGCTTTCACGAGATTACCGTCACTTATTCTGGGAGTCTCATCAGTGCTGATGGCCTGGTGGCTGACGAAATCTCAGCACGGATACAAAAGGCTCGATTGCCTTTTGCCAACTTGCGTCACTTATGGCGTAGATGAGATATCCGTTTGCTAAACAAAGGACGAGTGTACTGTGCAGTAGTTCGCCCCGTCCTACTTTATCGCTACAAAACATGGCCAGTGAGAGTAGAAGATATTCGTAGGTTACTAGTTTTCGATCATAGGTGTCTCCGAATCATTGCTCGTGTATCCTTCGACAACCGAGTAAGCAATTCTATCGTTCGGAAACGGGTCCTAGGTAAGGGTGGCAGTCCAATAGATGAAGTATTGAAACTTCATCAACCGATGTGGTTGGGACATATGTTGCGTATGTCTAACCATAAAGATAATAATGGCTGGTTACTTTAACGTTCAAGTAGGTAGACTAGGTGAAAGTCAGTCAGTCAGTCAGATGCAACGTAGAACTTCGTACATAAGTACATCAGTTCATGTCGCCATACCACATCAGCACAGAGGTGTAATTGTCAATTCAAATCCAATAGTAGAAGAGTTAGTACGGGTAATAGAAGTAATCGGAGAGGTTAGGATTAGAAGATATTATTCAAGAAGTATGATTCAGTGAGAAAAGTTTAGAGAGTCGAAACTAGAGGTGTTGAAGAATCCAGAAGATTACGATTTGAGAGAACACAAAGAATAAATGCACCGGCGCCATTGCGAACGATTTTGAGCCATGTCATTCAAGGTCTCTAACCATCGATCATAATCATCTCGCGGACCCCAACCAGGTAGTCGACAGTTACCGACATTGCTAAGTCCACTCGTCAATGACTTCATGGATTTCTGCCATGTTTTGGTTTGGCCGCCTCTAACTTTCTTCCAACCTACTCCTACACTACAAAACATAGCTCGACGAGGCAGTCGGTGGTTCGGCATACGCAACACATGTCCCAACCACCTCAACTGGTGAAGTGTCACTACTGCGTCTATTGATCTGCCATTCCTACCTAGCACCCGATTCCTAATAACAGCGTTGCTCACTCGGGTGTCGCACGATATACGAGCAATGCTTCGAAGACACCTATGATCGAAAACCAGTAACCTACGAATATATTCTACTCTCACTGGCCATGTTTCACAGCCATAAAGTAAGACGGAGCGAACCACTGCACAGTACACTCGTCCTTTAGTCAGCAAACGGATATCTCGCCTTCGCCATAAGCGATGCAGGTTGGCAAAAGCCAATCGAGCCTTCTGTATCCGTGCCGAGATTTCGTCAGTGACCAGGCCATCAGCACTGATGAGACTCCCAAGATAAGTGAAGCGGTCTACACGTTCGACTACTTCACTCCCTATCACTAGTTCAGGTGCCGATGAAACCCAATATTGAAGCAACATTTTGCTTTTCGAGGGGGAAAACCGCATCCCGAACATGCTTGCATTGTTGCTTAGGGTAGTCAAAAGACTCTGCATTTTGTCAGCTTCTTCACGAAGTAGCACAATGTCATTGGCATATTCTAAGTCAATAAGCGAGCCACCTGGTAAAAGGTCTACTCCTGAAAATTCAGACGAGGATAAGGTTATTTCTAGGAGCATGTCTATGATAAAATTAAACAAAAATGGAGAAAGTGGACATCCCTGACGGACACCACTTGAAGTGAAGAATTCCGGTGACAGTTCGCCATAAGCTCTCACTCGACCAATGGTGTTCGAGTAGAGAGCTTGTATGAGGTTAATGTACTTCTTTGGTACACCTTTCAATGACAGAAACTGCCACAGAACCTCACGATCAACAGAGTCGAATCCCGCTTTTAGGTCCAGGAAAACTATTGTAGGACGCCTAAATGTGTGTCTATGTTCCAGGACCTGTCGTAGTGTGAAGATGTGGTCTATACAACCACGTCCAGGTCAAAAACCAGATTGGCTTTCTCAAGTTTGCTCTTCACGAGCTTTCGTTAAGCGTGGAAGTATTACTGAGGCCAATATTTTAGATGCTATATTAGTTAGACTTATTCCCCTGTGATTGTCACAAGAAGACTTCTGTCCTTTCTTATAGATTGGGACAATCAGTGATTGAGACCAGTCGGGTGGGATTACGTCCAGTTCCCAGATTCTACCTAAGATCTCGGTCAACCTAGTTGCTAAAACTGAACCACCATCCTTAAATATCTTAGGGGTCAATCTATCAGGACCCGCAGCTCGCCCTCGCTTCAGATTTCCTAACGCTTTTTCAACTTCATAAAGCCTAGGGGGACTTAAATCGATTTGCCATTGAGGATGACTGGAGATCGTGGGTAACCGAAGAGTGGCTCGAGGCCAGTTGAACTGATCCCTAAAGTGTTCCGCCCATCGATCCATTCTCCTGGATTGAGAATAAATAATAGTCCCGTCATTTTCTGAGATAGTCTCACTTACACTAGGATTCCTAATACCAGTTTCCTTGATAAGTCGGAAAAGTTGTCTACTGTTGCCGATCGCCGCTGCTTTTTCCATCGCTTTTGCTTTCGCCACCCACCACTGTTCGCGATCGTTACGTAGGCTTTTTATAAGTCTGCGCTTAAGTTGACTTCGTTCTTCATCATGTTCAGAGCCAGGTGGGATGAGTTTTCGGGCATCCATCAAATCGGTGGATGCTACTGAGATCCACGGCTTCATTCTAGCCTTATGGTCAACCTTACTAGCAGATCTCACTGCTGTTTCCACAGCCTTTTTGATATCCTTCCAGATGGGAATCGCTTAGATGGTCGCCCAGCTGTCTTTCTAGTTGTTCCTGAAATATATTTTTCGCCTTATCATCATTAAGTAAGACCCTAAGAGGCTTTCTTACGGTGTCTTTCCTACGCCCAGTAAGCTTCAAACAAATACGCGCTCGCACTAGGGCATGATCTGAATCCAAACATGTGCCCCACAACGAGCGACAGTCTTCTATCGAACCCCTCCATCGGTGGCTGATGGCGATGTGATCTAGTTGAGTCCAACGTTGAGACGACTTTGGAGGTCGCCAGGTCAACAGATGATTTTCCTTATGCCTAAAGTTAGTGTTTGCTAAGAATAGGCGGTTGTCTGAGCATACTTGCAACAGACGGTCACCACTGTCTGTTCTCTGAGCCGCGACACCATAACATCCACCTGGGTGTCTTTCATTTTCACTCAGTCTACCTACTTGAGCATTAAAGTCACCAGCCATTAATACTATATCAGAGCGCCTAGCTTTTTGGAGGAGGTCCGAAAGCTTTCTGTAAAACTCATCTTTAACCTCGTCTGAACTGCAGTCAGTGGGGGCATAGGCAGATACGATGAAGAGGCAACAGCGATTGTCCCTACCTTTCCGAGTCCTTACTGTCCCATTTAGTCGAACAGCGCACAAGCAACTATCTACTAGGATCCAGTCAAGGAGAGATTGTTCAGCTCTACGACTCAATGCTATGCCTACGCCAGCAAGACCCCTGGAAGCAGCATCAGGGCTACCGGATACACGAAGAGTAAATTGAGCTGCTTCTTTATTTTGGCAAGGTGAAATCAGATTAATAATTTTACTAGGATCCTGTATGCGCGTTTCCGAGACGCAGCATACATCGATGGCACGAGATTCTAAAGTCCTAGCTAATGATGCCTGTTGCCCTATTTGACACAATGTCCGTACATTAAATGCTCCAACATGTAGACTAGAACGAGGTTTCAAAAGACCAGGAACGACGTTTCGCGAACTCGTGTCGTCTGCATTAGCTGTGCACTGTGATAAATGAGTGTGAGGAGAGTTAGTCGTGGAGAGAAGAGAGGTATGTGTCGGTGTAGGAAGGATTTGATTTCGACCAATTTGGTCTCGTGTGCTGGTACGCGTATGAGAGCGGTTATCACTTCCCGGCTGCCCACACCGTGGAAGGTTGTTTCTTGAGGAACTCATAATCATAGAGAATGTGGACCACATAGGTAATGGGACGCACAGTGAATATCATAATAACTTGCAAATCTAACCTAGCCGCGTGAAACAAGCGTTATGTTAATCCGATGCGTACGTACTTACGTACGAAGTTCTACGTTGCTATTGATTGATTGATATGAATAGTATTCCAGGAAATGTTCTATCGGTTACAAAATCTTTACTAGCGAATCCTTGGAGGGGTTGGTGGAATTAACTTATATGGTAGCTTTATGAGGAAGTCATGTTCTGAAATTCTTATATATTTTAGCATTTCTACACCACCAATTCACATTTTATTCAGTAAGCTACCATAAAAATAGTTTGTTTGAGAGCTGACACTATACATAAGACACCGTAATAAAAACCCGTTGATTTATGTACGGTATAAAATTTTCATTATCAATAATATTTTTGTATTTTTCCTATAATCCTACAGTTCATTCTTTTCTACTTCAACTACTTTTACTACCCTAAACTTTGTCTTGATAATTTAATTTTACTGTGTTAACATCATGTGACAACTTGAGCTGATGCATATATATATATATATATATATATATATATATATATATATATATGCTCGGTCCTACGTTGAATGTGAATGATTGTCTGTCTGGATCTTATTGAGTAGTAGAGTAAAGTTTAATTTTTGTCCATATTTTTTTGGTCATGTATTTGACTACAGTTACCAACCAAACATTATAAAGTCTACTGAAATCTAGTGGCGAAGTTCTATTCTAGAAACTCAAAGTAGTGGAAGAAATTTATAGCATACCAACTTCTATAGTAATATGTATTCCATATAGACATTAAAATCAAGACTTCACTATTAAACAATTTTTTTCAGGGTAACCAATGTAAAAAAGCGAAAGTTATATCAAACATTCTTTTTTTTTCGGGGGATTAGGGGAGAGTTGTGATTCTCCAAGTCATATCACACATCTTGTAAACTATCTGTTTCTCTCTGAAATAAAATAATACTGCACTTGTTCCTAAAAGTTATACATTTTTTTGTATTTGGCTCTTTTATCTCCATTTAATAAAATAGAATGCTTATTTGGTGCTAGTCCTTATGGTCAGATAACAGTTGAACAATTAAAAGAAAGATTGATAGCAACGGATGAACCAATTAAGGTAATTCATATTCGTTATTACTTTTTTTATGTGAGAAAGAGTTCTACTTTTTGTGTGTCTACAATGTGCATCATATCCGTGTCAAAATGGTAATCTGGGTTTCTGTGACATCTGTGGATTCAAATTCATATAGAATATTTTACTTTATGCTAATATATATATATATATATATATATATATATATATATATATATATACGTCTGGGTTTCCTTTTAGTCAAATATTACTTTGTTTAATAATTGTACTCTGTTATCATTCAAATTTGGTTTAAGTTTCTTTTCATAGTGTAATATGTCTATATAAATTTGTAGCTGATGTATCTAAATGTTGAGAAATTTTTATTTAATTTTACAAATATGTCCTGATTGTTGAGGTCAAGTGGCGTTGTTTCTTTTGTGCATTAACTTTTTAGCAGAATGCGATACACTAGTTTATGTTACTAGCATGTTGTACTCTTTCACATTGTTACATGTATGATTCGTTTATTCGGTATTATTGGCTTCAGTCCATTTACATCATTGTTCTCTGGAAATAGTTTAGTAAAGTATCGTCTTTTTATATTGATATTGATTAAAAAAGTATGTTATTGATTATTCTGTCATGTCAGGTGTCAGGTTCGAATCTTGCTTCACTTAGTTTCCTTATTTATCATGTAGTTGGAAGCTAAGTTCATACATCTATAATCATATCATGTGGATATTTTTATTGGTATAAACAAGCGTTGTTGGTGCATACTTGTGTTTTGGGATCTAATAAATCATATCCACTCACAGCCACTACGTGATGATATTCAAATCTACAATCACACTTGTATAGATTTCATTCTTGCGTATACACTGTTGTTTTGGATTTAACACAATCTTTGATATTATGATTGATGCTAAGAAACTTTGTCAAAATAATCGCAAAGAATTTCATGCTATATTTCGAAAAACGACTGTTATATGACAAATGTAATGCTCACACATTCTGTTTTTTCATCCCTCTCATTCTCATTCGTCCTTACCCTTTGACCTTCATTTCATATCCAAAATCTTATAATTTCACCTTGCTAAGCATTCCAACGCTTAGAAAGTACTCAGTTTCATTGTCCTCATTAAAAGTGATTGGACTTCAGTCAGTATTTTACATCCTTTATATTTACACGCGTAGACATTGAAATAGCTTTGTTGAGCTCGACTGTTTCACCCGATAGAATAGTTTCATCGAAATCATTAAGTCCAGTGCATCAGTTTAACATCCGTACAGCTGAGAGTCAGTCAGTCAGTTACAACATAGAACTTCGTACGTACGTACATCAGTTCATGTTGCCATACCATACCACAGAGACTCAATTTTCAATTCTAATCCCATGGTAGTAGAGGTAGTCGATTTGTCAGTGACTTCATGGATTTGTGCCATGTTTTGGTTTGGCTGCCCCTAGCTTTCTTCCGACCTACTCCTACACCAAAAAACATAGCTCGACAAGGTAGTCGGTGGTTAGGCATACGTGAAACATATCTCAACCATCTCAACTGATGAAGATTCAATACTTCATCTATTGATCTGTAATCCCTACCTGGTACCCGTTTCCTAACAGCAGCATTGTGTACTCGATAGTCCCAAGATAAACGAGTTGTGTTTCGGAGACACCTATGATTGAAAACCGGCAACCTACGAATATCTTCAACTCTCACTGGCCATGTTTAACGGCTAAGAGTAGCGAATGTCTTATCATCTGACGTAGTCAAGTTGGAGCCAGTATTAAGTTGTGACGTCATTAAAGTGTTGTTTGTTGCTTGTAAAATTCTAAGTTCTCCATTTTTATATGATCGTTTTCAAACGTTCGAAAATTAATAGATTCTATTTATAGACTTTCACTTTTTTGCGCAACCATAAATTCTTCTTCTTCTTAGAACACTTCTCAACATCTGGTGTTTAACCAACATTAATTCATCTATATATTTTTATACGTTTACAGTTACCTTCTTTAACTGAGATAAGCAAACCATGTGCTGCATTATTAAGTGGTTTGTTAAAACGGAACCCATCTGAACGCTTAAATCATGAACAATTTTTTTCACATCCATTTATTGACTTAGATCATGTACCATCAGCACAAAGTCTAGATAAAGCTGTAAGTTTCATCATACTATCTCAATACTATTATTGGTTAATTCTTCTCCCAGTTGGTTTTATATCGATTTTATTTTCATTCATTTTCATTTCTCGATATAAAAATTTGTTTTTAATATAGATAAATCAACTAAACTGTAATTTGCTGGCTAAAAGTCACTCAATCAGTCAAACGCAACGTAAAACCTGGTACGTATGTAAGTTAGTTCACGATGCCATACCACATTAATACAGCAAGATAAAATTGTCAGCCCGAATCCCAGAGTAGTAGAGATAATAACAGTGTTAATGATAATGGCAAAGATTAGACACCAGAGACACAATTCTAGAAAATGAAAATTGATGAAATCATGATAAAATTCCGTGATAAGTGTAGAAAATTGGGATTTGAGGGAGGATTAAAAGTAATTGCACATGTACCATCGCAAACGATTTTGAGCTGTGTCATCCAGCGTCTCTAATCATTAGTTACGATAATTACATGAACCTCAAGTAGTTAATCTTCACTTATCTACATAGTTCATTTTAATAATTAGTGTTTTCGTTGTCTGATGCCATATCTTCTAACGTATTTTGACACTAGCGATTATCAGCATACGTAATACCATGTCCTAACCATCTCGTCGGATAAAGGTTCACTACCTTATCGATTGGCTTGACATATTTGTCTAGCACGCGGTGTTCTCTTCATTCTTACTTAGATCAGTCAAGTTCTAAAGCACAAATTACCTGAAAATTTACATTGTCCGTTTTTCTGTGGAGGTTATTCACTGGAAAACAGTGTTCCAATCATTCATTTTACGGTTTGTGTATGTTTAGTTAAACTATAGTATTATGTTTGCATTTCTAAAGAGAAAATCAATTTTCTAATGTAGTTTGATGATTAGTCCTTTATGATTCATTGTTTTCTTGTCAAAGATTGAATTTTATTCTAGTTTGTTATTGTCTATGTATGTATGTTATTTTTTTAAAAATGTAAGAACACATAATTTTGCTTTTGTGAACTGAGTCTGATGATAAGTTTTTGCATTTGCTTTCTCTTCAATATAGACTGAATATCTTGAACGTGCACCTCGATTAGAATCAGTTGGGAAATTATGTGAAGCCTATGATTGTTATTTAGAGGGTTTAAATCATTTAATGGCTGCATATAATTGTAAGATTGAATTGTTTTTCTTAACTACTCATGTTTGTATTTGGTTTTTTCGTGCAGTTGTTTATCTTTTCCTTCCGAGAAAGAAATATTCATTGAAATCATGCTTATTCTGTTAAGACTACATTTTTATTGATTTGATCACACTTTTCGTATTAAGTGATTCGTTTATATTAATTTTTATCATGATATGTTAATACATATACCTTTTATTCACTTTCATTTTAACAATCATAGTAACACCATACTTCTTATATACAGTTCAATAATTATTTTCAACAAGAAATTCAGTTTTGTTTATATATAGTGATGCAGTATAATAAGTATTTGTGATATGTTATAATTACTTTATGAAGAGAGGTTGGAACTGGTATGTTGTTGATCGCTAGGTTACAGCCTAAAATAATCATTCTGAATATTATCTTTAATTTAGGTCATGTCATGAAGATGATAGGTAACCGCGTTAATTCATCCTACTTTACCTAAGAAAATTACGTTCAACCACCTGTTTGATAATTCTGCGTGTTGTGGTGAACGTGTCTTTTTTTAAAATCATACAAATTCAATAAACGCTTCGTTAATCAAGCTGTAGTTTATAATAATTTAGTTTACTAATCTAATGTATTTCACTAATTGTCTGATCGTTCCACGGTGTTGGCAGCCGGGAAGTGACATCCACCCACATATCCGTAACAGCACACGAGACCAAAGTGGTCACAATCAAATCTTTCCTACACCCCCTAACATCTCTCTTATCTCCGCGACTCACCCTTCTCACAACCCTTTATCACTCTGCAAACGATTAGAGTTCATGAAAATTTATTCCTGGTCTCCTGAAACTCCGTCCTGTGTAACCGATGGTTAGATACCGTGAATGATATGGCTCAACACCGTTTGCGATGGCGCAGGTGCATCCAATCTTTGTGTTCTTTCAAATCCTAATTGTCTGAATTACTCATCACCTTTATCTTTTTCTTTTAAGTTTATTTCACAGGATTATACCTCATTGAATAATATCTTCGAACCCTAATTTTTACGATTACTACTAATACTTTTATTACACCTACTACTATGGTATTTGAAGTGACAATTGCATCTCTGTGCTAATGTGGTTTGGCAATTTGAACTGATGTACATACGCACGAAGTTCTACGTTGTAACTGGGTGACTAACTAAATTGTCTTATGAGAAACTAAAAAAAAACAGTTTGAGAAATGTTTATCTTCGATCGCAATCTGGTGTACTGTTGATAGTTTTCGTTGCTGTTGAATTATACAAAAGAGTTTAAACATCAGTTCGGCAATTCATCATTTATCTGTGGGACGTGATTTAGTTGATTATCAAGTTTCTGAAACACGATAAATTATATATACTTTTGTATTCAAATTTATGAAGCTTTATTGATAGGATAATCAAATACAAAGCTAATTAAAGTCAATATTTTACAGTTTTCTGTCGATGTTCTTGCAAGTATTCCATTATTATCTTCGAGAAATCTTCAGAAGCTGGGAATATACTAATGGCATCTCGTTTTGCAATGTGAACAAAACAGATTGGGTTGGATCTTATAAATGATATCGAAAACTGGTCAACTTTATATTGCGAAATAAGTGATTTTGAACTTCTACACCGAGTGATACTGATATATGTTACCTAATGTGTGGGGAAATATTTCTTAACTAATGGTCTACCTACCTTTTTTTGCAAGTCCTGACAAACAGGTGTTTGGTCAATCGAGGTAGAATACCTCTCACATAGAGGTGCTTAATATCGATTCATTAAGCAGTGACCAACGTCATGTTTGTCTAGTCATTTAGTGCCTACTGAATCCCATTGATCAAGTTGTACTCCCACAGATAGCATCAGTGTCCGTCAAGATCATAGATATGCTTTGTTGACGAGTGCCGACTAGTGTGAAACCTAGATCCAGGGTTTTTTGTTGACTGCATTCAACCTATATAACGGGTATATCATTGGTCAGTTATTTTATAATACTTGCAATGAACTAGTGTAGAATATTCGTCGTGGTGACATTGGTAGAGAGTTTTCAAGAATCTGCATCTAAAACGGCACTTTCAGATTAAGGATTACTATACATTATGCTATTGGTCAAGTGAATGACATGTGTATAAATCCTCATTTTTTTTATAGTTCTCTCGACAGAACATAGGAGAATGACCGATCTCCACAAAATTATTCTCCGGACCTATATATATATACTTGCTTAACTCGTGATTTTGATAGAGAGGAGTCAGGAATCTGGCACAAATGCTTATAAGCTCAAACCACTTTACATCAAACCAACACATCTAGAGAGATAGAGAGGGAGATGAGAAATCAAGTAAATCTGAAGCAATCGACCAGAAATAATGGCATGTACAATGAAAAGCTAAGCATGAGAAATATGTTTCAGGAGGAAACGAGAACTAAGTATGAAACTATACTAAAATGGATATTTGGAGAAGAATCGAGAATGGGCTATATTGTGATCTAGTTTCTCTCCCCAGTAATATTGAAAATATACGTGTTCAAATCATATGGATTAAAAAATAAGTACTCAGTTATTTAATACGCTTTCCAGTTTCTCAATTTAATTTAATGAAATAGAATATATTCGATATATCGTCACGATAATGTTTTCTGTGTTTAATTGTAGATGAGCAACTGCGCTTCAAGAAGTCAGAAATACGAAAGCTGGTTAGTACATTTTTGATAAAAAATATCTTATGGTGTGTTTTTGGCCAGTTCTAATGAAAAGAACAGATTTATGACTGTGAATTCTCACCTTGATTGATAATAATACCTTACGTCTAACTAAAGAGTCTTTTTTTAATAATTTTCTGTAATACACCTTATTACTGAATAGTCAACCTTATAGAGTACTCAATTGTGTCAATGCATGCTCAGTGATGTAGTTTGCTTCGCTTAAAATGTTGACGAGAGTCTTCTTTTTCTGAGATATTTATCGATGTAATCAATAGACTGTTTTTTAGTCTAATGTCTGAATTATTTGACTTTCAGTTAAGTGAATGATAAATTTTATTTGAATAACTCCTAATGAACAACAGTAATTTTCTCGACGAGCTATGTTTCGTGGTGTAGGAGTAGGTTAGGAGAAAGCTAGGGGCGGCCAAACCAAAACATGGCACAAATCCATGAAGTCACTGACAAGCGGACTGAGTCATGTTGGTGGATGCAGATTACCTGGTTGGGGTCTGTTTGCAATGGCGCAGGTGCATCCACTCTTTGTGTTATCTCAAATCCTAATCTTCTGGATTCGTCAACACCTCTACCTTTATCTTTCTAAACTTATCTCACTGAATTATACTTCTTGAATAACATCTTCAAATCCTAATCTTCTCCATTAGCAGTAATTCTTCTACTATCTCTACCACTATGGGATTAGAATTGAAAATTGCGTCTCTGTGCTAATGTAGTATGGCAACATGAACTGATGTACTTACGTACGAAGTTCTATGTTGTAACTGACTGACTGACTGATATTAACTTTCAGCTTTTTCATTTGTATTCACTTTTGGCTGTTAAATTGTTATTATTTCTTCAGTAGTATGTACACGTTCAAAATTATTGACTCCTATTTATTGAAAAGTGTTTAGCCCTTTTATAATTGCATAACTAAGAACTATTTTGTTTTTTAGAATTATTGTTTTTCCCAACCATTAACACCCTTTTGATAGATAATAGAATTCGCAAAGTTCTAGTAGGAGAAGTCAATGAAGGAAATAATTAAACAGTTAATAAATTATATTCTATTGAGGATTTTCTAATAAAAATTAGATTCATCCTAATAAAATGTTATGACTTTTTAATTTTCTTATGAATTTATAATTTCAGATGAAAGAGTATTTGTTAAAAACAGAATCATTGAAATTAGAATTATGTCTTCTTAGTAGTCATACAAAAATGACTTCTCATTCATCATCGGAATTCGAACCAAAAACTTCTAATAGACAAGCAGTTAATTTACCTGATCCTATTGTTCCAATAAAATGTAAGTAAAATTATGAATTTCAAATAAATTTAAATATATTTTTTTCTTACTTACTTATGCCTGTTACCCCTCAATGGAGCATAGACCGCCGACCAGTATTCTCCAACCTCTTCTGTCCTGGGTCTCTCCCTTTACAGTTCTGTCCAATTTTTGTTCATTCTTCTCATTTCTCATTTCCTCTTTTCCTTTAACAGTGAGGGTTTGTCTTGTGACGCAGTTGGGTGCTTTCTGCAATGTTAGTCCTTATCCAATTCGTGATTTCCTTTCTCTACTGGAATCTGGTTTGTTCTTTCCCATAGAAGTTTGTTGCTGATGGTGTCTGGCCAATGAATCCGAAGTATTTTGCGTAGACAACTGTTGATAAATACTTTTATCTTCTGGGTGATGGTTATATTTGGATAAAATGAATTTAATACAGTTGTAAATCAATGAACGAATGAACTTTCTTCGTTGAATCACTTGTTTAGGGGTGACATTCTCATACCATGAAAATGTATGTTTTAAAAAAAGAATGCTTGATTACCAAGTAGTAAATGTTTTATTGACCTAGGATCCTGACCGCAGAGAACGAGAGATAACTAATTAAGACTTGGTTTATGTTGCTTTTTTAATAAGTAGTTTTCTATTTATTGACTCAACAGTGGTTATATCTTACTTTAATTAGTTAAGTAAGAAGTAACAGGAATAAATACCAAAAGAGTTTATGTATTATTTATGGCATTGGAGAAATAAGCAATGAAAATGTAGTCTTAAAACTAGTAGAGTTGTGGAATTAAAAGTACAAGATAATATTAAATAAAGGCTTTAGAATAAGATAAGGACTAAATACATCGAATCTGTGGACTGATTATCGGATATACTAAGCTTTGTTCGTTGAAATAACTAGTGGCTGAATAGAGGACATTGTTCTCTACCATCGGAGTCTGTTACGCTTCAAATCGTTATCATCCGACTTCTTTGATCTGGTTAGCGTTTTCTTGGCAAGTTAGTTTATAGTTGCCATGGGGGCACCAACCCAATGTCAAACCCCTCCTTTATCCGGGCTTGGGACCGGCAGTAGCCCCGAAGGTTCTACTGGCGGAGTTATCATCCGACTTACCATTTTGAATTATCTAAACTCTTGTTTTACTATATGGTAGTAATGCTTCTAAGACATTTATAAACACATACTAGTTTTAAAATACGTGTCTTATACCCTTAAAAGTTATGCTTTATTCAGTTTAACGTTTTGACATTTTTTATTTTACATGTTTAAAAATTTGTTTTCATGCATGCATGCACTTCTCGTCATATTATATCGATCTTAGGTTATAGTGCATCACAACAGCCTAAAAACAACACTAAGTCATCAGAGAAAAGCCTATTTCATTATTTAACAAAACGAAAAGATGATAATCAGTGTCAATTAAAAAATCAATCACAATCTAATTCTGAAACATGTCAACCGCGAAATTCAGTTACACGTAATGATTTCACAAATTCGACGAAAGAGTATGTTTCGACAGATTCAGTCGAACGAATTAATGATTGTTTAACTTCGGATAAAGCTAACATCCTTACTCGTATGAAGCATTGGTTCTCGAGACAGAATGCTAAAACTGAAAATTCCCATGAATCCAGTAAGTTATCCACTTATTGATTTCATGTTCAATGAAATTATTCAACAGTATTCATGTCTATATGAATTAACAATAGTCCAAACTAAAATTAACAGAAAATTGTTTGTTTTAAACTTCTTATGTTATTTATCAAGTAATAATTATTCTGAGATTGGTTTTCGGGAGTTTGATAATAATATATTTGATGCGAGACTTGATATTGGCTGCTGGCTTTAGCTGACATTGTTTCATCCTGTTTAGTATCAATAAAAGCAGAGAATTCCATGTTATTTCGTTAATGCATTCATTTTATTCCGACTTTTTTTCTAATTTATTTACTACTTAAAATCGTAATAGATTTCTGTTACATTACATTTATCAAAATATTTTAATATGTATCACATTTCTTACTGGTTGAATACTACACACTACTGATTTGTCATGAGTAGTTACGTTCTCGAGTATTTTTCGTGTATTTACCTCTTATCTGTTACTAGTGTTTGAAGTACTACTATTACTACTGAAGTGAAAAAATGACACTAAATGAGTCACTTGCACATCGTTGAATGGATCTATGCAATTTCCAGCGTTCATTCATTCTTGGTGTTACTCTTATTGCTTTCTATTTTTAATTCTTTTCTCCTCATTTCTTTCCTCTGCCAATCAAAACTCTACTACTTATTCTCGTTACATACTACTTATATCTGCACACACACACTACTGCTGCTACTAATAAGCATAATGATAACAAAAATAATAACAATGTTCATACCAATATAACTTAATTAATAAAAGCACTTAAAGTTTTCACTGTTAAGTTTTATCATTTATCCAAACTTATTTGAATTTGATTATACATATAATAAATGAGAAATGCATAATCATTTTGTCGCATATTTACATTCTATTTTACTCTTTATTCGAAATGATTATTTCTAGATTAATTTTTTTTTTGTCACTAATAATAATAACAATTATTAATTTCATTTGAACTGTATTACTTTCATTAATTTGTATGGATATGAGCAGAACATGTGCCTACCGCCATATTGGTCGATTTGGATTCTCCAAATTCCTCTACACCGTTGTCATCGGAGTTGCCTAACTCTCCACCTATCCCTCCCGCATCTACTAATCTTTGTTCTAATTTAATCAATTCAACTGAAGAAGAAGAAAAACATTTAGTTCGTAGTCAGTCTGTTAATTCTTCCACAAGTGAACAATCAACCATTAAACCATGCATAATGACAACTTCATTGGATTCATCGAAATCTCGAAATTCCCAGTTAGAATCTGAATCGCATATTGACGCAATGGATATGGTAGATGGTTTAACTGAGAAATTTGGTCGTAGTCGGATGTTAGAACACCTGGGTGATTATTTAATTCTAGTTTTCTCTCATCCTAATTACTATACTTACTTAAATACTGTTATCATTTGTTAAATTTTTTTTTTTGAAAAGTAATTTTCTTAACATAAGATTTCTAACATTTCGAGATAAGATTATTAACTATAATCTCAATAAAATATCAAGATGTTTAATTAGTGTGTTTATTAATACTTATGTAGAGCAAAACTGTTCAATGCAAAGTTTTTTCACTGTGCTTTTTTTCTGAATGAGAAATTTCATGGTTAATCTGAGATTTATCAACAATGAGAGTAAATCAATAGATAAGATTGTAAACTTGCATCGACTCAGTCATATGTCATGTAAATGAAGTCTTTATATAATCCCGACCGTAGCTGCTACCTTGACGTGGTGGTCGGGCTTGCCTATCGTGACGACCCAACCGAGCTATATTGGCTGGAACATGTGTTCCTGTAGGTCCTACCATGCCAGGCAGGTCGATCGGAGAACAATGAAACTTAAAACAGCTACTCAAAATCTGAGAGCGAAGTCGTACTGCTGACTGCAGAGGGGTGTGACAGCAGTAAGGTGCTTCCCTCGGACAACCAGCATCTGCAGCAATTCTGCCTTCTCAAAGGGAAGGGACAGGTTATAAAAGGACGACCCTAAGAATGTCACACCTCACCCTACCTCACGGATTTCCATCTCCTTGGGTAAGGGTGCCCACTAAGGGCTTTTAAGAGCGGAGCTAATCCTCAAAAAACCTTTCATAAAAAGGCCGTGCGTGACCGGCCTCAAGCAGTTGTCCCTGGGCTTTACGGTCACGCTCCCTGGTCGTTAAGACCAACACTAATCTTCCCTCCTTTTCAGGTTCTTCAAGAAACACCCTTCCATGGTGTGGGCAGCCAGGAAGTTACAACCTCCCTCATACCCGTAACAGCACACGAGATCAAATTGGTCACAATCAAATCCTTCATTATACAACTCTCAGTGCACTGTTGAATTAGAATTTGGTTGATAAAAGTTTAAGTGAAAATGTATTCAGCTCAAGAAATCGCACTGTTGATTTCAGATGTATAATGAGATAGTCCGATTTCTCGGTTGTCATCTTGGAGATAGCAGAAAATCAGTGGTTAGATTCATTTTGTGATGCAGTTGAGAATTGGTCATTTATTTCCTTTATTTTCAAACCAATGTCATTGATTTCCTCTTCTTGTTCTTTTAGTAAGTTTTGTAATTTGAAACTTTATTTTTGTAGCAAGATCTTTACTGGCATTTATTTCAGTCATTTCGAATCTAAATGAACTCAAAGATTTAATGTACATTCCTTAAATCATCCACTTCTTTACTAAACAATAAACATTGTTCTGTTGTCTATATATCATTGGCAATTGTAACTCGTGTGAAACGTTGTCGTTAAGTTCGTTCTATTAATGAACTGTAGTACTTACATATACCAGTTCATATCTAATGAAACGTATCGACTTGATATTAAATGCATTTTTGATGCTCACTTATCTCATTTTTTTTTCCATCTTTTAGTGTATGAAACTCTCGTTTATATATTTCTTTTCAGTGAAATTGTTTCGTATTAGAAATAGATTTATTAGTTAGTTAAAAGGATAATATTGAATTCATGTATTATAGCATGAAATCAATTTGATGAAAAGAATACTTTAATATTATTTATGTTTTTCTTGTTAAATAGTTAATTATATGAGAATAGTACAAATCATCTTTGGCATATATATAAAGAGTATAGTATTATATGTGTGCCAGAGTGGCCTTAACACACTAGTGTGATACTTAAAACTATCTATCTTTTTATTCAATGTAAACTTAAAATTACTGTTGTCTATATTTTATTTCAAGTATGTAACTAAATGTGATGACTTATTCATTTAAAGTTGTTTGATTTTACTTTGTTTTTGTTTGGGATTGTTTTTCACCTACACTAGACTAAATAATTGTGACATTAGTCATGATACATACAATTCAGCAGTTCATCAGCATCAATGCATAGCCTGACTCAGTTTTCCACATCATATTAACAAGTCGAGATTAGACTAGCAGGTTATACAACAACAGAGATCGGAATAATGTGCCAACTACTATGATAAGGATTGAAGAGAGAGTTCAAAAAGCCGCTGTGGAAAGGTATTTATGAAAGGATACTGAAATTCAAGGCTGTAAAAGAAGTATAGGGAATGGATGCATCTGCGTAATTGTGTACGATTCATGCCATCTAAAATCTCCCACCACCAATCGTGGTTATTTGCGCACACCTCAACCTGATAGTCTTCATCTAACAACATGGCTCAGCCTAACGATCATAAGACTTTATAGGCGACATAGTAGTCAGTACCTCTAAAATAAACTGTTAGTAGACTGAATGAACTTAGTTAGAAATTAAGCTATCGTTTTATTTTTATTTAATATGACTAAGTCAATTCGATAGAGTACCTACTACTAACAGAAAATTATAAGTAGAAAGCTTGCTTGTTGTTGACACAAAGCAGTTTTAATTTTTATTGGTTTTTTATTAAAAATATTCTCATTAAAAATCAACTAAAACTATTCATGTTAATTATCAATACTAAGTTGAATATTTGTAAGATTACGTTGTATGTGTACTGAAAATCCCAAGTTTCGCTACCTAACTTATGTTTGAAATCGTTGAATTAAAAGTTTTAGCTAATTCTATTCAACCATGTTAGTAATAAAGCAGTTATCTACCGATGAAATTTGACTACCTCTAGCTGCATCGTAAATTAATTGAATTTGGAAATGTGAACAGTAAAGTTCCGAATCACTGATTTGAAGATAATTTGCTTGCTGAGAGACCTTGTTATAGACGTAGATATGTGCACTCCTAAGGAGTTTCATCTTGGCGAGATTGAAAAGACTATTCCTAATTTGAAGAGATTAGCTTCAGTAGGATCTGATAGATTAACTGTAGAGATCATCAGGGACATTGGTTCAGTTGCAGGAATTAAGTTTATTGAAATTCTAACTAGAATTTCACAACTGAATTTTACTGATTTCCATCTCGTACTGATATCAACTGTTTCATCATGGTTCTACAGTGTACATCCAATCTAATTGAGAATCTTCAGACCTCCAGACTAGCTTGATACCTTGGAACTGTTGCTTAGATTTTAAGATTTATTTTATCATAGTATTTTTTTTCTTTCATTTGTATCCTATCATATTTTATTCTAATTACTGTTTCTTATTTTATCAGGTACTGTCAATAATGTTGTGACTGAATTTTTGGACAAGTTTTATGAACTTGTAAGTATCATTGGATATTTATTATGAGTTATTATTTATACTGTTCTATTTAAGTTTTATACATTTCATCGTTAGTATTTTCAAAGTGTTTCTTAGACAGTGTAGAACTACTAAAATTGCTTATTATTGATATGAATTGTAAAGTTTGTTGTCTCAGACATGAGGGAAGCATTAAAATAATGACACTGTATTAGCTAAAGTAGTTGGATTGTGTTTTTGTCATATAAAAACATCTAATTTACTTCTTTAAGATGATAGAAATCAAACGTTGACTAATCAAGTGTGCATAAACTCAAAACTGAGCACAGTAATTCAGATCTACTAGTTTTTAACTAAAAATTCACTGTAAAATTAATTTTAATTTAATCGTTGTATTTTAAGTAAGAACTAATTATTGACGGAAATCTAATTATAAAGAATCGATACTTATCTATCGAATGAAATACCTCTTGTCAGACAATATGTTATATATATATATTACATATGATACTCTATAGGTGTGACATCTGCAACCAATAGATTTGTTTGTGCATTAATTTATATTACTGTAAAATGGAAAAAATGTATGAGTCAATCCTAGATTACAGTTTAATACTGTTTATCGATTTGTATAATATGAAAAAAGACACAATCAAGTGAAATAGTAGTGGTAGTAGTAGTAGTAGTAGTAGTGTAGTAAATATAATGAATAAACTTATTAGTCATTAAACTTTAAGCATTTTGTCACTGGGATTCAGTTATTTATATTGGAAAATCACTTGATAAGCAACTAGTTTCCTAATGTTTACTCCTTAATTGTTGATTGAATTCGATCAATCGAATTGTATCGAAAACAATCATGGACTACTAGTGACAGTTGACTCAACATTGATGTGTACTTTATTTGCCTTTAAGTGGAAGATGATGGCATTCTATGCAATGCCTTATATCTAACTTTCATGCTAGTTGTGTTTTTCAGCAAGAACTAAACACAATTCAAGTGACCCGATTTTACATCACAGTTTGTAATATTCTTCTCATTGGTCTGACAGACAGATACAACTCGTACAACTTCGTACGTATGTACATTAGTTCAGGTTGCCATACTGCATTAGCACAGAGAAGCAACTTTCAGTTCAAATCCAACAGGGGTAGCGATAGTAGAAGTATTACTGGTAACAGAGAAGATTAGGATATAATTCAGTGAGATAAAGTTAGAAAGAGAAAGATCGAGATGATGAAAGGAATTCAGAAGGTTAGAATTTGAGAGCACATCTCATAGGTCTGGTTAGATATAATTGGGATACAATGTAAGTGAATTTCTTCGTAAAAATCTTTTTAACATGGACTCATTCATCAAAAAACAAAATCAAAAACCAGATATTTCTTTATTTGTGTTTATTCAATATTTCATTAGGAATAGATTTTTTCCATGAAATTTTAAAGATTAGTACTCATATTTCTCATAAATATTACATAATATAAATATTCTCATTAGTTCTCAGAGTAGTCAAGTTGAAATGTTCAAATTATCTATGACTGGTAATAAATTCATTTTAGAATTTCGGCTAAATGAATATATAATTTATGCATGAACTCTTAGGATAAAAATAAACAATACGTTGACAAATACGAATGCTATCAGTGGATAATGACAACATCATTAATAAAACTTTAAAAAAAAACTCTATTTGTGATATATCTACGACGCTTACAAAGACATTTCATGGCATTTTGAATAAAAAAGTGTATTCTTCAAAAATGATCTCTGAAAAGATACACTCAATTCAGTAATAGCACCTGACTGTTATCTCAAATGACTTGATTATCATTCAACAAAAAAAATAGAAATATGACGTTCCTGACAGTAAATATATGGAGACTACTATAAATAAACAATTGTTTAATGAGCACAGTCAAAATAAAAATAAACTATCAGGAATGCTAACGAACCATTATAACGTTAATAATGTTTGAAAATATTACTCAAAAGAAAATGGTTGTAGATTAAATGTCAAAAAATGATTGACAACAACAGAAACTACTTATTATTAGTAAGTAACTTAATTTAATACGGAAAAGTAAATTGGATTTAAAATCAGTATCCGTATTTGGTTTGTTCATGCACTTGAAATGATCTGAAAACTTCTTAGATCATGTATTTTATATATAGTTAAGAACTGATACATACCTGTAAATCGTTTGATAGTTTTTTTTAAAACATCACAGTAATAAGGTGTTCGCATAAAACTTATGGTCCATATAATTTATATTTTTTTTATCTAGATTTCTAAACAGCATTTACAGGAAGCACTGATCTATTTTCAAAACGAATTCTCAAACTGTTTAAAAGCAGCTCAAGGTAAGGGATTTTCTTTTTATAACAGTTTAATCCTTATTTAAAATGTTTGAATATTGACATACCATAATTTGTAAGTTTAGAAATAGTCACTTTTCATCATGAACCGATAAAACCTAGATATATATTTATCACTCTTTATAAGTAAAATGAAGTACACCAAACGTATGCAAGCAACAATTGCCGTTATTCTAAATCAGAATTTTCTGATACCTGGATTCTGTTATTGATCATAGTCTTGAAATACTTCTGAAGATTTTTAGTGGGTCCTTGAGAATCTTTGGATCCTGGATAAAATCCTTGGGTCGTATATTACCACTGTTCAATAACTACAAAGCACATGAATTTCATTGAGACTAGTTTTTTACACGTTGCTACGCTACATCATTCCTGCTGCCGAAAATATGCCGAATAAAATCAACTGGACAACACTATCCTTCGTCTCATTTGAATAAATCGATTGCCACTTCTTATGTGATTTTTATGTATATATATATATATATATATTAAGCTTTTGAGTGTACCCTATATTTTAATAACACAGATTGCTTGCTAGTTTATTGAGTTATCAATCATCAGTTGATTAAGTGTAAGAATTAATTAGACTGTACAGCAATAACTAAAATCACTTTTTTGACTTTTCTAAGAATGATTTTCTTTAATGATATTTTAATTATATAATTGAAGTAGTCTATCATTTATCCTAGTTGGTGAACTATTTTATGTAAATGTTTCAACGTCTATTATTTCAGTGTACAATTAAAATTCTGTTCATTTTATCTGTCCACTTTTATTATTATTATTCTTATTGTAAATAATCACTCATTAGGTTTATCTTCCCTCTCTATTTTTCTCTAGACGATTCTAATTCCAAGAATCGGAGTATTTTGCTTAAAGAAGTAAGTTGTAAATTATTTTGTTGGGGAAAAAATAAAATTATATGGTTTTGTACAAATAATAATTTGTAAATTGTGTTTTTTTTACAATTTTATTGTGCTGGTCGTTGCGAATTTTTCTTTTTCAATAATATTTCTTTGAATCAGTCAACAAGTGTACCTGTTGTTCTTATTAAACTGTTTCTTGTTTTTAAATACTTTCAATTCCATGTGAATTGGCTACTTAATCCTCAACGATAGTGTTCGATTAATTGTAGGAGTTTATTATTTCCATCTATCGAAAGGAATTGAATAATTATTACATTCGGACATTTTTTGTGTATGTCTTAGAGACACGATATGCATCAGTTACAAGGACTACCAGAGTTTTGACAAAGTTTGCTGTTCCAGAAGGCATAGCGTTCAAACTTTAGACGATCTAACATTGAGTTAGTAACTTGACTTTGAAAGTTACCAATCGCATGTGATTTTGAACTATCTCACTTATCGAAGCCGACTGCTATAGAAAAAGCCAGTCCATTACAGTCTTGGATCACTGGACGTTCGACGGTTTAGGGGGAATCATTGGATGGCTGTTTTGTCTTTATTTTAAACTCCTTAGTAGAATGTTCACTCATTGTCCTAATCATCATTGAACACGACACCTTGAGATATGTAGAGATTTCCGATCGTGTAAATTTTATTGTGCTGTCCACAAATCCTAGAGATCTATGGTTTGATAAAATTTCATATCGTATATTTCGGAGGCGATGTCTGTTCAATTGTTGGTTTTAAGTGATTCTTCAGTTAACATCACTCTACTTCGAAAATACTCTTTTATTATTTTTTTGAAAGAATTTGCACAAAATTATATCACATTTATCAAAGTACCAAGTTATTTGTTTATCTGTACAAACTAACATTGATTCACTATAAATTTTTTAACAGTGATATAATTTGTTTTTTTTCTGAACTGGAAGCAAATGAAATCACTAACAAGTGGACTGAGTCATGTTGGTAGATGTAGACTACGTGGTTGGGGTCCGTGAGACGAAAGTCACCAATGGTTAGAGACCTTGAACGACATGGCTCAAAATCGTTTGCTGTGGCGCAGATGCATCCACTCTTTGTGTTCTCTCAAATTCTAACCTTCTGAATTCTCCTCATCATCTCTATCTTTCGCTTTCTAAATTTATCTCACTGAATTATACTTCTTGAATCATATCTTCGAACCCTAGTCTTCTTCATTCCCAGTAATACTTCTACTATCGCTACCACTATTGGATTTACACTGACAGTTGAGTCTCTGTGCTAATGTGGTATGGCAACCTGAACTGACGTACGTACTTACGAAGTTCTACGTTGTAACTGACCGACTGACTGAAGTGGAAACAATCGCAATCACAAATTCATTGATAACTTTAATTGTTGTTATTGTTTTGTTTTTTTTCTATACAATAATCTTAGTTAAGTCTTGCCATGGATAAAGCTGAACAACTTAAAATCCATTTAACTTGTAACAACAGTAAAGTAATCAATGAAAATGAATCTTCCAATTTTCAAATTGGTGAAGAACTATTCGATGAAAATCCACAAGATGAAGGTACATTGTTTTTTTTTAATTTTATTTTTACATGTTATCCTTTAAATTGTGGTTTAGTTTAGTTTTTGCTTAATTTTTATCATATTTTATGCATTCTGTTATTACTGAGGTTATTCATTGTCTTATTGATTTTAACTTCTTTTTATTTTCAATGTGATGTTAGTAGAATGACAATGGGATTTCTAAAAATGAAAAATGATTTTCTACTTTATTAATTAGTATAATTGTTAGAATCTTAATGGATAGATTGATATTGTATAAGAATGATGGTTGAGTCAGTGTTCATGAAAACGTAGGTTGTACAATCTATTGAAGCATTCAACTACACAACTGAGATACACATGTAATAGAGGCTGAAAATAATGATTTATCTAAAGAATAGTTTTATGATTTCGAAATTTATGTAAATTAATAATAAATCTCAACTTTTGAGATGTGTCCGGCAATTAATGCCACTGAACGTATCAATCAATCGATAGCAATGTAGAACTTCGTACGTACGTATTTACATCAGTTCATGTTGCCATACCACATTAGGACAGAGATGTAATTGTCATTTCGAATCCCATAGTATGAGATATAGTAGAAATATTTGCGGAAACGGAGAAGATTAGGGCTTGAAGTTATTATTCAACAAGTATAATTCGGTGAAATAAATTTCAAAGTATTAGCAGTAATCGGAAAGATTATGGTTCGAAGATATTATTCTGAAGTAGAATCAAGTGAAATAAACTTGAAAAGAAAAAGTTAAAGGTGGTGAGGAATTCAGACAATTAAGATTTGAGAGAACTCCTATGCCATAGCAAACGGTTTAGAGCCATGTCATTCAGGGTCTCTAACCGTCGATTATTATCATCTCACGGGCCCCAACCAGGTAGTTGACACCTACCGACATGACAGTCCACTTGTCAGTGGCTTCATGGATTTATGCCATGTTTTGGTCTGGCCGCACCCAGATTTCCTCCATCCTACTCCTACACCACAAAACATAGCTCGACGAGGCAGTCAGTGGTTAGGCATACGCAACACATGCCCCAACCACATCAACTGATGAAGTTCCAATACTTCATCTATTGACCTGCCATCCTTACCTAGAACCCGTTTCCTAACAACAGCATTGCTTACTCGGTTGTCCAAGGATACACGAGCAATGATTCGGAGACACCTATGATCGAAAACCAGTAACCTACGAATATCTTCTAAACGTATGGAAATAAATGAAGCTCTTGTAAAAGTTATATTAAGAATAATCGCAACACATATAATTCTATAAATGACAGCTAATAACTCAAAAGTTATTGTTGATTATAAATATTTCCATGGAATATAAAAATCTGAAAGCTATTGTGTTTAAATAGAGATTCAAGGAATGCAGTAAAAATTGGAATTACTCCTAAGCGAGTTGTGAGCGAGTAAATAAAGTAGCAAGTATATCGACCATGATTTATACTTAAAAATATAATTCAACAATGAACACCTGTTACTCCATATGTCCATAAATTGTTAAGAATGAAATGTGTTACTGAATATCAAAAAGTAGTATAAAACAACACAAATGAGACAGAGAGTGCCAATCAGCTTAACATAGATTTTTGGTAGATTTCTGATAAATAGTTATTATATCAGAAATAAAGATCTTCAGTGTAGTGTAATCCGAATGATTCATCGTAATAAAGAAAACTAAAATTAGTATTTTCAAAAATTGTAGGCCTCATATTTTAATTAGTGATAATCTAATGCTGTTACTTTCTAACACACACACACAAGTTTGTTTGTGTGCTTTTAGTAGTTGCAGTTTTGTTGTCTACCATTCCACCGTCTATTGAATTATGGATTGTTGACAAGTCCCTTTTTTACACTTGTTTCTTTTAAGTGAACTTCAATATGTTTCTAATTTTAATGATTAGCTCATTTACCAGGTACAACATTTTGTAAACTTGTTCTTGAGCTACACGCCACATGCGAAAAGTAGGAGAAGTATTGTTCGAGATTAGTGACTATCAGTTTTCGCATGCCTAATCACTGAGTCATCCATTCTGTAGCCCGTCATTAATTTTTACATTTTATACTATTGTTTTTTCTTTATTCGACTATGATATATTTACATTAAATGTAAAGTGACCAAAAAAATTATTCACCCTCTTTCAAAAGAATCATAGTTATCTTGAAGGTTAATTCTGATGTACCCTATTTAAGCAAGTTTAATGCTTGTAGTGAGTGTCCTTGAACAATTCAATGTGGAGAAAAAAAACAATTCTTATTGAACATTGAATTATTCAAATAGTTTAGCCACAATTTTGTTTTTTTTTTAAAGTTGATTACTAAAATATGGTGCATACATTAATTATTGTGATATTGTTTCTGTTATTGTTCATTTCAGATCGATGTGCATTAATGTGATACATTTATATATATAAACATATATAGATTAATCTATTTGTTATTTGTGAAGAAACTTTCAATATGTACACTAGAAAAAAAAGAACAAGTTTAATATCCTCATCAGGCAATTTTGATGATTTTATTGTACATTTGATATTTGCCTATATTTTTTTCTGATTCTTTATTCTTTCCTTTTTTGTGTGTGCTACGTGTTATTTAAATTTGTAACTGTTCATGTTCATTTTGTAAAATACTTGAACTACTTATATAATCATATCTATATATATCTATATATATATTTTTATATCGAAAAATGTCTTTCATACGATATTTTGTTTGTTTGTTTTCTTCCTTAATTTACTTTTGATCAGTAAATATTGACAATTTTTATGCGAAAGTTGACTGACTTCTTAATTCTATTTGTATTCACCTCACTATTTTTTTTTCCAGAAGTATAATTTCAATGAATAAACGTAGATTTTTTTTCCTAATTCTTAAAGTGTTGATCGAACAATGTATATATATTTCTTCAATAATGAACCTCAGCATGATTAAAAGCATGGAGAAGTCAGCAGTTCAACAGATTTTAGATATTCATAACGGTGTATTTGAAGTAAAGCAACCCTGTTGATATTACTAGTTAATGGTGACCTTGGGACATGGAAAAATTAGAACATAAAGTAAGAGCAACCAATTAGTTAAGAGCATATTATTAATGCTGATATATAAACTATACAAAATTGGCTGCGATCATCTTTTTGTGAAGGAACTGTCATTTATGAAAAAAAACTAGGTAATCTAATCATGGATTTATTGACATTAGACATTGACATCATTGGAGGCTGACTCAATGGTTTAAAGGTTAAGCGTTCATGTGCAAGATCGAAGGCCCTGGGTTGAGTTCTCGCGGATGAGTGTCGTGAATGTGCACAGTTGAGGGATACCATACTCGGACGAAACGGTTCTCCAGGGCCTCCATTTTTTTCATGGTGTTCTAGCACAAATCATTTCGTGATTTCAACTATGAATCTAAGGTCTCCGTAGTCTGCAGTAGTATTGTTATTTATGAACTTATTTGGTGAATTCTTGTTTACCAGTCAGTAAATATGATGTGTTAATTTAAATTATAGTGACTCATAGTTACTACGTCTTACTTATGAGGTGGACTTGGTTTATTCGTTAGATAGCTGTTAAGAGTAATGCTATCCTCCCTTTATTGATTTCTGATGCTGAAGGTTTCGTGGTTATCGACTTATAGAAATGAAATAATCTCGCAGGATATATTTGACATGTTCCCAGGCGTGTTTAAGCAATAAAAAATCCGAAGTCAAACTAACCTTTATGGTGAAATTTACCTTACTTTCGCCTGTAACTCCTAATGGAGCATAAGCCGCCGACCGGCATTCCCCAACCTACTCTGTCCTGAACCTTCGTTTCTAGTTCTTTCCAACTTTTGTCTGTCTCCATTTCTCGATGCTATGTGTTCCTTGGCTTTCTTATTTTCCTTTGACCTAGAGGGTTCCGAATGACGCAATGGTTGCTCTCCGCACTATGTATTCTATCCACTTCCAGTGCTTTTTCCCGATTTATTCCTCCACTGTAATCTGGTTCTCTTTTTCCCACAGTAGGTTGTTGCTGATGGTGTCTAGCCAAAGGATCCGAAGCATTTTGCTTAGAAAACTGTTAATGAATACTTGTATCTTCTGGATGATGGCTTTCGTGGCTCTCCGAGTTTCCGCCACATACGGTGAAACTGTCTGGATATTTGTACTGAAAATTGTAACTTCGGTGTTTGTTGATTGTTGTCTTGAGTTGCAGATGTTCCTCAGTTTTAGAAATGCAGCCCTTGCCTTGCCGATCCGCGCCCTCACATCTGCATCGGATCCACCTTGATTGTCAGTGATAATGCCCATATTTGTAAAGCTTTTAGCGTCCTCCAAGACATCTCCATCAAGCGTGATTTAGTTGGCGCATGCTGTGTTGTATCGGAGAATCTTGTTTTTACCTTTGTGTATGCTACTACACTGGTCGTCTTCTCTTGCATTTGTTGTTGCGTGTGCGATAGCAGAGCCAGATCATCTACAAAGTTCAGATCGTCCAGCTACATCCTGGCCATCCGCTGTATCCCAAGATTCCCTCTAGGTATTGACATCTTCATAATCCAGTCAGTCACCAAGAGAAAGAGGGTGAGAATCAGCAACCTTGTCTGACACCGGTCTTAACCTCGGACGAGTTTTTCAGCTGTTCTCCTTGCACGATTTTTCAGTTTAATCCGTCATAAGAATTCCGTATGTTGTTGGCTGTCTTCTCAGGCACACCGTAGTGTCGAAGAAGCCACCATATTGTTGTCCTATCCACACTATCACTTGCATTTTTGTAGTCAATGAAATCGATGTTGAGTGGTGAATTCCATTCATTTGGTTGTTCCACAATAATTCTTACGAAATCCAGCCGGTCGATCTCGAAGTTTGGCGTCTGCGAAGTCCTTCATTCTGTTTGACAACACTCTGTCGAAGATTTTCCTTGCTACTGATAGTAGGGTGATGCCTTTGTAGTTCTCACACTTACTGAAATCTCCGAGTTCTTCAAAGTGCTCTTTGATGTTGCTGAGTACTTTGCCTCCCTAGCTTTTCACTGGAATTTCTGGTTTACGATGATTTCCAGAGAGTTTCTTTTCTGTATCATACAATTTCCTTCTCTTGCAACCTTTTCTGCCGTCATTTCTATATCTTTCACATATTTACGTTTGTCAGCTCAGCTGTTCCTCTTCACTTACTTGTTTGCTTCTGTGTATTCAGCTTGCGTCTTGGCTTTCTCTGCTCTAGTTCGGCTGATGTTGATTGCTGCATTGATGTTCCCCCTTTCTCCAATTTTTTTCAAAAGTATCCACAGAGATCCACTCTTTGCGATGGTGCTTCTTGTGCCTAGAACCTCCTGCCGTGCTGAAGTGATTGCCTCCTTACTCCCTTTCCAGATGTTTTCCATGGTAGTTTCCTCTCCATTGAGTAGATCGTGAAAAGCCTGGAACCTATTGCTGAGAGCTACCTTGAATTCATTGAGTTTGTCAGTATCCCGAAGAAATGCCGCAGTAATCTTTTGTGGTGTTTTCTGCCCCGTTTCTAGTGCCTCTTGAGTTTCACTTTCATTTTGGAAACCAGCAAGTGGTGATATGGGGCTGTATAAGATACTCTCTTGATTCTTACATCCTCCATGGTCCTTCTGAATTGTTTGTTGATACAGATATTGTCGATTTGCTTCTGAGTAGCGTGGTCCGGTGAAATTCATGTGGCGTTGTGTATGCGTTTGTATGGGAATATTGTGCAGCCAATGACTGGTTTGTTGAAGGCACATAGTTTTGCGAATCTCTCACCATTTTTGTTCCTTTCTCCCAGTCCATGTCGTCACATTATGTCTTCATAACCAGTGTTGTTCATGCCAATCATGGCACTTAAGTATCCCATCAGAATTGTCAAATCCTTTGGTGAGCATCTGTCGACGATTGACTGCAGCCGTTTGTAGAATTGATCTTTATCGTCGTCATTGTAGTCGTTGGTAGGTGCATAGCATTGGATGACGTTGATTGTAATGTCCTCTTTCTTTGTTTTGAAGGATGCTTTAATGATCCTGTGTCCATGAGATTCCCATCATATTAATGCGTTTTGTGCTTTTTTGGACAGCATCGGTGCAACTCTTTGTGTGTGTGTGTGTGAGGCATTTTGTTCTTCTTGGCCGGATTATCACAGCAGTTCTCCTGAAGCTAGTCTCAGTTGTCCAACCTGCGTCCAATGTGTTTCACTGATTCAAAGCAGCTCCAGGTTGTATCTTTTCACTTCTGCAGCAATTCGGGACAGTTTTCCTCCTGTCTTCCACATTGTTCGAACATTCCATGTACTTAAAAGAATGGTTGCTCTGATTGTTAGGCGGGGCATCGGCCTCGTTACTTCCGAAGAAACTCGGCTTTCATCACAAGACGTCATATCTCTTATGAATGAAGCCTTTCCTACTTCTATGGCAGAGTTACCTAGTAGGTGATTTTGAAATAGCTGGACGCTTTTTAAGGTTGATGAGCTATCTAATAGTTGGGAATTCAGGGTCCAGATTTCAAATCTCTATTTCACTTAATTCATTATCCCTTTTAGTTTTTCGAGAAATATGAAGTGTAGTACATAACTTAAAGGATCAAATTAAGAGTACATAGATAGTCGAGAAGTAAAATAAGAATAATGACATAGAACGAAATGTGTGAAAGATAATACTGTCCATTTTAGGATCATGACGAAGATGAGTAATGAATTGAAAACATGAAGGCGGTATTAAATGACAAATGATTACAATCTTTAGGATGAAGTATCAAAAACCGTGTGTGAAAGATTAGGTATTAGAGTTATTATATTGATAAAAGTTTTATGTGATACTTTTGAACACATAGTTCAGAGGTGAAATGATGAACTGCTGCTGCCCCTGCATCAAAATCATCTATAAGATATTGTTGTAATGTCGTTACATTAGGCATTTAAGCTAATTAATTTAAAAAAATAACTTCACTATTTCGCCAGCCAACCGTGAATTTGAATATGCATAGTTTTAACTGTTATGAATGGTAATCTGAATTATTTACATACCAATAATCCCATGTAGATAATAATAATTACATAAAGCCCACCTAATATGCTTCACCTGTTCATCTAATCATTATTAAACGAAACCTATTATGACGAATGTCAACATCGACTGAATAAAGTTTTGCTGGAGAGCACAGGGGACAGAGATTTCGGGTATGCGTGTATCGAAGAATGCCTTTTAATTTTCGAAGGTGAACTTTGGCAGTTAAAAATTTTTCAAAGTAAAATTCTCTATATATTTACGTCTAGCTGTTCGAAAAAGACACGCAAGATAACATGGTTGGGGTAATAGGTGTGTCAATTTTTTATCAAATTCCAAAAAATACAGTGTTTATTGAAAGTAGTCTTTACTAGACTCTCAGAAAACTACTTTCTTGATTGGTTGAAGGGTATAGGTATACAGAATGAATCGAACATATTTCATACCATTAGACTGTTATTCCCCCTTTCAATGTTGACTATTATTAATATATGCTGTTGTCGTGGTCGCTCTTTTACTTGCCCGACATGTTTCACTAGCTTTTTTGATAGTGACGCTTTTGCTTGTGCCGTTATAATCGTAAAACATAGATATTAGTAGTACCTGTAAATGCAACAAAGAAGAAATTTTTAGCTTAATCGTTATTGATTAGGTTGTAATTCACTGTTTCATCCAGAATATTAACACAGTCATCTGAGTTTACGAAATGAATTATGGTTGTTTTAGAGGTATTCTCAATCATATATATATATATATATATATATATATATATATATATATATATATATATATATATATATATATATATATATATATATATATAATTAACTTGAATTTCAGCATTCTATAAAATGTGCATGTATTAAGGAGGTCACTCACTAATATCCTGTCCTCTTTTGAACATTTATTCAACACAATTTATCATCTTCGTTTATTGATTAATAATGTTTAGTAACGTGGAAATTGTATTCTTTTGAATAGTTGAACCAATCGAGACGTTTCTATTTAAGTACAAAATTAGATTGTTCTAAAATAAAATGAGTGTTAGTCAAACTTCGGTTATCTCGTTGATCTAACTCCCAAAAGATCGCACCAATTCGATGAAACAAGTAACTTTGACGAAAAAATAATAGATGAGAAGTTTTTGAATTTGATTCACCATCTTTTTTCTCAAAGCAGGCAACAAATAAGTCGAGGGCTCGTGATATTACTCCTTAGTTGAACGTTCAATGTAATAATTGAAAGTTCAATACTTTAACAGTTATTCAGTCCACTAGTTCCTTCATTTTTACATGATCTAATGATTTGGGAAGTAAACAGTAGGTCAAGAGTTTATTAAACTGAATCAAATTCCATAGAAAGAACCAGCATCTAGCAGGATCTAACTTCCTTATTCCGATTCTATACATCGTATTGTTCATATAACAATGAAACTGAAGAATTCAAAGAACCAATTCAGATACTAAGGTTATATTTTATATCAAAAAATGAATTTATGATAAACGTGTTTTAATGATCCCAATTAGTAAAATTCAATATTCACTGTATATATATATTTTAATCAGCCTAAACAAATGAGAAGAAAACGTTTAAAATTACAATCAACTGATAAACATTTTACATTGAAATGGAAAAACACAAATCCTAATTTGTTCAAATTTCAATATATCTATATATATAGAATAAACTAATGGTAATTAATAGATTAATTGAATTTCTACCCCTAATTCACTGGAATTCTTTTCTAACCTTTAACTATGATCATCTTATAATTTGGTAATGAACCAATCATAATTGTAGAATAACAGACAGTTAATTATTTTATTTTAAAATAATTTTCTCTCATTCTCTTTCTAAATTAACATAAACATACCTTTTCTTATAGTTTTATATATTAGTTTAGAATTTTTCTATATACATGTTTTTTTTTGTATGCAATGATAATTAAATCATACAAGCGGTAGAAAATTGAACTAGCGCATTAACAATAAATCTGATTGGTTTAAACCATAATAATTTCCTAGTTATCATTGAACCATTGAATAAACTAAAATTACTAATTATTGTACATTGATTGATTTAAAAGAAAAATTTGAATATCATGTCAACAAATGTATATATTTTTTAGAGAACAATACATATAGTAATAATAATAATAGTTAATTTTTAGAAAAATAAAACAATAATACAATCGTTCTACATGAATTAATTATTTCTTTGATTTTTTTAAAATGTTTGAATTATCCGATAATTTCAATGAAAAATCTAGAACAATGATAAGTGAACAAATGAAACAACAATATTATTTATTACAATATGATAAAGAGACAATATCAAATATTTTAAGTCTAATGAATATTCATTATGCATTGAACTATTTTCACAACAATATCAATAATAATAATTATTTTGATTTTATGAATAATATTCAAGAAAAGTCAACTGTTGAATATTTGAAATCTTTAGCGCCAATCAATAATGCATATACAGATTATCCATTTTGGTCATCTATGCTAATATCAACAGCAGCAACTGCTACAGCTGATCCAGTGATGATGACGACAACAACTGCTACCTCAGTACTGACACCAATAACTTCTGCCAATATACCATCAACAATAATATCACCAATTAAATCAATATCCTCATTATCTATGATAACAAATGAAAATTCACAAAATAATATTTGTAAAATGAATTATGAAGAAGAGTTTTTTAATAAATTACTTCAATGTACTTTGATACAAAATGAAAATGTGACTTTTAATGAAATGGAACCAACAAATTTATCCAATTCATCATTGTTATCATTCTGTTCCACAAATTCAACAACATCATCATCATCCTCATCCTCATCCTTATCATCATCAAGTGTGAATGAACAAAAGATCAATGGATTTTTTGTTAAAGATATATTGAACTTTGATAAGCATAAATTTATTCAACAACAAAAACCTATAATGACTAATGGTAATTTAGAAAAAGATATTGTGATTAGAAGAAGAGATGAACAGAAAGACGTAGACAAAATACAAGGGAAACGAAATAAAGATGATGATGATGATGGAACTGAATCTAAAATTAATAAATCTAAACTAATCGATCATAATCATTGTCATTATGAATGTGATTGTATTATTAAAGAGCTTAAAGTTGACCATTTACAAAAGACTAAATTGATGAATAAATGTATTGTAGCACCAGAAGACGAAGTAGAAGAAAGTATTAAGAATAACAACAACACTAATACTACTACAACAAATACTACTGATAATAATGATAATAATCATAAAAATTGTTTACAAAAAATATTCAATGACAATGGAATGAAATTAAAATCTAATCGTTGTTATAATAATAAGAAAATTAGTTCACGTTGTAGAACAAATGAATTAATATCAACGAATAAACTTAATGCCAATGATTCCTCTAATAAATTACAGTTACCAGCTTGGGTTTTTTGTACCAGATATTCTGATCGTCCATCATCGGGTAAGTTGAAGAATAAAATAAAATAAAATAAAATAATTCATTTGGTTTATTTAAAATATAATAAATTATTTATTTAAATATATATTTTTGTCTAGTAAACTTTGAGTAATCATGATTTTTGAAGTGCTTTCTTGATTATGTTTGTAATGATAGTTATTGTCTTGTTTATGAATATGTTGGGGATATTAGATCTCCTTAACTCCCTTGATAAAGGTCATAATTTTGAATTTGGTGTTTTCGCGCACGGGCTGATCAGTTGACCTTGAGATTATCTTTTCCACCAGAAAAATCCTTGACTGTCATTGGTCGATGTATTATTCTGGTACACTGTTTTTGTTGCTCTCCCGGGGACGTTTCTATCATGTATAAATAAACTCGATTTATGTGCTTGTCAACCTCATATTTTCTGGGTGCTTCTAGTGTACACTTTCTACGCCTTACCAAGAATTCTTTATTTAGTTAGCAGGGTCAAATCAATCAAATCACAATAACCTATCGTGTCACTGCATCATTTGTTTTCGCTCTCGTCTACCGCGTAATGTGAACTCGTAGTAGCAATCAAGCACATCAAAATAAGAGTTAATTTTGTCGGTCAGTGAAGTCAGGATGTAATATACTACTAATAAGTAAAAAAAATATATTTGTAAAGAATATTAAGCCAAGAAATGATAGCATAATACTACAATACAAAACAGTTGAATCTCTCCATGGATTTAATCAACGTAATGTGAATATAAAGTTAATCTCAATAAAAAACTACAACTTCCATTTCAAACAGTTCAATCATAAATTGTTTTTGTCGAAATAAACTTAGATCAAACGACTCACTAAAAATATTACTCTCAGTTAAATACAGATTATATACAAACGTACATTTGTTTAGGTCAAAATATGTTTTAGAAGTAGACCATAGCATTTATAATATCGTCGATCTTCAAACTTTTATATAGAAACTAATAAAGTAGTAATCTTTATATTTTTTATGTAAGCTGTGGGCATTAAAATCTCTTTCTTTTCTATAGTTCATCTCTTATATTTTCAAATAACTTATTCAATTTCTTTGTTACATTGAAATACACATGTGTCTATGTGATCGAATCACATTCAGTGTATTGCTCGACACGAATAATTTTCGTTCTAATTAAAATTTCAGTAAACATAAGCTCTTTTGATAGTATTGAACAAATTATGCTCAACAAATATGTTTTAGTGAATTTGATCATGATGATATTTTATCATCTACGAGAGGGAATATAAGTTATATCCTATTTTTTACTGATCAGTACGATGACAATTTTTCTGTATCTTGTGAATTAAATTTACACAGCACGTATTTTTGAAACCATGAATCGATCAATGTTAGAAACCTGGAAGCACTGGATGGCCGTTTCTTCCTGGCGTGGGACTCCTCAGCTGTGCGCACCCACGAAGACGTGACCAGTGAAGTTCACCCTGTTCGGGTGTAGGCAGTGTCTACCGAAGACTGTGTATGAGGTTACGCAACTCCGTGAATTTGATCAAGTTAGACATTAACACCGTAAGATACATGCGCAGTGGTCTAACGGTTAGGGCGTTCGCGCACAATACCGAAGGTCCTGGGTTCGAATCCTGCGGGGTGCAGGAGTCGTGGATGCTGACTGCTGAGGTGTCCCATACCAGGACGAAACGGCCGTCCAGTGCTTCCGGGTTTCTAATGGTGTTCTAACATTGATCGATTCATGGTTTCGAAAATGTGTAACTTAACAATCTTCACAACCCCGTAATGCACAGTACGTATTTGACATTGATTGAGCAAATAAATGGTTTAGTTACTAAACATTGTTCAGTTTACATATTTTCAGTTCGTTTGTGACTATTGTTATCTAATAAGTTCGTTAATTTTTAATTACTCAATGGAATTTTGGAAGTGTTCAGCTATAATCATGAAACTGAACAAAACATTCAAAAATCAATGATTTAAACGTTGAGTACTGTAGAATCAAATTGGATTTCATTAAATTCGATCTGATTACTAATATTTAATAATACATAAAAAAACCATAGTTATTTGATCGAAACTATCATCTTTCATTCAAATAAGTCATTTCAAATTATACAAAGAAATTGTAAATTGAATCTTTTATTTTAGTCAAATGTGTACAATATGGATTATAAGTTGACTGAGACAAATGATCTTAAGAAATTACGATTTTGCGATAAGTTCTGTATTAAAGTGATTAGCTAGTAAAAAATATTCTTAATCTAGACTTGAATTTTACAATATAAGCTCTAAGGCTAAAAGTTAATATCTGTAGTAAAATATATTTGTAAAATTTATCGATGTATAATTGTGTCGGTATCTCTTCGAAATTTCTCTCTTGAATTCTCATTGGCTTATGTAGTTTCAGTAGTTATTAGGAGATTGCTAAAGTTTATAGTTAACATCACGGACAAACCTTATAAAACTGTTGTGAAACCAGAAAGCACTGCTTCATTTTTATTATGTGACGTAATTTATAAAGCCTCGACAGTTTTAGATTTTTGTCTAATCTTCAAATTTCGGTTGTAAATGAGTTGATAATTTATCTATTTTGAAATTACTCTTTAGGCTGATAATAAGGACCTGAAAAGTTTCTATTTTAAAGAATTTGGCTTTTAAGAAATATGAAATATGAATTTTCAAAATGGTATCAAAGAGTCTCCCAGTATGTTTCACGATACTCATGAAGAACAATAGATTTCTCTAAAAATTGAATCTCGTCCAGATCCTAAGGTAGAAAACTATTTAACTTTTTAGTTATCCAAAGATTTTTTTAATGTTTTTCAATTAGCTTCATAATCCTCATTAGAAAATAAATGTTTCATTAATAAAATTTTTCAATCACTAATTGCATTGTCAAAAGTTGTATAGTTTCGTTTACATAAATAAGTAATAAATTTATTATTATTAACTAGTCAGTAGGTTGAGTGATCATTGTTAGACCACTACTAGAGACCTGGAAGCACTGAAAATTAAACTGGTTTTTTGTTTATTTATTCTAATGATAATATCATCTATGAAGTTTCTAAGATTGATTATATAAATTCTGGAATTTATTCCTATACTAATAATAATAATTTGCCTCTGTATATTTGATTACAGTACGGAAGTGTCTGCAAATAAAATGCACTATTGTAACAAATTCCCATTTAATACTCGTGAATTTTAAAAGAATATGAACATAAGTTTTTAAACTAATTTTTTATCATTATTAGTAAATAATTACGATCAGTTTTATTTTCATAACACATTTTTGTCTTTTAATCTCTTCTCTTTTCTTCAAATCTCTGAATCCAAAAGTATACAAAGTATTGTGATGGTACTTTTTGAGTTTTTAAACTAGTAAATTTGTGTTAAGTTGTGAAAATTTTATGAAAGCTTGTAGACACACAAGGTTGACAACTGTTCAATTGAAACAAATCGAAAATAGATAACTTGCGGCAGCAGTCAATTTACATTTTTGTAAAACGGTTGATAAGACATCTGAGAAGACCTTCGTTTATCGGTAAACAATACAAGAGCGTGATTTATTCTTGATTAAGGCGCTCTACATAAATCAGTTCATGAGTACATGATGTCAGTGACATATTGAAAGGAGTTAAAGGCAAGCATCTATACATTTCGTAGAGCATATTTTTCTAAGATCCTGTTTTTACGTGTACAGGAAATTACTCAAAGTTCACTAACATGCCACCTACTGGATACAAGACAATAAATAGATGTAACTCAGCAAACAGTTTAATTTTATTCATTAAGATTTTCAGAAATGATTAAAAGTGGAGTGTTTAAATGTGACGTTTGTACTGAAAAATAGTCAATGTTTAGGCTGTAAGAATAATGAATAAAAATTTCAAAGATTTTTCTTTCATTCTTCTGTTAGTTACGATTACTCACAACTGAGTGAACTGAACTTAAAATATCTTTTGTACTTTTTAACTTTTGATATTTCTGTTGCTTTTTGAAAATAGCATAATCCTCAATATTCTGGAAATATTCCTTTAAATATTTGTAAAACATTTGTAAAAATCTTCAATTTTGAACCATACAGTTGTTTTAATAATGGACAATTTAAAAGTATAATTAATTTATTATTTTGAACTAATTATACTTATTAGCGTGTATTTAATTGACAGGTAAACAATAAAATATAATGACTACATCCTATTCTGTAGGGATGAATGTTCATGTATTGTTGAAACTTAACAGTTTTACTTGTATTTCATTTATTTCATAAGTTCATGCAAAAATTCTGATCTGCAGAAGCTTCTGAGCTATGGAAGAATTTCTAAATTAGTTCAGTATGTTTTTCTTGAAGAGTAATGCTTTATAGTGTTTTATTTACATTAACTTCTTAAAAGCTTAGATGAAATAATAACGTTCCCCTTTCGGTCTTAACTATTATCTGAATTGTAAACAAGGTTAGTCAATGGTCAGCAGTGGAGTCCAGGACGTTGCTCTACTAAGAACAGTGTTTTTTTAAATGCGAAACTGACTCACTTCACAAGTCTTATTACGATCAAAGTTACATCTCGAGATTGAGAGTAAAAACTAAATTCTACTTGTAAATATTACTTGACAGAAAGCCTAAAATAATTTTATGACGCTTAAGGTTGTATATTTGAGATTTTTTGGAAGAAGTTTTATGGCATCTTATTTCATGAAGTCTATTTGAGCGTCAGCGAACTGTTAATTTCTATTGATAATGACTGGTTACGTAACTAGCCTCAATAATGAATGCTTTCTTGAAGCAAAAAAAAGAGTTACTAAGTATAGAAAAAATTATTCTTGAGAAACGTTGGTGCCAATATATATTTTATCTAACTGTATGATATCCCTAGTTCACTTCTCAGTGTAGTTTGCCCACGTCTAGATCACAACTCAAGGGGTCAAAATAGTACAATAGTATCCATATATTCAAAAAAATATATTGCCAATTCAGTATCATGTGTTTATCAATCAGTAAAAAACAATCAAAGTAAAA